TTGTACCGCATCATGCGAGATTACTCTCTATGTTGAGAGACTTCCGTTATCCGTTCTCACTGAGGTGGCGAGCGGCCTGCATCCGAGGCACCCCCGCGCCTCTATACAATTACATTTTCACCTGTGGTGTCTGATACACTGTACCCTAATTCAGGATACCACTTTTCTTGACATCGGCGGCGACGGGGATGTGAGTGATATAGGAGGTGTCGACGCCGGCTACTGGCCGATTGGCTGTAGAGCGGGATCTTTCCCCGCCGGCGGCCGCCGCTTTTTATACTATAGAACTATCTATTGACTGTAGCTGTGATAACTACACGGTACCGGTATATACACGCTAAACACCATAGTTATATCTCGCTTTCCGGCCGCCGTGGGCGGTGGAGGTATCAATAACCAGCTTATTTAGACGGCTAATTCATCTATGTGTGCGGTGATCGTGCGCGTAAGGCTCCTCTCCCGGTACCGACACAGGAGAACTTGTGTGTTGGCGCCCCCCTAGCGACTACCTTTGTTCATTCTCGCAGTGAACGCGAACCAGACCTGCGGTTTTGGAGGTAGAACCAACTAGTAACAGCGAATTCGTGAAGTCAATTTCGCGCTGTATCCCGCTCGCACCCGGAGATCTCGACTGCGTCAATTAATCCAATATCATTCCCTCGCGCAGCGGCCAGAGCAACAACATTTGGATTTGGCCATGCGAAGTAACTCACACATGGCCAGGAAGAAAGACCTTTCCGCTTTCGCGTGAAAGGAAGAAAACCACCCCGTATAACTTGCGGTAAAGCAAGTTATACTTCTTGTGTTTCCTCGGTGTCCGAGGACCGCGGCTTCTCCGCCGCGTGTAATATTTCTCCGCCGCGTGTAGTATTTCTGCGTCACTCAGTACACGTCCACCAAGCACGGGACCGAGGCTTGTTGCCGGTCTACCAGTACCTGGGCCGAGGCCCAGTTGTAGTGGGGAAACTTGTTTCCCACAGTACAAGGGAGACGGCGATCATGGTTTCCAATTGCCTGGTGACCGTCTGGTTGTGTAATTGTCTGGTGGTGTGGTCGCCTGGAAGAGGCCAAACGAAGGGGGAAAAGGAAGTGGGAGAGAAGGAAGTAAAAAGGGGTTGACAATCCCGAGCGTTCTGGTTTGACAGCGAGATCGTGATGGGGTTGCACGAATGGTGAAGTGTTTATGTCGCGACAGATTTTGTCGAGGAAGAAGTTGTGATTGTTGTGAGGAGAAGGAGAGAAGAAGTAGCGGGGGGAGGGTCTTTTATATGTGTTTTAGAGCCGCAAGGGTTGAAAGATTTTCGCCGTCGCCCGCGCGAGTGGCTAGCGTTGACCTCAACTACGTCGACCTCATAACAATAAACGATGTCACTGCAGGGCGAACGCAACCCGAGCCCACATGCGCACGTGACCGTCACCTAAACATGTGCTGATATTCCCGCACACATGCACGTACCTCATCCACGTGCTGCTCATACAGTCTGCCCTCGCATAGCCCTAGAGGAGGAGTGACAATGGGTATGGCGAGACCGCTTGCAACGTGATTACAACCATTCAATCACGGTGAATCTTCGACTGCTTCAACCTTGGCGATCAGTAGTACTAGAGTTACATCTCATGATCGTTGATATCGATGATCTCGCTGCTATACCGGCCGGCGGCGTCTGTGCCATCTCAGAGATCGAGAGTTTTCGCGCCGATGCGGAATTGACCTGGCTTGAAATCTGGGATTGCAACCGACGGAAACAAACGAACAGCCCATGCCAGTATCGCAGTTCTTCAGGAACCTTCAGAGTGACACATGAGAGGAATGGTATATGTCTCCCGATGTCGGTGCACCGGTTGCTCCTGCTGTTGTGGATACATTGCTGACCTGTTGGCCTAGTGATAGTGCGGGAGAGCCATTCGCCGGAATCTAGCATAGTCGGATACAAAGGAGCAGACCTGTAGGGAAGGGAAGCCGCCTAGGCCATAATTAACAGGTCCTCGCCGTTCGTGTCAACTGTGATCTCGGACCAAGATAGTGCACGGCAAATGGAATTTTTGCGGCCTTCGCAGCTACCCTCGATTTATCCTCCGTTCTTTCGGCGGAGGTCCATCGTCTATCGGCTTCGTCATCACGGATATCGGTCACTGCAGCACGCACGAATACCATTCGGTTGAATATCGGGATCCACTTTTCTGGCGGGGACGACACGGAGGTGTCGGGGCTATCACTCAGTGTTGCATCTAGTCGGCTGTCGGTGCCATGCTGCATCCAGAGTCAGACTGCAGCCGGATGGAGAGGTTTATGTACTGCGATGAGGTATGTACCTAGCCAACTGAAATTGGATCAACGATGAAGAAACACAATTGAATTGCTGCTAGTCTGCGCGCTTTCTGACGCTACGTAGTGAGATCATCGGCCGTTATCCATACATGTTACATACAAATCAGCTCGTTTGAAACTTTGCTACATGACGCCAAAGCGACTGTGGCCACTGGAAGGTGTGATCCGGTTGGTTCAGTTTGAATCATGGTTTCATTTGTCTACAGTAGCGAGCACACGGATCTTCTTCCTTCACCGTCAAGATGCCCGTGGCAAAGTCTCAGGTTTCTCCTCCTTTCGTCGGAAGATTCAAGATGCACATACCACCAAAGACTATATCTCCGTTCACCGCACTCCCAGGTCCACACCCTCACCTCATCTCATGGCACCCTGCGATCTCGCAATAACACGAATAATGCAGGACACTACCCTCCTCGTCATCCCCGCTGTTGCAGCATCAATTTCGGCGCTTGCGAACCCAGACATTGCCCCGCCCACTCACGTCCACGGCGGTGACCAGCTGCTTGATGACGGTTTGGCTATCGACCTAGGCGCACCCATCACCATGGACTTACCCAACCTCACCTCACCCACTTTCCAGATTCCAACGATTGACATTGCTGCACTTCCGACAGTTTACCCGCCGACGTTCGACGTACCGACGTTCGACGTACCGACGTTCGACGTACCGACGTTCGACGTACCGACGTTCGACCTACCAACAGTTCACTGGCACAACGGGCTTGGAAGGCAGACAGCCAGCATCGCGATGGTTGTTGGAGCGGCGGCGGCGGTAGTCCTAGCAGTGTGGTAGGGGGATACGGAAAGGTTTTGTGTTGAGCTGGAGAGGGATGGTTCGGTAGTCAGACTCGATTCGCGTGCGTTCTAGGAGAGAGGGGAATTCGCGTCATCATGTGTCACCTCGCTTATTCCAAACCCGTGTGAGCGTTCATGCAAGTTCCTTCATGTCCCGTCAACGAGATACCAGCCGTGGCCTATGAGCAAAGCTGTAAAAAATGAAAGCTCGTGCCCAGGTTTGAACTGAGGACTCCGGAATCAAAATCCGACGTGCTAACCACTACACTACACAAGCATTGGCTGGTGAAGAGCATAACCGTATGGCACTCAGACCCATGTATGCGTGTGATGAGCCTCGTTTGACGTTATCTAGCAGCAGACGGACGACGTATCTCAAAGAACCGAAATTATTCTTTGTCTGCTGACAGCTCGCGAGTCTAAGTGAGCAAACATTGAATTAGACTCCATCGTCCACGTGCAGGCTTCATTCAGGATGGTTTCCATGGATACGAGCAAACCTACTTTCAAGACGAACCATCCTCTGCGCTCTTCCTTCAAAGCCAGAAGTATCTACATAACCTTCGCAAGCACGACAACCGCTGCAACAGTTCAACTCCCTCATACCATCTCCTGTATTATCTCGGATAACCGTCCGGTGGGTTTGAGCTATTAGCGCTGTTACACGCAGGCTTGGCGCGCTTTCTAACTGGTTTCCGCCGTTGCACGTTGGTTTTGTGGCGCTTGGCGCTTAGTCAGTGTCCAACTTACTAGCGCAAAATACCCGTGATGTTTCTACACACACAGAGTATCCAACTTCAAACCGATTCTTTCCAACAGACTTCCCTAACATCGTCATCTTCAATATCGCTAATATTAGCAAACAGCTCTACAACCACATGCTGTCTACCTACTTCTTCCAGTCGCTTGCTTCTCCTGGCTACCAGCTACTGGTTCAACTGCAACGCGCATCTTTTCCCATGCCCGTTGAGAAAGTGACTGCTGAGCCTGCCGGTCCGCTGAACCTTCCATGGGCACGCCCACCGAACCTGCACCACTCAATCTGCGGAGAGTGCGCCCGCCGAGCCAGTCAAGAACGCGCCCACCAAGTCTGCTGTTGAGGACGCGTCAACCGAGTCAGTCAAGAGCGCGCCCACTGTCCCCTGTAGACATCTTCGACGAGCGATCAGTTGGATATTGTTGTCCTCATCACTGTCGTTGTCGGGAGCATATCCAGCCGTAGACGTAAGAACAAAAGCTGCAAATTCTGATATGACTCTGTCGGCGTGTGCTATTTTCGTAGGAAAGGTGACATTTTTGTTCTCCATAATGGTTTCCGTGATTTCTATGAACTTGATCTTTGTAGAGTGTACTGCAATGCTCTACATATGCCGTTCCCACGATGCTTCAGGAGTATCAGCCGCACTAACCTAATCGACTGATGTTTGTTGCGGCGTCGGCGCTAACCGATTAACGCTAGTGCGGGCTTCATTGCCCTAAATCCATTTTACCCAGCGAACGGTTATCCGGGATAATACGGTATCGCTTTCGGCACACGACTACAACAGTCATGAAACTACCACTACTCCTGGTATTCTTTTTCTTCTTCGCGATCACGGTTCTCTCCGATCCAGCCCCTGAGCCAAAAGGTGGGAAAGGCTTCCACGCTCCAAAGAAGCCAAAAAGTGGCGTCGACAGCGGCGGCGGTAAGCCTTCCGGCGATTTGGGTGTGTATTAGTGAAATATGCTTATTTTTAGTGTAGGCGGCGCTAGTTCAGCGGCGGCGGTCGATGCGAGGGGTGTCTTGCCCGCTGCGGTGCTTGTGGCAGCGGTTGTTCTCGGATATGGACTGTTGTAATCGACGGCAGCCGCTCTCTGCCTACGCTGTGTACCGATAGCCGGCGATACTGGGGATGGGACCAAATTCAACGGGGTTTACTTTCTAGTCGGATATCTCCTCGTCTTGAAACATTCATTAGTACGATGGGATCTGATCTGGAAACGTGATAATGCTTTAGGTCACAGGCCCCGGCCTGCTATGCATGAGGATAGTGGCGCCAACTTCGCTCGAAAGTCGGGAATCCCGCCATGCCGTCGAGTGCAAATCTGTGACTGTGTGCATTTGCGTTGTAACCGTCCACCGGGTTGGAGTCTAGCATTTTACTCCCGTCCATTGCTGTCGATCTGTAATATTCCACTGCGAGCTTCTAGTCTACTCTCGTCTTAACTATCCATTCGCGAGTTCGTTCTTCGCAACCTCCCAGACATCCATCGGAGTGTCTTCTGCAACGGCAGAAGTTCCTCTATATACATGTGCTATATAGATGACCTCCAGGCTTGCCCTGTTGGCGGGCTGCACGTAGACCTATCCCACCTAGGGCACCAATCATGACTCTAACGCCTAAGGTCCGGACGCGTAAAATCCGGACACCTCATATCCGGTCGCTAGGCGTCCGGCACCAGATATGACTCGGACGCCTGGGCTCTGGCGCTCTCAACAAAAGTGGTATTCTGAAGTAGTGTACAGTGTATCGTGCCGGGAAGAAAAACATACATGCAGGAATGTGCGGGGGTGCTTTGGATGGTGGCCGCTCGCCGCCGCTCGCCACCTCTGTGAGAGCGGATAACGAAAGTCAGAGTGATCTCGCATGATTAGGTACACGAGGGTTCGTGATATTATGACAGGCGCTACCTCCGGCGAGAGCTCCTCCACCGCCAGGACTCTCTGGGATCGATCGGATGTCTACATATGACAGATGTATACGTTGGAGCAACATCACGGTGAACGCAAAATTAAACTATACTGTCGACCTTCACTCCCTCTTTCCAGTCAGAATAGACGTACAGAGAGGAAGACCCGAAGCTTCGGTGACATGGTTGGAGTGAGATGGTAGCCACAGAGTGCCGCGGACCCGTGACGCCTGTATAAACGGATAGGGGGCTTCCCCTACTGGAGCATCAACTGTATGAAAAGAAGATTCGCAGCCCGATACGAGGCGTATAACATAATCATTGATAATACCATCTTATCATCTACACATTCATTTGATCAGCCACAAACGTTTGACACACTCTCGCGTCGGCATGTGCCGTCGGCCGCCACCCGCAAATATGATATTCGGTAGCTATATTGAACACAAGAAGATAGAAAACATGAACTTAAATTATTCGAGCAAATCGTGGTAATCTAACTACTGCAGCTACAAAAATGACTGCGACTAACCAGCCGTCCTCTCCCTTTTGGACAAGGAATGTTCGGAAACGGTACGTCCTCCAACTTGTCCCCCCTTTACCCAAAGTTGCCCGCTCGTGGCGATTCCCCAAGCCACCGACACGTTTGGCCTCGACCTGAGCGAGTTGCTCTAGAAGAAGGATGCGCTCGGCGTCGGCAGTAGTGGTGCGGGGACTGGAGGGGGCCATCCTATCCGCATCAGGATCCTTATCGGTGTCAGGATCCAGCGACTCCACGGTATTCCCTATCTAGGAACCGATGCCAATAATTTCCCCGATCATCGAGTCCAGCTGATGGAACAACTTCTACGGCTTTCAATTTTAAAATGCCTTCTTTCCGACGGCAGTAGCAGGCACAGGATCGCAATCCTGCAACCCAGAGGGGCCCGCTCGTGGCGGTTCCCAAGCCACCGGCAAGAGCACTCATGTAGGCAGTTCGCTGCCAATCGTACTGTGGAGATACAGCAGCTTCGAAGTTCAAGCCGACAGTTCCGAACTGGCTCCTTCATTCACGTTAGTCAGTTATATGCATGTACACGAGGGGAAGGGGCTGTGCGGTACCCTGTTTGCAAGTGTGTTTATCCAAAAGAATGGTCCGCGCATGTCGGTGAGCCACGCCAGTGTCAGGTAATCATTGGGTCTCGGAATACCGGTGATGTATTCCAGCTGAACAGTCATGAGGTTTGGCCGGAACCAGTAACACGGGTGGCCCCCACTCTTGGCCGGATTTCCACCGCTGGCCCATCACCACTATCGCGCAGTTAGTTGCGAGGCACATGTGGAGGGTGTGTTTGTTGCTTACGGATGCTTGCCACAGCTGTAGCGGGCGGAGGATCTCGATCCTCACGCCCCATGGGGCCCGCTCGTGGCGGTTCCCCATGTGGCAAACAGATCCTGAGATGGACCGGAGCTCGGTGGGTCCTCAGGCGAAGGTCTAACCGTGTGCCCACGGAGGGGCTGAGAGAGTGTGTCATACGAATACTGGGCATGCGGTGGCGTGCGGAGGATCTGAATCCTTCCGCCCAAAGGGGCCCGCTCGTGGCGGTTCCCCAAGCCACCAACATGGCCCGAGCAAAGCTTGCCGCAATACTTGATCTCCCGGAGAAGGGGCCGCAGCCCAGTTCATAGCTATCGCGCTGTTAGTTTCTAGTCAGATGAGGGGGGAGGGCGTGTGATTTAATGATTCCAGCGCCAGGTGGTTGTCTTATCCATTGTTCCTGAAAAGTACGCAATCTTGCCATAGAAAAGCACCCGAACAAGCACGGCTGCTGCCCGCATGACAAACAGGAGTGTTTGTGCGCTCGGCAGTAACCAAGAAGAAGAGGAAGAAGATTGAGGGTGCCGAACCTATGGTCCAGTTGTCGGTGGCCAACAGTGGTTATGGCAACTCCGTTTCTTGCTCCGCGTCGGCGAAGAGTGAGTCTTGAGTGGCGAGTCACCCGGCAAAGGGGCCGCAGCCCTATTGACCGCTATCACGCTGTTAATTTCTAGTCAGAAGAGTGAGGGGGATGTGTAACTTACGGATTAGCCGCGTATTGCGGCATACCACAGCTATGGCGGGCGCAGGATCTAAATCCTCACGCCTATGGGGGGCCGCTGTTGGGTCCTCACGAGAAAATGATTGCTGTTGTAGGTGGAGTATAGAATAGAAATAGTTGGAACGAGGAATTATTGTGGTGGTAGTGATTAGTGATGGTAGTGTGATGAGCGGAATGTTGAAGAGATGAAAAAAACGAAAAAAGATGAGATGGACAAGTTGAAGTTTGTGTGTGTGTGTGTGTGGGGGGGGGGGAGCTGTTTAAATAGTTGGAGCGCAGTCACGTCGGGCATAGCCCTACCCACTTATAGGGCACGTACGCGCAAACCCGTGATTGAGCACAGTTGCTGCGGTGGCTACCAACCATAGAATTTCACTCCGTTTGAATTGTGAGAGCCGCGCGAAATATTCAAGTTATGCAGCCTCCCCCCGTCAAGATGAGCAGCAAGAACCCTGGTATATCTCAAGGACAGAACTGATATGGATTCCTCCAACTTTCCGAGCAAACTTCAGCTTTAACAATATTCAAAAATCTGATATCAGAACGATTTACAAACTCACATCAGCAGCTGCAACTTTCGCATAACAGTTACAAATCTGCTACAATGAAGTACACGATACATCTAGTTTTCCTCCTCTTCACTGTCGCAGCCCTCGCCGACCCAGAGGCCAGGGGCGGTGGTGGTAAAGGCGGCGGCAGTCGCGGTGGGCTGGGGCGCTCACAGATCAAGAACGGGGTGGCACACGGCAGTAAGTCCTCAAATCCTGAGTGCACGCACCGACACTGATGATCGGCATAGATTCGAGTGCCGGGAATGTACTTCATCCGGGACGTCTGGCGGTCGCAGTGGCGGTAGCTGGGGCAGCGGCTTTGCACATGCGGGACTTGTGATGCAGTGCGTGCTGGCCGCATAGGGGGCGGGGTGCGGCTGTGCAATTGATTTGCTCGATTATTTTGTTTACTCGATTATTTTCATTACGGATATGGACGATTGGCAGAGTGCTTCTGCTGACCCGTACACGTGTTTGCTATTACTCGTACAAACCTCCGCGTTTTGCAGTTGGCGATTTCTAGTTCGATCATCTCTTCAGCATTTAGGATAATTCAATCTCGGGCTTCAATTATTTCCGTCCCATGCGTACCCCGAATTTCCGTTCTATCCATCCGTCTACTGCGCATTCAATACCGCCACCTGCCCGGGCTATATGAACGCCCAAAACTACGCCCGACGATCATCTCGATGCCTACTACGTACTAGACTCTATCTAGTTTCGCTTCTACAGAAACAATGAACACGAACACACTCTTCAACCTACTCTTGCTTCTGTCCTTGCTACCATTGCTAACCCAGGCGGCCGCAGCATCTCCGAATACAACAGCATCCACTAATCCACCCGAACCCCCACCGATCTGCTTCCTCCGTCACGATCTCCTACGAAACCCAGAACGCAATGGCGATGTCGCACCGGGAATGTGCAGCCTGATCCGCAGCCTACCGCGGCGGCGTCATAGGGGTGATGAAGTGCGATACACGTGCTGGGGTCGGTGAGTGCGCCTGTTCCGACTGTTGGAATGTTTGGTCGCTGATACGCTGGTGGAGAGAGTTCTGTCGCCGGGGTAGGGGTTGTAGAGGCGGGTGTTGGATATTTCGCGGGGATCCGTGGTTATGAGGGTATGCCTGGGGACTCGGGCCTAGAGACGATGGTGAGATTCGACATCTGCGGTCAGCTCCGATATGCTTTGGGAACGGAATGTAATGGAGTTTGCCTGTGTATGGCTATGGGATTTGAGCGATCGCCATGGTTTATCCGCGTGCAGCAACGGTGATTACGGAGTATTATCTTTCCGCCCGGAGGTTACTGACATATCGCGAGGCTGAGAAGTTCTACCGGCGGAAGGGTCTATATGACGCTGATTATTGATAGTGACAGTGTTATCGGTGGCGTCGGTCTTCGTACTCGACGTGGCCAAATGTCGGCCGACCGAATACTGCGCCGCAATACAATGATTAGCCGAGCAGATTCTTCAGCTATCAGTCTCTACTCGATTACGACTGTTCTCCACTGACATACCCGACTAATCTCTCGCGTTCGCTCCGACCACTTCCCGTCGCGCGCGATCTCCCGTGCCGCCGTCCTGCCGCCGGAATCGTCGCGCTGCCGCCGGCGAATGCTTCCTCATGAACTCCACGCGACGTCGCGCGCTTCCTCCATTGTCCCACACCCCTCGAATTTCCGCCTCCATCGCGACTAGAGTACCCTAGCGACGCCCTACCTATTTGCCGATAGTTAACCGCCTCCGCCCTCCCCCTACTAGTGTGCGGAACGACGACCCCTACAAGCGCGAGAAGTTCCTACTGCCTAAAATGGATGTACTGGTACCTGGTACCTCGCCAGTCAGAAAGTAGAGGGGTGGGAAGGGGGGAAGGGGGGAAGGGAGGAAGGGGGAAGGGGTGCCCGGGGAAGGGGTGCCCGCTTGTCGGGATCTACATATAGGCTGGGGTTTCATGCTATGAAGAGACTTCTTCGTCTAGACTCTACGGTTCACTCGGCAGATGCTGGAGTAGAGTAGAGTGCCTGCACATGTGATGCCCGATAGTGACTGTGACTTGTCCCGAGAGGAAATATCGGATCGGTGGGTCTCCCGTCAATTGTTTCAGCGATGGAGTCATCGGAAACTTGGATCGCAGTCCCGACTGGTTGATTGAGGTTACTTAAGGGATGTGGTGATTTTGTTCGTTCATATTTGACGATTTCTTTTCCACACGAGCAACTCACCTGTATCTTCACCTGGTTGAGAATCTTCCGCGACTTCAGGTCTTCAGCCAAGTGCGTGCCACTGTGGTGAGCGTAGATCGGTAAAGGACCCCCGGCACGTTTCAAAAAGCGATTTGGGCGAAGGCTGGGAAGAAGACAGGGGAAAGGAAAGATAGACGGTCAATAGCGGAGTTGTTCGCCGATGAGCAGTGCAGCGATGCGATGCTGGATGTCTTAGGAACGCCGGGTGTGGGGAGGAAAGCTCCGCCACGCCTGGAGGAGGAGGCGGAACAGGAGGAAAACCTCGCATCGGAGGTAGAACAGGAGTTCCCAGTAGGGCGCTGTGTCTGCGGCCGATGCAAGGAAGTAAGAAAAGACGATATGTGGTTACATATTCCGGGTGCGATTTCATATTTCATTTGTATGGTAGGCAGCTGGAGTCGTGCTGGCCGGCTCAGCCACTGTTGGTCAGAGTGGGCAGGAAAGGAGTGCGACGGTTCACCATAGTCTAGATAGGCTGCATGCGAAATACACTGAAGATCTCTCTGTTGCTCTTACCCCCGGAAAGTTCATGATCTCTCGATGCTCCTGTCCGGAGCGTATCCTCAACCTCGTAAGTGTACGAGGTAACAACACAGTCACAGAGCTCTCAAGTTTACAGATGCAAATTTTATTTATTTCATTTCCTCAGAGCCCACTAATTCATTCCTATCCGTCCGAACTATGCGTAGGCCAACCCAAGAACCTCCGTGCCTACTGTATCAACCCTACGTCCTCCCTAGCATACCTCTTCTTGATCTCCGTCGGCGACACCGGGGAGAAGAGACGCAGCTCAAAACCATATGCCTTTCCAGTCGCCTTGTCCACCAGGATCCGGCCCTGGCTGATGATCATCCGGAAGTTCAACCACGCCAACTCGGGATCCGAGGTGTCGATCGTGATGGGCTCCCAGAAGTCGGTTTCGCCGAACCTATTTCTCGAGCGTTAGTAATGCTGTTGATTGGTGATGATCGAATGCGTGGTAGGGTAGGGATGGAACACTGCACTTACTTCATGTCTCTATCGCCCTTGCCCTGTAGGATCTGTCCGAGGTAGGCATTGATGCGAATGAAGCCTCCAGCGCGGAAGTGCACCAGCGCGCCGCTGTTCACCGCCTTTCCGGCCGCGGTGGTGTCGAGCTCAAACATGTTTCCCGAACGCAGCTTGAAGTAGTCGTTGCCGCTGAGGATGTCGACCTTGTAGGCGGGCAGCGAGATGTTGAGAGGACCGGTCTCCGGGATGTAGGCAGGATTCGGGGCCGGGAGCGTGAGGACGCTGGCGGGGTGAAAGGTCAGCACGCCCGCACCGAAGATGTCGTAGTAGCCGGTGCCGCGCGGAGTGATCGATCCGCCCGGGTTTGTGAGCGTGTAGTTGAGCAGCGCGTGGCCGATATAGGCGAGGACGGGGAGATGCATCTTGGAGATGGTGGTTGTGTGAGAGCGACAGTGGGGTGGTTTTGGAGAGTGAAGGTGGGGTGGGATAAGGTGGTGAGGTGAAGAGAAGAGTAGAGAAGACGATGAGCAACAGCAGAAGAGGAGGATGGGAGTAGGGTAGCGAGTGTATTTGAATGCATCCGTTTGGAGCTGTGTGTACAAGTTGAATCATCCCACAAACATCAGAAGCTAGTGCCAGTAAACAAACATCGGTCCCCCGGCAACGGACGGACGGCCGCCCACGTCCGACTTGCTGTGCGACATGTAAATGGCAAAGCTATTCACGTTCCGTCACCAGAACCGGTAGTATCAATAGAACCGACGATAGTTCGAATCGAGAATGTTTGCAGCCAGCAATCTCCCGATATAGTTGGTAGCGGTGATCAGGGACAGGCGAGCCGGCTGACCCGGCTTGGTGGGGTTCAATCATTGGAGATAGTGCGACGTTTGAGGGCCGTGATACCAATGAAGATAGATCTACGTGAATATGGACGAGGTTCAAATCGTCGTCCAGAAGCATCAAGCGGACAGGACTGAGGTGAGTGTCGGTAGATCTGCATTGGGCAGCCGCTCACCAAATATGATGGAAATAAAGGTGTGCCGCGGCTATGCATCACAGATCGTAACTCACGCTACCGTTTCCCCTCAATACATTACGATGCCCGAGAATATGACGTAGTGCCGCAATAGTCCACTCTATCCATGCGCATCTTCGAAGATCACTCGTTCGTGCGCAATGAGTACCAGTGTGACACACGATCAGAGGATGCTGATTGCCATAATCTGCATAAGTCTTAGGCGATGAATGAATGAAGAAAACCAAAACAGGCTGAGTTCTTGCCGTACCTCGTCTAATAATTCCGTATGCAACGATAAATCCGTTTTCTCTCTATCTCTATCTCGGCATACGCTTACATTCCTACACTACAATCAAAAAAGTATGTTTGTAATGCCCTAATTCCCAGTAGTAATTCGCCAGAGATAGATCATACGATGCGTTTCTGCCGGAACAAATACCCCTCCCGAGGTGGGGCACGTCTAGGCGACGTCCATCAGTCCCACCGTCCCACAGTCCCACTACCAAGGAGGAGCCTAGCGATTTGTTTTATGGAATCTATTCATAGGCGCCTTCTACCCCAAGAATTGCGAGATATATAGAGTGCAGTATCTGGGATTGGAAGCTGGTAGAATATCTACCCGGATACCCCAGCAGCGGAACCCCCGCGCGGCAGGGCAGGGGTTGGCCCACCCCGTCCCCACGAGGGGTAGTATTCGGTAGGGTTACCGATATTCGTCGATTATCTAGCAGGGGGGCGCGACCGCGACATCCACAAGCGTGAGGTGGAAATGTTTCGTGTGGATGTCGCGGCTGATGCAATTGGAAGTCTCGGGAAGCCCGGTCGATGGCGGGCAGGATCGCTGCCGGCGTGATGGGTTCGTGGGGCATGCAGTGGGAGCGGGAGATGCTCGCGCGCATTTGGTGGCAGCGACTATGCATGGCGCAGCTTCACCGGGAATCGCGAGGGAAACGCAGCTGAGCGCGTGGAGAATAGTCCGGCCGCGCTGCAAGGTGCCCCGTCAGGTGTATAGGTAGCGCGTGTCCCAACTCCCGCCCCACTCGCCAATGATCGCGCGAGGCGTGTGGCGTAACACCTGCCAGATCGGACAGGCCTTTCGCGTCAGGCGGGTGTAGCGGCAGGTCGACTAATGGATACCCATGGAGATCGGACAATACCCGTCGGTAAGTCCGAAACATACCACCAGAGACTGCCTCTGCCTATTCGTCATCTTACGCGCTATTAAATAAGTAACCATAGGATCTCCATTCCACTCGCACGGCCAATATAAACGGAGTTCGGCTGATAAAAGTGGATCCACAGAGATCGCCGGTGAGGATGGAAATCTGCGTACGCATTTGCCCCCTCCAACGCCACGGCGTATCACGGATCGGCAATCGTCAGAAAGTCGGCAGTGCGCTGGCATTTGTCAAATTTCCTATCCGCATCTATCGCTGTACCGAGCTCGGAACATAGGGTTCTAAGTCTAGCATGAAGACATCAGCATATTCTGACATCGTCTTCGAAAAAGGTATCATAGGAGGAAACTGTCAAATAAGCGCTTGGTGATGGGTCCGTCGAGTAGCGCGGCCGGACGAGCGGCCGTCGGACGACACTGAAGGTTAAAGAAAGGTGTATAAAGAGGCCTACCACCGTGTTTATAGCAAGAATCCACAGACTCATCCCCGGAGGATCCAGCCCGATCTTTAGGAAGAGACAACGCTCGCCCTGTCAACTGGCTCTTCGCTCATAGAACTCGTCCGCTTCCGGATTATGGGCTGCTGGCTCCTCTGTTGCCAGCTTCGCCCATTCGTCTGCTTTTTCGTTGCCAGGGACACCCTTGTGAGCAGGGCACCAACATATCTTAATTATTATCTCGGGTCTATTCCTCCGAAGGGAGAAACTTAGTGGTGGTGGCAGTACTGGCGTTATGGGTGGTGATGGTAGTGGTGATGGTGATGCTGCGCAAACAAAAATATAGGGTTGATGGTGGAGATGCCACCGTTTCATCGTATGCGGCTTAGTTTCTGTGACATCTAAACCCTAACCCATCTCCACCCTACCAAACTCGTCTCCTCTCCGTCGCCTAACCATCCTATCGCAATTTTCGCACGCTTTTTCGCACTGTTCCGCACTCTTTTTTGCTCTTTCAATTCTCCCTCTTTTTCTTTTTCTTTTTCTCTCTATTTTTCTTTCGGTGGGCTCTCTGTTGCGGTGTGGGGCGGGGAGACCAGCGCTGTGTTACAAAACGGTGGGTTGCGTCGCTAGATACTCCAAAACCCTGACGAGCTTTGCCAAGATCGAGATCTCTAATGCCGGTACGGAAACCTGATGCCGAAACGGAGCGAATAATTGTTGCAGCGGGATAGCGTATTCAGACGTGGAAATACCGCAGGAAATATAGATGCATCAAGAACGTGGGGAAGTGTCAGTTCGGTCCGCTGTCATGCTTCCTGTGGGTCGGAAGTCGGTTACCCGAATACCGCCCGTTGGCACGATCGAGAGTCCGAACTTGGACCTCTCCCGTTCATAATATTCACAATGTAATTGGATCTTCTATCTACATCATTGAACAACTACACCAGTAATAGCGGAAGCTACAGATGCCTCCGCCGAGCTTTTAAGTACTTATTCATGGACAGTGGATGAGTCACAAGACTGTCCACGTGTCGCCGCTGAGTTACCAGCTTTCGTGGCTGGCCGCTCGGCGCTGCCGTCTCCGGTCAGGTGACCAATCAGAATGCAGCCAGAAAATAGCTCGGTCTACTACAAGCAAGACAACAAATGCGTTCCGTAGCGGCGGTAGTATTCACCGAGTAATCCGGAGAGGGAGTTGGACGGATGTTAAGATACAGAAAGAGGGTGACAAATAGAGGCGACGATGACTTGTAGTTTCACATGAGTGCTTTGTAAATATTTCAGTATCGACCCTATTGAACGAGATTGGCTGCTGACATAATTCACTCCATCAATTGCATTGTGATGTCAGCAAGTCTGGACTGCGGCATGTTGGTCTATGTACGGGTAAAATATTGCCGAGTGAGAGGAGCACAACGTACATAGGATACTCTAGAGATGATGGGTGAGATCAGATAATTCGATAACATAATATAAGATAAGTAAGAAGGCTCGCTTGATCGATCGGGTGGTGCGAAATGTCTTTAGCAGCGGAGCGATAACTTCTCTACAATCCTCCTTCTTAGCGTTTCCGTTCACTAGGTTGAATACCGTAGAATAATAACTTTTCCAACATCCTCCTTATCCGCATTCCCGTTTCGAGTTGCGATACCTGTTGCTTATTTAACAGGAGATTTTCGATGATTTTATCACGAACACTCTATCGCACCGCACACTCGCCACTGGCATGCGGCGTGCAGGAGGGGCACGGGAATTTGTAGAAGGGAAGGAGGGGCGGTGCTGCAGTGCAGAAAGTGCTACCCGAATGAGCGACGACCACGTCCGCACACATCTCAGCCTCACACTTGAGCTGCATACGCGGCGACGGAGACTGCAGAGCCTCAACCCCGCTCTGCAACATCACACTCCATCCTATTGCGACAAACTCCGGCCCGAAAATCTATGGTCTCTCGGTTGCCGCGTCAGTTGTAGGACTTATACAGGTTGGCCTCAAGGTCATCGAACACCTCCCCAAATTTGCCGACGCTCCCCGATCGCACACGACCTGCTAGCCGAAGTGCAGTCCACTCGTATCATTCTTCGCCAGCTCCATACGTTCGTCGGCAACTTTCACGGTTACGACGCACATCACAGATCGAACGTTATCGTCGACGACCTCGTCACTATCCTTACCAGCTGTGTCTGCACCTTCTCCGAGCTTGACGGCGTTTTGGATGGCTGCTCCACAAGCGAAGAACCGCGATTCACTCTGTGGGATCGAGCAAGATGGGCGTCAAAGGAGGGTGACCTTACTAGGATCGTGCCCAACCTTCAATACCACAAGTCATCCTTGATCGTATTGCTCTCACTGTTAGTTCACCGTGTGGGTCTGGGCTGCGCTGTAAGGAATCTGGAATCATGCAGATATAGGCATACCGCGATCAGAGTAACAGCGAAACACGTATCGGCCGAAATCGAATAGGGAGGAATTGCAAGCCCTTCTGGCGGTTTTGCAATCGGACCCCGAACTTGCTGCGCGTATGGTGTCCTTCCGGTCCACAACCGTCACAAAATACCCATCATCCACGTCGACGAGTTTGCGTGCACGCAGCGCAGTGGCCAGCTCAGCCAGGGATGCCGTGGAGGGCAGCAGCTTCTTACCTTCCATGAGAGCGACCATTCGCGTCTCGGATGTCGGCGGCAGTGACGGATCGTCCATTTTTACACATTCATCACAAAGGTCGCTTTCTTCATTCATGTTGGCATTCGAGCCGATCCTAGCGAAGACGCGGGTTTATAAAAGGGTGACCGGCAATGATTCAACTGCATCTTTCAACACCACTGACACTCCAACCTCGGGCTGGTCACAACTGAGCGGGGTCGGTCTGGATAAAATCTCGAACTTATCGGTCATCTGTCTTCCCGTATACGCCATCGAACTCGCCAATGAGCACCTGTACACCTTGTAGGGACAGCCGGGGAAGCCTAGATCGAAATTCCGCAGAGCCCGGGCATTCACAACACCACTACCCATGCTCCGCGAGCGCACTATGATTATCCGCTCGGCCCTCCGACATCGCGCATTGTCCAGTGACGATAAGCTGTTTTTGTTACATCAGGCCGCCGTGGAAGGGGACACTGTTACTGTCAAGGCATTCATCAGTGCGAAAACAAAAGAGGCCCAAGATGACCGGGCATAGTTAGCGCTGCGCATAGCCTCATCGGCGGGCCATCTGGATATTGTATGTCACTTGATTAAGTGCGGCGCTAACATCAATGCCGTGAATAAGGAAAGTCGCTCTCCGCTGCATGGGGCTGCATCGAACGGCCATCTCGAGATCATCCGTCACTTGATCAACTGCTGCGCCAACATCGAGCATGCCATAGGCGGGGTATGTCGCACTCCGCTGCAATATACGGCCAACTGGAGATCGTCAGCCACCTAGTTGAATCCGGTGCCAACAACGATGCCAAAGACAAGAAAGGTTTGTCTCCTTTGCACTATGCTGCATGGACTGGCAAGCTCACCATTGTGCATTACTTGATTAACTGCGGCGCAAACATCGATGCCGTGGACAAGGAAAATCGCTCTCCCATGTATGGGGCTGCATCGAACGGCCATATGGAGATCGTACGTCACCTGGTGACAGCCGGTGCGAACGTGAACGCTGAGTATACGAAAGGCTCGTCTCCGCTACACGACGCTGTATCGGGGGGATATCTGGAGATCACCAGCCACCGGATTGATTCTGGTGGCAATATCGATGCCATGGAAGAGGAAAGTCGCACTCCGCTGCACTCCGCTGCACGATAAGGTCGTCCGTATATCATACGTCACCTACTGACAGCCGGTGCCAATGTGAATGCCGAGGATACGAAAGGCCGGTCTCCGCTGTACCACGCTGTATCGAACTGCCATCCCCAGATCGTGAGCTACCTTCTCGAATCCGTCGCCAACATCGACGCCAAGGACACATCTTCGGTGTCACCGCTGCGACTCACAATGAAGATGAAAAATAAGCGAATGCCGAGATTCCTTCTAGACAAGGGCGCTCCAGTTTAAGTTACCCGTCGCGTGTACGGATACTGGCCGATGTAGGCTATGCACGTATGTCGAATCTCCACTCCCATTCTATGCTTTCTTCGCAAAACGATGTACTGATGTAGCATTTCTCTGAGTTAGGACTGTGGGAACGCGTTTGGTATTTAGTTCACCAGCCGCGAGGACTGGTGGGTGTTTTCAAGTTTCGGTGCGGAAGGGGGTTCTTTTGTGTCTTTGTCTTTTTCTCTTGCACCTCCAGCTGCTTCAGCGAAAATACCACATCATCGTTATCCAGAGTTGCTTCAGTGTGTTACCTTCTGGTATCTACCTAAAATGGAACAAGCCAATAACTACATACAATGTATGCAGTTAGAACTTGTGCGGGACCGTCGCGGGAGCGAGTGATAATGTGACGCGAATCACGTGACCCGTCACTCGTAGCAAATGTCCGTTCCGAAATAGCCTCCGCGGATATGCCTAATTTCTATCAGGCAGCACTGGATTCCGTACGTCGGAGTGAACATGGATAGAGCGCGTCACGTAGTGAAGGATCCACTGTATATAGAGAGGAATCCCTGCCCGGGAAAGGCTCACGAAATCGATAGTACATCCATCTATCTCTGCAATTGGGCACCTTTATTGAAGCTCATGAACTTAGGATAGCTCTCATGTATTTCAATTCGCTATGTATCCATCTATCTCCGCACTTCCAGGAAATCGATCAACCAATGACTAGGGATGTCCGCCCGAGTACAACTACCCTGGTCGGGAATGGAAAAAAAGCTAACTACCAGAGCACAGCAGGTAAACTGACAAATTTTCTTAGTAAAAGCCGACAAAGACACACATCCGACCATTGTTAGGCCCCTTACACAGGGCCAAGCACCTACTACATACAGTGCTCAAGAAAGAAAACAAGTATATGGGAATGAGTGGGGTGTCGAGTATTCACCGCTACCGTTCGCCCCTTCCACCCAGTCACTCACGAGTCAAGCTTCGCATTCAGAGCCTTCAGCTCGTCTCTCTGCTTCTTAAGTTCCGCGAGAGACCGCTTAAGCTGGTTGTTCGTATGCTCCATGCGTTTGCGAGCGTCTGAAATATGCTTCGCGTTGAGCTCTACAGCAAGGCTGTACTCCTCCTGCGGGGCCGGGGAAGTATCCTGGGTAGATGAAGACTGCTCTTCGTCAGCAACCACTACCTCCACCTGCACACCTACCGCCGCGCGGATCGCCTACCGAGGGCTGTCCCAGGTTCTCCTTCGGGTGGATAGCTGACTCCTCGTTTCGACCGTAGTGGATTAGCTGGATGGACATTGTCGGCTCTCCACGCATTGCTGATTCCTTCCTCAGATTGGCGTCGATTGGCTGGTAGGACTTCACCTTTTCCACCCGCATGGTGGATCCCTCACCGCTACCGGCGTCGAGTGGGTGTTTGGACCTCATCGGCTCGTCCGCGATGGAGATGTGAATCCTCTCCGCCTGTTTGGCGATGGCGATGTCGGTCGTGTCAGCCTTTTCGGCGAAGGCGATGGGAATCTGCTTAGCCTTCTCGGCGATGGCTATGTCCGTCTTCTCTGCCTCTTCAGCAATGACGGTGTTCGTCTTCTCGGCCTCTTCGTCGATGGGCACCGAGGGCTCTACTACCGCATCGCCGACGTCTAATATGCAGCGTGACTTAGCATTGTCACACAGAGCGGTCGCTGATAGCGAGATGCGGAGAGTCTGTAGGTTGATCACTTGGGATACTTACCGCTCTCGGTCGCAGTGTCAGAGCCGGCAGAGCCGTTAGGGATGCCGAAGAGATGATTGATGCGAACCATCTTGAGAGAAGGAATGGGCAACGGAGTCTGATTGTGGTGGGGGTGTGTCGAGAGTTCGCGGCGCTCGTGGGCAGCAATTGCAGTGCGGGAGAAAGAGTGAGCAGGGACAGTTGTAAATGATGTGAGAGTCGTAGAAAGGCTGCGGGCGGAGCCTCTCCTGCTCAAACGTCGGTCGAGCCCTTTTCAGGCAACGCTCTTCCCGGTGTGGGAACCTCGCTCATCGGCAAGCCGAAACCCGGTAACCCGAATCGGGCACATTAACGTTCAAGACGAATGAGAGAGAAAAATAACGGCAAAAGTCCAGAGTGCCATGATTCGTTGGCCGCTCTTATCCACCAGTTGACCATACGGTCACCTACCAAAACAGTAATTCCGGCAAAATTATCGGATTTTAGACCTTAGTAAGTAGAAAAAATCAATCACCCTAATATGCCCTGATTAATACAACGATTGGATGTGTTCATACCAATCACACATTAGCCCTCACCCACACTTCTACGACCGCATCGCAAGCGCGTGGGAGCAAACAGAGGTATCATCTTGCTGACTAGCCCACATCACAACTCGAAGAGCCGCCTTCCAAAAATCCACCATTTCCTTCTCAGTACAGGATAAAAATCTCACTACCTCCAGTCACTGAACTCCAAACAACCGCAGTGAACGGCCACCCGAAACGACGGCAACCGACACCCACCAGAACTTTCATCGAAGCAACCATATCTAATGTTGTCGAGAACCGACTGTCCCTGCAAGGCCTGCACTCTTCTTTGCGGCTTTCAGTGGTTTTGCATGGTAACCCAGCCCGTTCCTCCCACCGTGCTGTCTTACACTTACTCACGCTCCGCAGAACAAAGAGAAGGAAGAGCCGATGGAACTGGTCATATCGGCCCCTTTCAACCCGACACATGTTGACGGATCGAACCACATGGATCCGATGACGTGAGTACTCTGTGTGTGTCGGTTGAGCGATTCGGATACAGACGTTAACCGATCGAGATCAGCGGCAATGTCCATCCCGTCCACATGTCCGTGACTCCCGCTAGAGCTCGTAGCTTGGATCGCAACGGTGAGATGCCGGTTCTGCAGCCGAAGTGATGCGAAGGTGGAGAAAAAAAGTTGGAGGTGGATGGAGACAGCGGAGGCAGGCATGAGACAATGAGACTGGACTGTAGTCAAATGAAATGAATCTCTACTCAATGATGCGAAAGATTTGAAGGAATATGGCCGGAGTCCTTAGCTGCAAATTTCCCTCCGGCTAAGAGATTCTTTGGTCTGGTTGTTTGAGATCTTGTACCGGTGGCCGCGAGCCTGTGCAGAAATCGGTGGATCTCCAACAGAAGACTTATAGGGGAGTGTTAAAGCGTTCCATACTCCTGACATGGAACAGTGGATGCTCGGAATGTATTCTAGCATATTGATTCCCTCCGTCCGCTCTGGCGTCAACCTTTGCGCAAACGAGTGTCGATACTCACTCGAGAGTAAAGTTCATGCAGAATCTCTAAAAACTTAGTTCGAGAAGTTGTAACGTTTCTTCTATTATCTTCGTTATCTGATAAGTTACTAATCACAGTTATTTCTTGTTCCTCATGCCGCATTTAAATCATATGAAGGCTATGGCACGCCTCGCAATCATTGTTAGTCATTTTCATGTATTCGCTGTTTGCACGCCATGGAATGACTGCTGGTGATCCACTTACCCATCCCGACTTCGTCACGACACCAAACTGCCTACCAACAACACCGTCTCCCCTCCGCGAGACAATCTTTACTTGCAACCACGATGCCTTTCTACAGAAGAAAGCGCACGTCCTCGGACCTCCCGCCACCTCCTCCACCCGACGAATCTCCTCCAGCTCTTTCTTCTTCTCCTACTCCTCCCCCTCTTTCTCCGCGCCCTTCGGCTCATTCTTCGCCTGGTCACCTCCAGCGATACCAGCGCCATCAGGCTCCACAGATCCACACGCCGAAACCGTCCATGGTCGCCCAAAGACCTAGCGGCAACTGCTTTGGCGGATATCAACCCGATAGCGGTACCCCGTTCATCTCGGTCGGCAGCAGAGCGGCGATCAGTGGCGGCAGCGGCAGCGGGTTCAACCAGGTCGGCAACAGGACAGCGAGTGGCGGTGGCAACGCGTATAATCCGGCCGCTAACAGGACAGTGGGCGGCGGCGGCACCATGTACAATCCGGCCGCCAACAGGACAGCGAGCGGCGGTGGCATCGGGTCGAATTCGGTCGGAAGCAGGCTGCCGAGCGGCGGCCACGGCGGCGGCGGGTTCAATTCGGTCGGAAACAGGACACCGAACGGTGGCGGCAGCGGCACTGGATACAACTCTGTCGGCAACAGATCCGCGAACAGCAGCATATCCAGCGGCGACAACGGACAGTCAAACGCGAATCAGAGGGTTATCCAGGGCGGCGGTGTCTCGAATAGCTTCACTGTGTCTGGCGGCAGCGGACATTCAAACGATATTCAAAGGACTACCCAAAGCAGAGGTATCTCGAACAGCTCCAGCATCCAGGGCAGATACACTGGTGTTTCTACCAAGCACGGCGATTCCATGGACGAGGTCATGCCCTTAGCCATCACCTCCAGGGCCCACCCTTCCAGCCCCTCCTCCAGGACCCAGCATTCCACCCCCTCCTCCAAGACCTTCCCCCCCAGCCCCGCGTTCCTCGAAACCTCCCGTGGCGGCCCCGCTTCTATGCATTCAACTGGATCCTCGGCCAACTCCTCGATCACGACGTACTCCGGCGGCTACCAGCACTCCGATCACAGCAACGTTCGCACCCGCCGCAACGGTAACCCGCGCCCGAACCTCCTCCCTCCCGGCCAGACTACCCCCGGCGAAATAGATGTTCGCGGCCTCCGCACCAGGCGCCCCGCTCGCTCACCTGGTTCCTTACCTCCCACCATTACATCTGGGCCGAGTGGTCCCCGCCCACTGCCGCCTACCAATAGGGTTGCCACGCCTCCCGATACCGTCGCCGCGCATGCGATCTCCCCCGACCCGATGCTTCCGGAAAACTACGCCGTTAGCTGCTGTGAATGCAGCGTGCTGTCCCAGTGCAAGATCCCCGAGATCCAGTTGGATCGCTGGTTGGTTATGTGCCCGGCTGGCTGCGGACACTACCTCGGTGCTTGTGTGGAGACGAACGGCCACATCTACGGAGGCCATGGCTGTAAGGTGAAGATTGTCAAGAAAGATGAGGAGGATGACAAGGAGAAGAAGAATGTGGCGGAATAGGCTGAGAGGGAGCTTTCAACAAGCACCTTTACGCGAATACTTAGACGATTTGAATTTAACATGTAATTGGCCTAGGTTCTCGCTGCCCGAATGAATGTGATACCTGTTCTGTGCTGCTCTTACCATTTCGCTGTGCTTCCAGTCTGCTCAGTACCTACAGGATGCTATCCATGAGCTTATGCCCCGTTGCTACTCGCAGAATATCGATTGCGATCACTAAATATCAGTCGCAACAGCGATTAAGAGACGAGTGATTTCAGGTGGGTGCAGGTAGGGGGCTTTTGGCTTAATTCTTCAAAAGTGTGAAGATGTCTCCGACGTGGGTTTACCGTCGTCTATAAAAACAGCGTGCGGCGCCACGAGGGAATATTCTACGAGACTTGACTCCCTGCATTCACCCAGCTTTCGGCTGCGGCGACTTGGTCGAATAGCCACTTTTTAGGCATGGTAGTTTTTTCGTTTCGTAAAACGTCCAAGGACCGCATGCATGAAACTGGAGAAGAATATCCTGAGGAAAGAGAAAGTGAATCGATTCGCACCGCCATGCTTCCCCTGCCTCCGACCCCTCCCGAGCAGTAGAACGCGCACCTTAGCCTACTGCATGCCACCCCTCCGGCTCCACATCAGTCACCACTGCTATCTCGATCACCACCGGCCTCAGCCCGGTTAACAAAGCGTCGGATCGCAGCCGTGCACATCCATCGCAGATTTCCGCCGGGTGTCCGCACTCGCAGTATCCGTTCGCCAGGTTCGCTTCCCACGTCTTCCGCCCGCACACAGCGCACTCGTAGTAGTAGATGGTTATCGTCACTACGATCATCGTGGTTGTGGTTTGCTCGGAGAAAGATAGGTAGGTGGTGGTGTGGCGACGAGAGGAGTAGGAAGGACGGCAGGAACTTATGCATCGTCAGTGGAGAAGCCTGATTGAAGAGCAGGATGCGTGTTACAATACAAACTGTACGCGAGTAGAAAGCTGTAGAAAATAGAGTGCGGGATAGGAGAAGCCGGAAGATGTGCGCGCGGAGACTCGGAGGGCCACCGGCGGCCGGTGCCTAAGGTGTAGTTAACCTGAATCGTGCAACCCCATATCCCCTCGTGTATATCATCTAGCGCAGGGAGCTAAAGATGACCCCGCCAGCTCTCTACCTCCTGACCGGATGTATTCCACAAGTGATATCATCTGAAAAACGATCTTTAGTGAACCAAAAGTCATCAATATGAAGCGGCTTGGGTAGTCAGTCCGTCCAACATCTTGCTACCACGGACTAGAGCAGTCGATTAACGTCGACTGCCACTTTCTGAAATCTTGGGGTTACACTATGTGGCTGGCCGATGAGAACCGCACGGGATCATACAGAGGCAACATCACCGCATCTCCTTCAACCTTTCATAATCTATCCTTCCATCCGTGTTGCAACGGCCAGTCCTGTATCCAGTCTCCCACTGCATGTATCAACTTCAAGACCTCTTTCAATAACTATCAAAATACTCGTATCTGCCACCACCGATCATCGGTTCAGTTCAAATCAGGATTCCACATGTGCATTGTATGGTAACAAGCACACGGATCATTTTCCTTCACCGTCAAGATGCCCGTGGCCAAGTCTCAGATTACCCCTCCTTTCGCCGGAAGATTCAAGATGCACATACCACCAAAGACTATATCTCCGTTCACCGCACTCCCCAGTCCACACCCTCACCTCATCCCATGGCACCCTGCGATCTCGCGATAAACCGAATGATGCAGTACACCGCCCTACTAGTCATCTCCGCTGTTGCAGCATCAGTCTCGGCGCTTGCCAACCCAGACAGTGTCCCGCCCACTCACGTCCACGGTGGCGGCCACATCCTTGATCACCCTTTGGCTATTGACCTAGGCGCACCCATCACCATCGACACACCCGATATCACCTTACCCACGTTGAAGATGCCAACGGTTGACATTCCAGCACTTCCTACGTTTTACCCGCCGACGTTCGACCTACCGACAAAGATCATGGTGCAACGGAGTCGGCCGGCAGGCAGCCGGCATTGCGATCGTTGTTGGGGTAGCAACGGCGGTAGTCCTCGCAGTGTGGTAAAGGTGTGTGGTGTGGGTTTTGTGAAGGGCGAGAGGGGATGGATTGGTAGCTAGACTCGATGTGACCGATGCCGCATCAACGTGTTGAGAAGAAACTGCTGCCAAGGCTACACCTGCAGTGACGATGTCACTGGTAGACGGACATGCCTCTGATATAGCACCCGAAATTAAGGTTCCGTAGAAAGCTGAAGAAAATGGAATAGCGTACCAGATGGGAGGGCTTAAGCTATGGAGATGTCAGACTGTACAAGACGTTCATGACTGATCTCCAAACCTGTAGTATCAGAGGCAGTAAGTGAACCAATAGTGCATCCGTGGAATCACACCAAGCACTCGGATCTCTGCACTGGTGGTGTCACGTGTTCTCGGTGTGTGCGGACGGTAGGGTTACGACGGTTGGGATTTTCGCAGTTGGTAATGCCTCGCAGTCACAAAACCTCCCACAACAACCCCCGCCCACTCCACCATCCCTTCCTCCTTCCTCCAACAAGCCTCACACACTCCATCACCACTTCCTTCCTTCTCCGTACCTTTTACAACAAACTCGACCCCAACCCATCTTTCGCCACACCCAGTAGTGATGGTTGTTTCAATCCGCAACGGGGCCCGACACGTCCGAGCCCGTCTGGAGCAGTGCCCGGACACGCTAGTGAGATAATTACCATCACGTCTACTTAGGTATGACCCCTCTCGTCCTGTACGTCATCAAACGGGATACTGACAGTAGCGGCGCATGCAGCGTGCGTTGAAGTCCTGAGGGGCAGCGTCTGCGCAGTGAACGACTGCGTCGCCTCGGCGACAACGGATGTGGAAACGGATCAGCCACCGAATAAGGAATACATCTTGTATGCGTCGTTAGCTCCCTTGTAGACGGATCTTTACGGTGCTTTGTTGGAGCATATGCTCCAGCTTTCCCAGCGCGTTCCGTTGACAACGAAGATTCACCATCGGAGGAATCTTCCATCCGCGAAGATCACTCACCTTCCCCATTGCGTTCCGAAAACGACGACCGCTCCACAACGCCCCGAAAACCCCGAAGCCGCCTCTGAGAGTGAGGATGGCGATCAGCCAAGTGACGGCATCAATGCAGTCAACAACTCCGACAAAGAAGCATACCAGGACCCGAACGGTTTTACCGTCGCGCAAATCCACCACTTCGCGAGAGAGAACAGTGACCGCTTTCACGGGGACGATCGCCCTGCGGAAATGAGTGCGATTGTGGCCTAATGGATGAAGGACCACCCGATTGGGAGACTTTAAGTGCGGTGCGCTAAGCACCGGAATGGATATCTTTGAAGAAATGTCGGTGTGGGACCATGGTTCTAGTGGTAGGAGAAAATTGCTCTGACAGAAGCATCATCGCCTCCCTATCACTACAACCTGAAGACAGCATTTCACAGATGAGTCCCCGCCGCATATATCCGCGTCACGTCGACTCGTAGTCAATCGACGAAACGAACAATTTGACGAAAGTCTTCCTGTATTTCCGCACCACAGCCTTCAGCGATGTATCGATCGGTCTCGACTCACCTCACTGTACTTACGCCACGACACTGACTGAGCTCACCGCGATTCCTCGGCGCCTTCACGCTTAGTACTGCCTACCCACCTTGTGCTTTGTCTGTATCACATCGTACGCCAACTCAACAGCTCTCCAATTGTGATACCCTCTACCTACGAAAGCATTCACATCGCCACCATTCCGCTTGATCATCTCGGCGCTCGCACCACACTTCTCATCCCCACCGGCGAAATCCTCCAGCACCGCCGGGAGTGTCTATTTGACCGTCTCATCTTCAAACTTGACGTACATCTAGCTTTCCTACGACAAGTTCTTTCCTACATCCTGCCACACACCCTCCCGTCGTTTTCCGAAGCCGAGCTAGGTGGCGCGAGAAACATCGCCATGGTCGCGATGGGAGCGATGCATCAATTCGTGATGGACCTGCAGTGCAGCGGCTTCTGTACGAGATGAAGATTTTTACGCTGGCAGCGGAGGTAGTGAGGAAAGTTACTGCCAAGGGTGATCATCAGTTGATGGAGAGTAACGATGTGGTCCCTGTCGCTAGGGAACTGCTAACATGGGTTTATTTCGGTATTGTCATCTTTGGGGCACTGTACGAGAAAATATCCACCTCGCTACTTCCATTCTATCTTTCGGTGCATGAACTCATAGAAAGAATGATTTGGTCCCACTCGTGTGAAAGTAGAGACCTCCAACAAATCTCCCCAAGGATCCCGCTTAGTATTGCTCTATAGACGAAAGGTGGGGCACAACTGAGCTTTATCATCCCGCGCCGAGACGCTTCCCTCTCTTCCGTATCCTGTCCCTCTGTTTTCCGCTTTCCCTTTCCTTCTCCTCTCGAAATTTTTCCATCCCTTGTCGGTCTCAGTGTTGCGAGGAGGAGACGCTGCGGACACGGCAGATGCTAGTGGTTTAGGTGGTGCCGAGCCGAACTGAACTTCCCTATGCTCAGATTGCTCAGGCGTCGCCGTGTGGTGGGGGGGTTTGCTCTGGTCAGCTTCTTTCACGCATGATCTTCCGGGGACGAGCGGACAGAAGAGAAGCTTGGATGCCGAGGAGCGAGTCACGGCCCATGATCTACATTTCATGTCTGCTGCCGTGGTGCTAAGCCGGCTATAGCTGCCAATGGAGAAGAACACATAGCGGACATGGGGGTAGTGAGTGGGTGGCGATAACCACTAATAGTCTTCGAACACTAGCCCATACTACGAGAGGACAATCCTATGTGTTTACTCCCATAGTCGGAAATACAGCCATCTCTTCTCAGAAATGTGGTATTCTACAACATGAAGACAACTGGGGAAGTCTTGACGAGAAATGAGTAACTCAACCCTTCCTAGTAAAGACCCAGTCGAGTGAGATCTGATGTTTCATATTCCCCTAGACCAGGTTTCAACTGCCAACGGTCCAACACCGGCGTACGCAGTTTACAGCTACAGCGCCACCGTGAGATCAGGTCGGTCATCCATCTCATGCCCAGCAGCACTGCAACGTCAAGCAACTACTCGCGCCATAGCCAGTCGCGCACACATATCACGCTATAAGGAAATACACAACGAGTGCGCACCCGTGTCCTGTGTCCCGTGTTACCCCCAAGTCCAACCTGCTTCAGCTCCGGCCACAATTTCGGCTCCCACCATCAGCAGCACATAGGTAGGCAGGTCCCGTTGACACGATACGCCACGAGTGACGATACGGGCGCGTGAATCGTGATATCATAGCTACCGTAACTCTTTTCCACCAACCACCATCAGCATTACTGAGAATTCCTGCGCGTTACTTCATTACTTCCTAGTGCAAGGTTCAAAGTTCAATGTTCAAAGTCCAGTTTCCGTGCATCCAAATCATCGCGCAAGCCCAGAGCCCGCCACCAGCCTCCAGGACGGTTTTTTCTTTTTTTTTCTATTTGATCAGCCCAAAAGTAGAGTGATTTTCCATGACGCCCGTATTTCTCAGACTCTTTCTACAATGTCCCTAAACGTCCAGGGAGTGAATTGGGGATTTACCAGAGGAAAATTATCGTCGAGGGTGGTTGTAAAATCCATAGCGTAGTAGATGCTGTTGCGTCACTCGTTCTAGAACTTGGTGGCTGATTTTACACAAATGATTCTTTCACCAGATACCCCTCCGGAAGCACGATCGTCGACAGTGCAATGTCGGTTTCTGCGCAGCATACCCACTCCGCTCCTGCAGCCATACCGAACTCTCAACATCGCGACATCCAAAGCAAATCCGAAGCCCTACTCCCTAGCGACAGAGCAAACTAACGGATACAGCGTCGCACTTCACAACGATACGGACGTATGAACTTCAGTAGCCCTCAGCGGCAGCAATCACTACCGACCCCTGTGCCGAATCATCAGCATCGAGGCAGATCTAGCCGGTATTGAACCCGAGAACGTAATGCGGAGGGCGGCTGACACGTGCGCATGCGTAGGAAACGTTCGGTTTCCGGCGACCAGACGCTCTCCATCTACTCCGCTTTCGGTACGCCAACAATTACATTCCCAAGCTCCCATCTCACTATTTATCACCACTCGGTTACACCTGGATCGACGCACGTTTTTCGGCGCCGGGCTGCCACACTTCATCGGGCTGGTCTCTAGAGTAGGCAGCCGTCGCATACCGGCCGAGAACCCGCGCCGACCGGCGACAGCTTCTGTCGGATACAGATCTCACAAGGCCAGAGTGTGCCACCAAATGTGCGGTACGGATGAAGTACAAGCGACGAGAACTTCTGCGGAATCGCTGGTAAAGCATACTTCAGCCTCCAGGACTCGATCCTCGCGCACGAGAGGCAGGCCGCAGGTACGATTCCGAGAAGCGCCTCCTCGAATCAGAGAGCTCGAAGGGACGGATGGAAGGATCGCAGTTGTCGGAAGCCGTTCATAGACTCGTGTTTGGTGTATGCACGATGAGGAAACGGGCAGCCGGCTTCGGTTCTGGCGTGGTGCTTCTCGATCCGGAAGACAGTTCTTGAAGACTCTCTGGCGAATGGCGGATGGCGAATTGCTGAGCTGACCTGAGCTACGGGATGACGGGTATTACTGGTGTTACTGGTATTACTGATGTTACTACAGCCGATTGGTTGGAATACTATTCGGAATCTCAGATGCAGGTTCTACTGGTGCTACATACCTAGTGAATGGGCGTGGCTCTGCGCTTTCTGCACTTGAACTCTTCCCCCGGCGGTCGGGCCCCCCGAAAATGCAATTCCAGAGACTCTGGCTTATTCCATGAGCCCGGCCTTCGAACAAATCACACATCCGGAAGAAAAGTGACTGACATCAATCCAACCTCAAAGCTACCATATGGCATACTACGCGCGGTACTTCATCTCGGACTTCTACCCCAGCCTCGGATGGCTATGCCAAGTAATCGGCATCCACAGCAAGAGTCAAGACGAGACCAAGCCAAATCGCCGTCACCTGTTGGTCCACGTTCCGTGTTGGGTGTACATTTCACGGCCGAATCGACCACACGATCCAGCTCATTACTGCTGTCTACTAGACAAGCACTCTATCCCGGGCCCCGATCGTCGATCACCAGGACACGTTGAATACGCCCTACACGTGGATCGCCTTATCACCCTTTGAGGCCATGCCAACTCTACTCGCTACTTTGGTCCTTCCTCCCGTCCGCGCTGCTTATTAATCCGCCGATTCGAGTGGCTGAGTACTCTCGGAGATAGACGCAATGTGGCGATGAAGGACGAAGTCAGATATAATTCTATGCTTTCTGATACAAGGAGGGCAGGTCTCAGACTCCCAGAATGCAGGGGTCTAACGGCCGCTTATTGCAATAGAGTGTGAATCATACGAGATCGGTAAACGGGAGGCGTTTCGATGATTAGGAAGTGCAGCTTCGTCCTTCAACGCAACACACGCCCGTCCAGCTACCGACACGTTCCCATGGCGATCGAGACAGGAATCAATGCTCTATTCAAGATAACCGGTATCTTTTAGCTACGTTCTTTGCTCTACCAGGTTCCCAGGTTCCAGTCTCGATTTCGAGCAAAATTCATCGTCGGGTCATGGCGAGGCGAGTGAGCCCTTATGATCCACTGCCACTTCCGATTGGCGATAGGCGATACAATTGTGATCCGATGGTTTGGGACAATGATGGAAACAGTGCTAGATATATTCTCTAGCTATAGCAAATCGTGAAGACATATACAGAGCGGGTAGGAGGGCTACGAGCGGGGCAGCGAGCGGGTGGTGGTAACCGGATGACAGTCCTCGCAAAGCCCACAGGTGAGGACAATGCTAACGATGTGTTTACTCCCATAGTCAGGAATAAAGCCAGCTCTCCCCTGCAATCAGTACCTAATCTATACAGCGTAGATGCTGCTAGTGAAGCCTGGACGAGAATCCAGCAATGTCTCAACCGCGGCCAGTCGGGATCCTCAGCGAGCGAGATTCTATATTCCAAATACCTAGACCAGGCTCCAACTGCCAACCGCACAACGCCGGCGTACGCACCTGTGCAGTCCATCGTCCTAATGAGGTGGAGTCGCTCAGGATGCAACAGCAGCCCCTTCGTGACACCAGTCCCTTCGAGCCAGTCGCGCACATATATCCACCTGTATGGGAATACTCAAACGAGTGCGCACCCATGTCCCATGTCCCATGTCCCATGTCCCATGTCCCATCTCCCGTGTCACCCTCAAGTTCAACCTGCTTCAGCCTCCAGCTCCAGCTCCGGCCGCAATCTCGGCTTCCAGCGTCGGCGGCACATAGGTAGCTTGCAGCGGTCGCACGGTCGTACGGTCGCACGCTCGCACGCTCCCGTCAGCACGCTCCCGTCGCCACGATACGACACGAGTGACGATACGGAAGGGTGATATCACAGCTACATACATACCTAGCTGTGTTTACCACCGGCGCCGATATCCTGCGCATTCCTACGCGTGCTATCAACATGTATTCCCTCAAAGTTCAAAGTTCAGTTTCCCTGTATCGAGATCATCGCTCAATCGTAGAATCTACCCACCACCTGCCACCAGTCTACCGTTTCCAGGCACCCACCGCCCCAACTTGCTTAACTTTACATCATAGACTCATCGCACACAGCATGAGTGTCAGACCGCGCTCCGTTCACCTTCCCCTCCCGTCCCTCTCTGTCCCCTTCCGTTCCTGCCTGGGATAACAAACTACTGCCAGGTCACGTGCCATCACACCTCATCACTCGCCCCCCTCCTTTCCACGCGCGATCTCTCGCCCGAGAAATCTAACCCGGCACCCGCTCCGCCGCTAGCAGCCTGACACTCCCGCCACGCTGATCCCTCTGCCCCGCCACAGGGAAATCTGAACCTGGAAGGTGATGATGGTATCAGACGAATCTCATCCACAATCCATTAATAGACGTCACCATTACCACGTGGGATCTGGACACGGAGAACCTGTAGCCTGTAGCCTGTAGCCTGTAGCCTGTGGGCTTTAAGGCCGAGAGACAGTTCCCCCCGCCGCCCCTCCCCCCCTTCTTTTCTCCTCCCTCTCCCCTCCGCTCGCTTTTGCTTTTCTCTTTAGTGCTACATTACAGAAGCCATCATAGTGATCTCGATCTCACAGTGAGTTCACAGCGGTCGAGACAGAAAACGAAAAAGTAATATTTCGAGAATATATTTTTCATTATCGTCTCGCCCGAATAAATCCAAAACCAAACTAAAAACCAAGACAAGACAAAGACAAAATAAGACAAGACGATTGAAATCGCGAACAGAAAACTAAAATTAAAAGCAGAAATTACATCGCGAAAACTCAGAAAACCATAACAAAAGCCAGAAACAAACAAAAAACCAAACAAAAACTAAAATGCCCGCTGTAAACAAAAGAGACAAATGAAGCCAATCAAACAAAAGAAAGCACATGAAAGACCCAACCCAATCCAACAAAAGAATCCCCATACAAAAGAAATCCCGTACAAAGGAAAGCCTTCAGCGAAAATCCCCACCCCTGTCCATTCCCCTTCCGGTTCCCGTTCCCGTTCCCGTCCCGTTCCCGTTCCCGTCCGATCTCGAGCCCGAAGGCGAGCATGCTGGACATTCCGATCCCTTGTCGAGTTCCCGATTTCATGTCCCTCCATATCCCATCCCATCTTCGCTGTAGATAAACAAAAACAAAACAAACCGTAACCAAAAACCCAGAAAAACACCAAACAATCCACCTCTATCAGTCGTACTCTCGCGCCCATACCCCTACCCATACCCAGCCTCAGCCCATACCCCAGCCCGCGCCCCAGCCCGCGCCCAAGCCTGCCCAACGACAGCCGTCTACTGCCCTTCAATCCCCTCAAACATATCCATCACGACCCCCGCCATCCTGCCATCCCTGAGTGCCTCATAGATCCTGGTGATCATGGCACCCGTAGTCAACACCTGGGCCTCGCGCTCATGTTGCTCACCATGCTTTAGCGGCAGATCGTCCTGTCCGCGATGCATCGGTACATTCAGATCTTTCCTCACAAACTCATACAGGATCCTGGTGCGTCCCAAACTCTGCGCGGCCGGCATATCCTTGGCGACAAACTCCTCTCTATGCTCTTTATACAGCGCAAGGGCTTTATGCGTAAGATTCTGGCGCCACAGGGAGATGCTAGAGAAGACGGCGGTCGGGTCGCTAGACGGGCGCGGATTGTTCTCCGACAGCGCCTCCATCACGACGGACGTGGCGGTGTAGAAGATGTCGTTGAAGCGAGCGCGGGAGTCCTCGCGCATCGTCTCGTCGAAGCGCTTCTTGACGTGGTCGAAGACTTTGACACCGAGCTTGCGCAGCTCCTTCTTGCCGATCATGCCCTTGAAGTAGGAGGCGGTCTCGGTCTTGACGAGGGTCTCGAGGGCTTCCGTGAAGGTCAGGAGCATGACGCGCAGGTCGACGGCTTGGCAGAGCACGTAGACGTAGTTGGCCATCAACATCATGAGCACGTCGTTCATCTCGTCGGCCTGGCGGGCGGAAATGAGCGCGAGACTATTGACGGCCTGGTTGCGGTCCTCAGCGCACTGGACGTGGGAGCCGACGTTACCGGCGGCGAGGACGCCGAGCTCGGAGCAGTAGGCGGCAGCGGCTATGTCGACCGCCTTCATGGTGTAGGAGAGCGAGGTGTCGCAGTCGGAGGCGAGGTTGGGCGGCAGCGGCGCGGTGCAGTAGTTCACCATCTCCGTCAGCTGCTGGAACATGAGCTTGCCGATGTTCTGCAGGGCGCCGCGCGTCTTCTCCATCGCGGCGGTGACGTGCATCGCCTGGAAGTTGCCGGCGTGCATGATGCGCGCGTACTGGCCGGAGGAGGAGGTGGTGTCGATGAGAGGGTTGTCGGTGGTCGAGTTGCACTCGACGCCGAGCTGCGAGATGGCCAGGTCGAGATCCTCGATCTGAGGGCCGATCCACTGCGGCGATGTGCGCAGGGGGTAGCGGTCCTGGCGCAGGCCGACGTGCTCGTGGTCCTCGTCGCCTTCGGGAGCGGCGTGGCGGTCGCGGGCGAGCGATGAGTCGCCGAGGAGGAACCAGATGTTGCCGGCTACCTCCTTCTGTCCGGGGTGAGGACGGGTGACGCCGGCGACCCAGGGATCGAAGGGCTCGGCACTGCCGACGGCGACTTCGACGGCCATGGCGGTGAGTGCCTGGGAGAACTGTGCGAGCATAGAGGCCTCAGAGACAACCTGTGTCGCTACCGAGCAGGAGACCGAAGTGCCGTTGATCAGGCCGAGGACCTCCTTCGCCTTGAACTCGACGGGCTGGAGACCACATGATGCCAGGGCTTCGCGGGATGTGACTGTCTGTCTGTCCTCGCCGATGAAGCAGAAGATGCCGGGGTGTCCGGTGACGGCACCGGCAATGTAGCTGAGAGGGCTCAAGTCACCGCTGGCCGAGATGCTGCCTCGAAGTGGTACACAAGGGATGGCATTATTGTTGAGCATGCCCACGAGGCGCTCCAACACCTCCCATCGAACAGCCGAGTGGCCACGAAGGAGGGAGTTGATTCGGATGGCCATGGCGCCACGCACCCAAGCTTCGGGCATCACATTCTTGTTTCCCGAGTTCATCGCTGTCGAATCGTCAGTCATCAAGCCAAGCAAAAAAAGGGATCCGGGATGAACTCACATGGCATGATTCCAATGTGCTGCATCTGCAGCAAAGCCGCCTGCAGGGTATCCGGGCGGTTGGTTCTCGAATCCGCCGAAGCACCAAAGCCGGTGTTGACACCGTAGATGCAGTGGTCGGCCTTCAGATGGGCCTGGAGAGCCTCGACTGAAGCCTGGACTTGCCGCTTGGCGATGGTGTCTATGTGCACCTGTGTCCCTGCCTTCATGATGGTCTGCAGCTGGCTGATGGTCAGGTCGTGGCCGGTCAGGTTTATGGTGACCGATGGGTCGGTGGTGTGATTGCTGTGCAGGAGGTTGTAGACGCTCGACAGCTTGTCTTCCGGTGTCGGGGTGAGTCTGGATGGCTGTTAGCACGTGGAGTACGGCGATGTGATGGCTACACATACCTGTAAGACGGGGCAAACTTGTGGGACTCCTCGAGGGGTGGAGATCGGCCCGGTGATGCGGCGGGAGTGATGGTAGTGGGATTACTGTTGTCACAAAGTCAGCGGCTGTTGTGCACTGTTCGATGGAATGAGACGCATACAGCATGTTTGGGATCTTGCTGTAAGTCCGCCTGTAGCTGTTGGCGGGCATCTGAGTCGGAGAGGCGGGCATTGTGAAGGATGTTGAAGGTGGCCTGAGAAAACACAATAGAGATTAAGTCGAGAAAGAAAGGGTAGTGGACGGGGTATTATATGATGATGGATGAGATGAGTGGGGTGGGGAGGTGGATGTGGCTGTTGATGATGTTGTGTTGGAAGGAAGTGATGGAGTCGGAAACGGGACGGGATTTATATGTACGGACGTGATAGCGTATCCGGCCGCTCCAGAGTCCAACACTAGCAGCTCGCGCGAGGCCATATCCTCCTGTCAGCCCTCCTCCCTCTCCGCATCATCGGCGCAGGTCGTATCTGGAATTGGCTTCGCCCGGAGGCCGGGGCAAGAGCCGTATTGCATCCAGGAGCAGGCATGATTAGGGATCCGGCAGCGCGGCATCGTGCTTGCGGCGGGGCGATGATGATGGCTGGATGATGGACGATGGATGATGGACGAGTGAGCCATGGTTTCGGACGAGAGAGCCATACGGCAGATATTCGGACCGCCCGTAGCAGGGCCGCGGATTGGCTGAGTCTGTTTGTGCGTGTGTGTGTGTGTCCTGACAGGCAGCGGCGGAAGGAGGTGGCTTGCGACGGGCTCGCGTGGGTGAGGTAAGAGGCGCATTTCCGTCCGTCGACAGGATTGTAGCTTGTAAATGTGATTGTGTGTGGGGTGGTGAGGAAGTTGAGAGGCTTCCAGGTAATCCCGCCGGTTGGTGCGTCACGGATCATGCAGGGTGGGAGTAGCTTAGTCCTACGCAGATCCGCTGCAGCTAAAGATTGGCGATCACCACCCCCGCGACATTCGGTGCCTGTTTTTCGGGGGCGCGACGGGAGCAACTCTTCACCATGGCTATCGTCAGATATAAACAGGGAGTTGTTATGATTGGCTGGAGCTATTGGGCGAAGCTTCCACCATTGCCAGTCGACACAAGCGCCACAGAACGGGATTGGCCATCGCCTGCGCCTCACGCAGAGCAGAAGACTCTGACTACGCCGGGCTCTCCAGCATTCGGAGCACATTTCCATGCCACAGTGATACCTTGATTATTTTTTCGCACGGTCGGATTGGCCCCTGAAGAATATCGGATTCCCGCGCGACCGGGAGTCTCGCGACGGAGGCTTGTCGTGAGACCTTTCGCTCGAGTCCTCGTCTAATCTGACAGCACTTTCTGTATCACTGAATTAAGTAAGCACATCTACTGTTCCGTCCAGGAACAACTGATACTAATCAGAAAAAAATAAAAAGAAAAAACCTAAAAACGAACTGCGCCACTGCACTCGGAGCTTATCTAAGAGCTAGAAGTATTTCCATCGCTCTAGTCTCCGAGACCCAGTCTGTCTGACTCGCCGATTATATTCCGACATGCATTGGCTCTGCGCGTGCTGCGCTTACTTGCTAGTACTAGTAGTCTTAATCGACGACATCTCTCGTCCGACATGATAGTCTATCAAAGCGTGAATGGCAGGAGCATCACACAACCATCACTCGCACGAGCCAATCGTCCCGGGCCCTTGCTACTCTGCCTAGTGCTTGGGAATGCCAACGGCGGCGGAAAAAGAAATATGCTGCTATGTGAGTACGGGCTATGTCATGACAGGTCTAATGGAGTATCTATCCTGCGCGATTGTCGTATCTGGAGTAGTTGGTCGGTACTAGTTACAGGTATTCCTCCAGAAGGTACCGCGGAAGACCGGTCGAATCATGAAAGACGGATGGCGCTCGATCGAGAGCATAGCCGGATTGATTCTTGACAGGCATACATCCTGCAATAGGACCAACCGTCTCTAAATTGTCCCCACTCCCCCCTCCTCACCCCCATGGAACATATCTCTCGTGCGGCCGTTCCACGATTAGGCGTGCCACGTTCTCACCCGGTCCGGGCCCGGGGCCTGTTCGTCCAAACTAGGTATGCATTTCACGTTTCCGCTCCACAGAAGCACGTTTCTTCGATATCTTATGTCCAGTTCGGGCATCCAACCGTTCGTCGGAGCAGTCCGGCTTTTTCCCACCGAACAGCAGCAACAGGTCGGAGATTCGGACCTAATCACTTCGGCCATCATACGTGATACAGCTATTCCCAATAGATCACAGTCGGAGCCTTCTTCTCGATCTTCCCCACTCCATCACACCACTCGGTAGAGAAAGAACCCTCTTCCGGAGCAAGTACCTAAGTAGGTAGCCCGTTTGTCTCCGCCGAGCCAAGTCAAGTCGAGTCGATCACACTAGAGTTGTTCACGGTGGTAGGCGATCCACAGCTACCAGCCTACCAGCCTACTCTAATTACAGTTACCTGTGATCGACGAGTAGAGTGGGCTGATCAGGCTTACTTACAGCTACCGGCAGTTGCGGTTCTTCTGATTCTTCTGGGAGTCTGGGACCCCTAGTGTCACCGATTCGGCCGTGAAGTTGGTAGATACGGTATGTAGTAGGCTTTAGAGTTGATATGACTCATGCAGACGGCATTAGGGCTGCAGCTGAGAGGCCAGGCTGCGAGTCTGCGAGTCTGCGGCCAATGGTGTTCTATTTCGGTCTCATCTCGGATTCTCGGGGGCAGAGGCGGATGATCATTATGTATTGGATGTACATCGCACAGCCACTGGCTTCCAACTAGAGACCACGAGGCTACCGTACTTGAGTACCGGAGTGAGGGCTCCAAGGCGTAATGCTCAACCTTTGCCAGTTTGTCGGGATTTCTATACTAAGATGTCAGCCACGAGTATTTAGTAGTAAACAGTGGTAGACAGTGGTAGTAGAGTCACCGCCTATTCGTCGATATTTATACCTCAAATACAAGCTACATACTTATGCAGCCTTCAGGCTTCCTTCACCCCGAGAACGAACCCTCGAACAGTAACTGCGCAAGCTGTAATAAGCCGCAATCGCTGAATGTAAGAACTTAATAATGTAAGAGTATCCGCACCACGCAGCAACAGCATGGACGGGACGAGGAGCCTGGGGCCTGCATACCCGCTTTTCCACTCGTCTTCAGCTTCTGAACCGCGTGCGTACGTTCTCATTCGTCGGGGCCCCCCTCTCAATCACAACTCCCAATCACACAACCTAATCCCCTCCATTCAAACGATCGAACCTTACTCCACCGATTCCCCTCCACCAGCTCGGATCAAAACGTGGGGATGTTATGTGAATACATTCTCCTGCCGGTGGGTACATACGCATACGCATGCGCATAATGCATGCATGCATCGACCACGTGCGAGGCCTCTGCTCCTCCGAGAACCCGCTAAGGTGCCAAGGTGCCAAGGTGGAAGTTTGATCACTGGCAGGCTCTGTCCTCTCTTCGCGGTGTTCTCTTTGGTGCGGAGTATTCCTTGCTGACCCCGAATTAACTGCCCGCGGCCTACTTGTAACGCGGGTTGTAACGGTTTCGACGTCGCTATCATGCGCAACAGATAACGAGTAACGACTAACAACAAAAAAAGCAGACCGAAGTAGCACTGCTACCGTAAATACCGTAAATACCGAACAAAGATACCGATACACTCTACCCCCCCAGACGCGCTCACCCCCCGAGAACGTGAACCATAGATACAACACGATACGATACGATCGATGGAGAAGAATATGCCCTAGCTAGACTGCCCACCTATCTAGTCTTGACTCTTAGAGTGCGTAGTGCGGAGCTCATTTTGGCCCTTAGAGGTGGAGTTGGTGTCTTTCGGCCGGTACTGATACCAGGAGCTGCCAATAAGTGGTGCCTCACCACCATTACTAATTATAAACACTAGTCTATATTAGGAGAGCACTAAGTCAGATCTAATGAAATGAGTGAGTGATGGTGACTAAGTTGTGTGGGGGAAAATCTGGTGAGGCAGCACTTACCCTTATACCCGAGTACCGAGTACATGGGTTGGCCGGATATGGATTACTGGGTGGCTGCGGGGATATATTACTCCGACATGAGCGGCTGGGAAGGGTGGATGGGGAGTGACAATTTGTGATGAATGTTAGATAAGTACAAGCTCCGGTCGGAGCTGGGAAAAAAAAGGTGAAAGATGGGAGTATGGGAGGGAGGGAGGGATGTAGCACTTCGAGCTCAGATAGAGTACCTATAGTTACCTCTTTTCCGGATAGCGAATTCTTCAAAAACAGATGGGTATTTATACTGCATAGAATCATCATCTCTACCTCCGAACCTGTCCATTCTTCGCATGTGTTAATAACTTAATACCTTTCTCGCCAAGTTCGAGCTCCATCCGACACCGTTCGATTCCGATTCAAATTCACTCCTCAAATGCTTCCGCAGCCGCCCGCTCTCGAGTCTCACCATGTAAATAGTGAACACGCCGCCATATTGACACTACATTTGCCGTTGCAACTGCAGCTACCAGCGACGTGACCGCATGGCGCTATTGACGCGTCGTTCTCGCCGTCCAGCCCCAGGGTAGAGATATCCTCCAATTCGCACAATTCAAAGACTTCGGTTATGCCTTCGAACTTCAAAATACCCTGTCACACCAGTTACACCAAAGATAGCAGGAATACTGCGATATCACGTTTCAACTTTCAAGCCCAAAAGTTCGACAATGCGAGTGACGAACCAAGGCCGCGTCCGATCTTCCATGCTTCTCTCCATCTACTGCACAGGTGTCCGACTCCGAATTCTGTTGTTTGTTCGGTTGGGGAACATAGGGTTTCAAGTCGCAGATTCGCAATTGATGTAGGTAAGTACACTGTACTGTGTACGGGAGGAGTTGCCGGGAAAGCTGGGTGAACTGTCAGCCGGTGCAAAGGATGAACCGCCGGTAGCCTCCGGGTGCGGAGAGGGGGGTTTGTGAGGACAACACGGGTCACGGCACTGTTACATAATCACGAAAAGGGTCACGGAAAGAGCAATAGCGATAGCAAATTGTACAGTAGTTTTAGCAAAAAGGTACAGTAATTTTAGCGAATAAGTACAGTAGTTATAACAGCAAACGTCTATCTATAATGCCATAGTTCTCGGCACAATCATCTCTCTTTTCTTTCCGCGGTAATCTTCGTTCCCATGTTGGCAGGAGAATTGATATCGTAAGCGCATCGGTTTGATGATGGTGTTTGTATTTCGATCGTAGCCGGCGATCGTAAGCATATCGATTTTGCGTCTGTGTGAAGTGAAGTCGGTGATATTCATATTTTAGGGTATCATTTTCGTTCTCGCTTGTACTGAAGTCGGTAAAGTTTTTGTTTCGTTCGATTTCGCGATTGATGCGGCTGTGTGTGGATTTTAATGATCACCCGGAAACACCGGGAAATCACTGCTGGCTGGTGACCGGAGTATCAGCATCTACCCTTCAAGTACGATCCGATCAAATCAACAGGAGATAGCAGAGACACTTACTGTGGCTGACAGGATCCCGACCCGCACCATGTTGGTGGAGACCCGATCATGGACCGGCTGGTCCTCCGCTGCTCGAACAACCTCGACACTTGCACGGGAACGTGTTCCCGTGCAGGTGAGGGAGAACATCAGTTCTCCCCTGAAGGAGAGGGCTTCCTCTCCTTCGTCACCGGCAGGGGAACTTATTCCCGTGACGGATCAGTTCTCCCGCGCAGGAGAGGAAAGCCTCTCCTTCGCTTAGCAGGCGCCTTTTCTATGGCGGCCGCAGGAACGCGGATTTTGCGCACAGGCCTTGCGACGAGCCTGGGATCGGCGACAGCGCTTTTTATTTCGGATTGCGGGCATGTCGGTTAGGTTTCTTCGTGATTTCTGTCGAATGGGCTGCTTTGGTTGGTAACGGATGAGTGGAGACGGCGGTTGCCATTGAAGGAGAGGTTTCCCTCTCCTTCAAAACCTGTAGGTGAATCGCTCCCCATGCAGGTGAGGGAGAACATTAGTTCGCCCACGAAGGAGAGGAAACCCTCTCCTGCGCTTCGCGACTTTCGTGAGCGGCCCCAGGAAAGTGCATGCTCGGGGGCTGTTGCGGCACACCGTGGTGCCTTGCCCGGCTTGAAGCTTGCGGGCCCGCTGGAATCTGGTGAGGATTGATGGACTCGTTCGCAGGCGGGCAGAAAACCCGTCGATGATGAGGAACCCCGTCGCAAGGTTGGCGTTAATCGTGGACGCTGGAAGGCCGGGGCCAAGAGTAGACGGGTGGATCTGATCGCTTGCTGGTATATGCCTGAGTCGCCCTTGGATTTGATCCAATCTGTCAGCTCGCGGATAGCGCATGGCTCACTGACGGCGTACCACACCAGCTCGCGGATGGCCTCTTTGTCATTCATCTTGAACGTCTTCGTAGTTCTCGCCAGCATCACTGCGGATGTTGTGCGGCTGGGAGGATACCGGTAGGATACGGCATATTTTGCCCTCCTTAGCACTGCACGGGAATCGCTCCCCGTGGAGATGAGGGAGAATATCAGTTCCCCTTTGGAGGAGAGGTTCTCCTCTCCTTCAAAATCTGCAGGTCAATCGCTTCCTGGTTTTTGTTGAAAGGAGAGCTTTCCCTCTCCTTCAAAACCTGCAGGGCAATCGCTTCCTGGTTTTTGTTGAAAGGAGAGCTTTCCCTCTCCTTCAAAACCTGCAGGGCAATCGCTTCCTGGTTTTTGCTGAAGGAGAGCTTTCCCTCTCATTTGATTCGCCGGAGCTTTCTTCGGCGGCACCGAGCTGTCGGCGCGCCTGAGGGGCCTGCCATCGTGCCACACCTCGATCAGGGCCCTATTGATAGCCCAGATTTCTCGGCTATCGGCCGGCAGCGTGGTCAATGCACGGGCAGACTCATGCAAAATGGTAGGATTAATCCCCATTTTCTTCTCAGCCGAGGTATTCTCGTCGTAACGTAGGACGTTGACCATCATGTTGATAAAGTTCTTGTTCGTTAGATCCGTCCAGTCGCTATCCGGATCGTTTATTGTGCGCGCGTACTTGACTAGTAGCTTCGAGTGCTTCTCAAAGAGCAAGTGAAACTCGCGGATTTGGCTGAGATCATCAGCTCATGCAGCAAACATAGTACCAAGAGTTGACTTACAATTTCATCTCAGCCCAGCGAATCAACGTCCTTGGCCGGCCTCGTCCAGCGGGCTCGGCCCCGTCGACCTCCTCCACCTCCACCTCTTCCTCTTTCCCATCCACCACCACCCCCAGACCTCCTCCACCTCCACCTCATCCTCTTCCCCCTCCACCTCCTCCCCTTACCCACCATCGCTGGTGGTACCAGTCGAAACTGGTCTTCCGGCAATGCCGGGAAAAGTGAGCCGCTCCTTCTGAAGAACTCGTCCCTACTCTTCCCATTCTGTGAGCGTGTTAGGGTTGTTTGTTCGTGAGGTATGAGGTGGTCCGAGGGCAAACTTACCAGCCTTCAGCTTCTTGACCTCGTCGATGCAGGCCCGTCGGTGCTTGTTCTCGACAGCGACACCAGCAACCACCCACTAGTCGTAGTTGTGGATGTCGAGTCCACCCACTAGTGGTATTTGTGGATCTTCAGTCGCCGAGTAGTACCAAGTTGATCATTTTGCACATTAGACGAAGTCAAAATTCGTCGTCTTCACTGTCAACGTCCTGTTCCAGCTGGGCCGACGAAGCCGCGCAATCTTTTCTTCTCGGTCGAGGACTTCTTCCCCTATGCGTCAAGAATGTTAGTTAGTATGGATGATAGTAGCGGGAGTGTAGGGTGACGAGCCTCCAGAAGGAGAGCGTAGGCTTAGCCTTTGCTGATACGTTTTTGAGAGCCTCCTTCGCCTTGCAACCCAGGGGGCCGGGGCCCCAATGGCGCCTTGAGCTTTTTCCGATCCTCCTTCAAAATGCTACCCCCACGGGCCCGGGCTCCCATGGTGGCTTGAGGTTCTTGCGCTCCCCCTTCACATTGCAACGCCAGGGGGCCGGGGTCCCCATGGTGCCTTGAGCTTCTTGCAATCACGGAATGTCTGCCGGCGAGGAAGAAAATCTTCCAATCTGTGAGTGAAGGATGTTATTTGATGTGGATGAGACAAGCGGGAGAGGGTGACGAACAGTCGATCTGGAATTGCTTATGGCGCAATCGAGATGTTAAGGAATAGGTGTTCGGATTCCCGTCTTGTCGTATTGTCGAAGGCTGAAGCGAAAATCGAACGTCGTATTGTCGTCGTTATCTGAAGAGAAAAGTGAAAGCCGATAGTCAGAAAGTTGTGATGGATTAGAGATAGTTGGAAGATTGTAATGTTGATGGTTGTAAAGAAGGAAAATAGATGTGAGAAGAGAAGAAAATGGGAGAAGAGGGGGAAGGGAGGTGCTACTTATACTTCGAGCGGAGGGAGATTTAGCCGACAACCTTAGCACACAAACAGCTGTGAAATTACGCTAGCGCCTTTTGAATTCTGGCGGAGAAAATTTTCGTTGAATTGTCCTTGTGATAGCGCGGGGTAAGGTGATTTTGAGAGTGTGAGAGAGAGGGCAAGCGTGCAACGAGAACAAACACGCCAATGCTTGCAGCATCGCTCGACCTTCGGCCCAGGAGAGTGGGCAGGAAACTAGTGGAACTGTTCAGAATACTCTAGATAGGCTGCATGCGAAATAAACTGAAGATCTCTCTCTTTACCGTCGGCACAGGCGCGGCTCTGTACATAGACGATGTAGAGAGTCCGATCCATCTACTGCAGCTCACTAAACATTATAGACAAGATTTTTCTGAAATAGAGTAGGGCATCAAGTTCATAGCAAGACATAACAGTGTGGAGCGTGGTGCGCGTGGCGTGCCCTTCAACCGGGATCAATCCTGATCCGAGGTCCAGTGGTACTCTTGACGGCAGGGGATGGGGGTTGAATTTTTCTACAGAGAACCTCCGTGGTCACCATAGCCAAGTATCAACTACTCCCTCTCTACGCGTGAAGCTGCTTCCGCTCCTCAATGGATATCCCTGGTCTGATCGAGTCACGTTGGGGTCATCTACTTGCAATATCGCATCCAGTTTCCGTCGAAAGATCCTCCTGCCTGATCGACACTGGACAGCTTACTGCCGCGAAGCTCAGTTTCGGACTGCTGCGATCACACATGGACGCATCAGGAAAAAGAATTATCCGTTGGGTGCGTGTAGACGGTCCTGACTCTAGTAGCGCTGGGAACGTCCTCGAGCCATTGTATAGAGTGAAAGCCTAGTCATTTCTAGTATGAACGACCAATGCCCAGTGGTTTCCAGATATGAGCGAAAAATGCCCAGTCATCTCCAGATATGAACGATCAACGCCCAGTCTATTTCGTGTATGATTGGAGACACCGAAAACTGTCAGATGTAGACGTCTGATCGCTCCGTGGGAGTCCAGACGCCGGAGGAATTCTCGCCGGAGGTGGCGCCAGTGCTTGTCCGAGTCATACCTGTGCCAGACGACTAGCGACCGGATCTTGGGCGTTTGGACCTTAGGCGTCCACGTTTGGTGCCCTGAGCGTGATGGTGTCTACGAGCAGCTCGCCGACAGGACGAGCCGGGAGGCCATCTACATAGCACATGTATATAGAGGACCTTCTGCCGCTGCAGAACACAGACGATAATCAAGATTTTATACTACTATATTTAACAAAAACCTATGTGTCTGCGTTGCCTCTCATTGGAGTAGTCAACCATCCAGGGATTCCGACTGTGCACAGTGTCTGTGCGAGACAATATTTCCTGCGTATTTAAGAATATTTATTCTATTCCAGCTGTACTATATACCCCGCATAAACTAGGTGTGTACATGCATCATATTTTGTGCGAATAAACCCATCCTCCTCCTCCTCCCCATCATCCTCCTCCTCCCAGTCCTCACCTTTCCCCACCCTCTGCCCTTTCGTCCTTCCCACTCCACGCCTCCGAGCGCGCACGAGCACATGCTCCTCTTCTCGGCCGGCATGATACAGGGGAACGATATGGTGTCCGCGGTGCAGTCAGAAGCGAGAAGCAGTAGCAACAGACGATCGGCGAGTAGCAGTATTTAGAGAGGAGGCGTCATCGAGGAAAGAGGCAATATTGAGGAAGGTGGCGGTGTCGAGGGCGGAGGCGGTATCGAGGGATGAGACAGTATCTAGGGGCGAGGCTGTATTTAGGGAGGCACCAATATCAGCAGCATTTCTGGCAAGACGGGTAGCAGTGGTAACGAGATGGTATTCGGCGGGCCAGTAGCAGTAGGGAGACAGAACATGACTCCAGCAACATGACTCCAGCGGACCCAGAATCGCCACGCGTGAAATCATCTTCCGCATACTGCTCAAGTCTTAAGCGAATGCAGTCCAGGGCAGCTATAGGCGCATCTCCAAGGCTAATTCAGTGGTGAAGCTCTAGCAGCGAATCCAGTAGTAACTCCCTGGCAGCGGATAGTACAGAGGCCCCGGCAGCGAATCGTACAGAGCCATTGCAGCGAATCCAGTACTGAGGCCTAGAGAGGGTTGCCATGGCAGCGAATCCAGCATTCCAGCACAGAGCTCATGGCAGCGAATCTTATAGAGAGGCCACGGCAGCGAATCTAGCAATCCAGTACAGAGGACTTTTTCCACAGCAGGACGACAAGGCGCGCAGGACGAGTAGGACGAGTAGGACGAGTAGGGCGAGTAGGACGAGTAGGACGAGTAGGACGATTGGCAGGAGTAGGACCAGGAGGACAAGTCGCGGTGGGACGAGGAGGCTGTTTCCGCAGCCGGACGTGAAGGACGAGAAGGACAAGGAGGGCAAGGAGATTCTTTGCATAGCAGGACGAATGGGACGAGCATCCTTCCCTCGGCTAGTCTTCTTTCGCACCTCCGTCCAAAGGAACTTCTGTTGCTCCATCTACTGCGCGCAACTCTTGAACAGGGGTTCTCGGGTCTGAGTCTTGTACCGGCACCACCAGCACTCTGCCGTCGATCGGTTTTTTGTCCACGCCAAATGGTGGCCTGTTAGGCTGTTAGGGCATGGCCTGAATTGTCATGTCCGCGTAGGCGACTAAGCTTGAACGAGTGAGTTATCACAACAGCCACAATGATTCGGATCGGATGATGGAGAACACTGGCCCCCTCTCTGTGAGCAGTCGTCGGTGGCCTGCTGCTCCCTTCAACAACTCGTATTACATCGGCTTCGCTCCTACACTCAGCACTTGTGGGGATGGTTCTCGTCACATTTTCAAAAGACACTTTCACCCACCAATCATTAAAACTAGTGAGTTGTGAGTCAGCCAATACTCAGCTTGCCAAAAACCACGCACCTTCAGTCTCCCGTCGCTGGAAAACGCTAACCACACCCAGCCCTACTCGTATCCTACCCTTCTATACGTCACATCTTGCAACCAACCTACATCTCGCAACGCGGCCCCATCAGCCAACACTCAGAACCCGCAATCCTCATCCACCTCTGATTCTCGTCTCTTCTTCTTTTTCTTCTTCTTCTCGCGAAGGTATCGGATCGGGCTTTGTCTTCGTCCGCAACAATGAACAGCTCAATCGAACGCATGCAAGTTTTTTCCGACTCTGAGTCACTTGTAGCTCTTCTTTTCGCTAATCGCCCCGTAGGTCCGACGACGGTTGGGACTGTAAGGTCGGCAAGATCACCGAAGAGCTCCTGGCCATCATCATCAAGCTCCCGAGAATCACAGAGACTTACGTCATCAAACTCGTCAAGATCGTCAAGGGCACTGTCACCACCATTTCCTTGTCGGTCATCGACTTTACCCTCCGGTCAAGCATAGAGGAGCCGGCAAAATTCCTTTCCCGCGTCTTGGTCGTGGGACAGGGCGGATTACTAAAATAAAACTCGATCCCAGACAGGTGGGAGCACGCAAACTTACGGCTGGAGTTGTGATTGCGTCCCCCGACCACATCCTAAGCAAGATGGTGTACCACAGGGTCCGGACCACGCTGGATCCAAACATAGCAGTTGCGGAACCGGCACCTGCGCAGACCGCAGGCCTGCAGAAGCTAACCTCTATCATCTGGCAGCATGGGGACCCAGTCACGGTCAAGGTTGAACGTCGCTGGGTATGTAAGAACCAGGAAAACCGCCACGAGCGGGCCCCTAGGGCATCAGGATTAAGATGAAGGACCATGAGGGTGGCTTCATTCTGGAGAACGATTTCCCACTCAGCCCTGTGACCACCGGAGCCAGTGATGACAATAATATTAGCAAGTGGGCCGCTCGAAGGATAGCAAAGCTCGAAGAACAGATCCTAGCGATCCATTACCACATTGCCACAATCCGCATCGATTTCGAAATCAACTCATTGAAGATCAATGGACTCCCTCTCAATACCATCCGCGCTTGGGTCGGTAACGACGCCGGCCCTGAGATCCTGGCCCGGTATGGATTCCACGCAGGATCAAAGGTCAACAATCCAGTGGAAAGCGAAATCCGGGAAAGAGTCGCACGTACCCATATGTTCCGCAGGGGGTATCGCATCCTTCCGGCATGGTGGTTTCCGTCACGTTGCAGCTACACCTCGTCACCCTCAATCTAGAAGAGTTCACCGGAATCTCGAGCCCGAATGAGTACCTCACGTTTGTGTGGCTCCTCACCATCCGCCGACCATTTTACTGGATTAATAATCTCGCCAACAGGGTACCGCACAACCCCTTCCCCCCGGGTACACGCATATAACTGACTAACTTGAATGAAGGACCATGAGGGCGGCTTTATTCGGGAGGACGATTTCCCTCTCAGCCCTGTCATCACCGGTGCCAGCGACGATATCCAGATTAGCAAGTGGGCCCTGTCGGTGGCTTGGGGAACCGCCACGAGCGGGCCCCTCTGGGTGGCAGGATTGAGATCCTGCGCCCGCCACCGCATGGCAAGTGTTCGTATGTCACACTCTCCCACCTCCTGCCTCACAACTAACAACACGATAGTACTCAACCTGGCTGCGACCGCTTTGCGGGGAGTAGAAGGACCCAGGGCTCGCGCCCTGTTGGTCACAAGGGGAACCGCCACGAGCGGGCCCCTTTGGGCGTGAGGATTGAGATTCTGCGCCCACTTTGCCGGGAGGACGAGGACCCAAGGCTCGCTCCCTGATGGTCACAAGGGGAACCGCCACGAGCGGGCCCCTTTGGGCGTGAGGATTGAGATCCTGCGCCCACCACAGCCGTGGCAAGCGTTCGAAACCACGACAACCATCATGCCCGTCACTCGGTCCCACCCATTGCAGGAAATGGCTCCAGTCGGCAGTGGGAATCCGGCGGCGAGTGGCAACCACCCATGTTACAGGTTCCGGCCGAACCTCGTGACTGTTCAGCTGAAATACATTGCCGGTATTCCGAGCCATAATGAGTACCTTACACGGGCGTGGCTCCCAACATCCGCTGACCATTCTAACATCCGCGACCAAACGAAAACAGTAGCAGTTACGTTCTCCTTGGGTATTTTACTCATCGACATCACGCATCGATACCATCAGACCACAACGCAACCAACATCTTACTTCATTCACCATGTCTGGTTCCCCCTCTAGTGAAACACACTTGCAAACAGGGTATCGCACCACCCCTTTCCCCCCCGAGTACACGCATATAACTGACAAACTTGAACAAAGGACCACGAGGGCGGCTGTATTCGGGAGGACGACTTCCCTCTCAGCCTGTCACCACCGGCGCAAGCGACGACATCAAGATTAGCAAGTAGGCCCTGTCGGTGGCTTGGGGAACCGTCTCGAGCGGGCCTCTCTGGGTTGTAGGATTGAGATCCTGCGCCCGCCACCGCATGGCAAGTGTTCGTATGTCACACTCTCCCACCTCCTCTGCCTCGCAACTAACAGCGCGATAGTGCTAAACATGGCTGCGGCCGCTTTGCCGGCAGAACGAGGACGCAGTGCTCGCGCCCTGTTGGTCACAAGGGGAACCGCCACGAGTGGGCCCCTTTGGGCGTGAGGATTGAGATTCTGCGCCCACTTTGCCGGGAGGACGAGGACCTAGGGCTCGCTCCCAGATGGTCACAAGGGGAACCGCCACGAGCAGGCCCCATTGGGCGTGAGGATTGAGATCCTGCGCCCGCCACAGCTGTGGCAAGCCGCAATGTTCCGCGGGGATGAATACCACCACTCCACCTGCGGGTGGGGGTGGAGGGGAGGGGGGGAAGGGGGGAGAGGGGTGGCGGGCACCCTTTGTTGCGTCCAGGATACGTTTGTGTCCGGCATCACTTACTCCCGTAAAGGACTGGTGTGTGACATTGTGACGAACGTCGACCCGATTAAGATGCTGTTGCAAATCACCCGACTGAAGAGACTTCAATGGCCTCCGAACGGCGAAGACTTTCCGCCTGTGAGGGCATTCATGACTAGCAAGAATGCCGATGTCGAACGAGGGTTCATTACAGAATACTACACATGCCACTCACGGGCCAAGTGCATTGAATGCACGTATGACAACACCAGATATAGTTGCGACAGACTCACGTCTATTAGGTCACTAAAAGATCTGAGGGAGCTGATCCAATTGTCGAACTCGGCCTCGCTCGCGTGCGATGCCCCCCCGCCACGACCCCTGGAAAATCACTTGGGGCCGAGCGGCACTCGGGTGCTGTGATCTCGTCAATCGCTCCTACCGCCATCTTGGGAAAGATGGCAAGCAGATAGATTGTTTGCAGGAGAGCTGCAGCTGGACAAGCACTGACTCGACAAGCGCAGCTGCTTCAACAGGAACAGCGGCTCCGTCCGGCACCATCTGCGGAGTGCGCATGGCATCGTTGTTTAAAATAAGGTTCATCGGCACGCCTGCTATAGTTGGATTCAGACTTGTTTTTAAAATGATGTCCATAGATTTGGGTTCAGATTATTCTTGGGCGGTGGGAGGCTCGGTGACCGTGCGGATAGAAGATGTTGGGGAAAGTACGAGAGGTAAGATTCTACGGAGCGTGCATGATATCAGGGGACTTTACAAAGACTAACGGCAAGTTAGGTTCATTTCACATGTGGGAACACGAAAGCAAGGAGGGGCGATAATACTAGAGTCTGGAGAGAATGGGAACGTGAAAGCAAGGAGGAGACATAATACCACAGACAATTCAAACTACCGAGAAAGAAGAAGACATTCGACGAAATGATGTTCAAATTGTACGCGATCACGGTATGTGGTGGGAGGAGATGAGGTGTTCGACTGGACGGATGAGTTGATTTTAGAAGGCAGAATTGATGTAGATTGTTCTAACAAGACTGATGAGTACTGCAGCCATCATTTTAGCCACCGCTGCGTCTACTCAGTCAGAGTCTTACGTTGTGTGTAGCAAATGGCGGGCTGCAATCACACCTAGACAGCTGCTGTTACATATTGACAGCTGTGGTCATATCTCATGGTGCCTTTTCGAGGAGTATGTCGCACTCTGTTCAGTTCAGGCAGTAGGACCGACTGATCGCACCCACCGGTAGGGTTTTTTCCTGATTGAGAGGGCATCACGTTCATAGCAAGACATATCCCCGCGGAGGGTGCTGCATGGGGCGTGGCTGGCAATTAGTATCCATCCTGAGCCGAGCCCGGATGGTACTCTTCAGAGGTCATTACTCGTGACGTTCCTGAGGTCATTACTCGTGACTTTCCTGAGTCAGGCATGACGAGGGTGGGCACTGGAATAGTGCACCTCTTTTATCTCTCCTCGGGTCAAGACTTAAGACTGTCTCATAAAATAGGTACACTCATTCATGATAGATCAACATCCAACAGACAACCGTGTGGCGCGGTTTGACAGTTGTATGAGCTCCACGTATGAGTGGACGACGATGTGCAAGGAGTGGGAGGGCGGGGTGATTGTACGCTCGGAAGATGGACAGACAGAGGGCGAAGATTATGATAGTAGAACCGTGAGCAATGAATACGGAAACTCTCATCCCGCGTGCATTACCGGATTCATTGAGGGCATGGGATATCACTCGAGTTAGCACGTAAGGACATTGTTGTAAATTGTAATATCGAGTCGTTCGTTGCTAAGTTACTTTGCCAGTCATGAAGACGGAGTGACTGGCCTCCTACGCTTCTTTTGTATCTAGTCGGATTCGAGGCATGATACTCTCACCCAATCTACGTACGCGTTCAGGATTCATCATAATCTAAGATAACTGTAATTGTGTAGCTGGGTTTGACAGCCGCATGAGCGCTATCTACGGCTCATGAGTAGACGCTGACGAACAACTTTGAACGTACCACTCTCCTCGCGAAAGCAAGAAAACATGTGAAGACGACAAAGACATCTATGATGTTGGAATGCAGAATCATGTTTAGTACGGAGGAGGATACGTGGAGCAGCGCATGAGCGGGACAGCAAAACGAAGAACCGTGATGCTACTCTATGATTGCAACCGCCGTGCTCTTTTCACCTAGTCACGGTCTGCTGCGTGGGCCGTGCCCGGCAATTAGTATCCATTCTCAAATGAGCCCCAGTGGTACTCTTATCGGCAGGGGATAAGGGTTGAAACTTTACAGAGGACCTCAGAGGTCATTATAGCGAAGCATTGATGAATGATTTTCTACGCACGAAGCTGCTACTGCTGCTCAAGGGTTATCACCGGTCCGGTTGAGGCACGTTTGTGGTCATCTACTGGTAGTATCGCATCTTGTTTGCGTGAATAACTTCCGGTGCTGGATCGACACTGGACAGCTTATACCCAGAGAAAACAATACCATGTCTGAAATCCGACTCATATGATTACCGAACTTCCTGCTAGTAGACTCGGAGACAGAAACGACAGAAACCCATCCCAGCTGCCAGCCAACACCCATGAGACTTCAGACACAGAACAGTACCACGCAAACCTACGCCTGATCATCCCAATACTCTTCCATTAGCTGGTGCCTGAGCTCCGTAGCGCCCATGTCCTCATCGGCCTCACCACCCGGCGGCCAGGTGCGCCGAGGCACGCGCCCGTAGTGCTCGGCCAGGTTTCTCCTGCTGTTCTCGATGAGCTCATCCACGCGGACGTGCACCATCCAGGCGAAGTGGTGGCACGTGTACCACATTCCCGGCGCGGCGACGACGCAGCGCATGAGGTCTAACTTGAAAATGAGCTCGTTACCACCGGGGCACTCGCTCTGCGGGAGGCTGGAGGTAGTGGCGGCGTCTGGGCTAATGTTAGTAGGGCGGGAAGGAGAAAAGGGGGAGACAGGTACCGGTGTCGCGGTGAACGGCCAGCGAAAGGACCTCATAGCAGTGGAGATCCTGAGGGGGTGGGGGGGTGGGAGTGGTGATGCGAGTCTGGGCGGGGGCGGGGGCGGCGGTGAAGGGGTCAGGGGAAGCGGGAGCCAGATGGTGAGCAGGATCGCTCGCCGTGGTGTCGTCCGCCGCATGGGCCTGCTGATCACTGGCTGGCGACTGCTGCTTCTTGCTGGACGGAGCAGCACGATGCGGCTTGTGGGGCTCATTGGGGTTCTCCATAGTACGTATGCGGAAAATGAGTGTGAATTGTGGGGAATTGAAGGGGGTAGTGAAAGAGCGTGGGTTGTGGTAGTTGTGAAAGAGCGTGGGTTGTAGGTGGAAGAGAGCTGGGAAGGTGATTGAGCTGGGTGCAGCCAAATTGAAGGAAATGGACTTGCACGATTGATGAGTGGTCGATTATTGTGACGGTTTTTTCTCTCGATGATGTCGTCGTCGACTGCCACCCCACGAAAACAGGGTCAGCGCCCAGAACGTTCCAGCACCCCACCCCGCCCAGGCATCTCAAACCTGTATTTTCTCGGCCAGAGAATATGTCAGTGTCGGTATGCCCTGCACATCCGAGCATGTGCAAAGAGGCCGGTGGGCGGCCACGCTGTCTCTTCTTCAAGCCGTGACAAAACGACAATAAATTCTCACCTATTTGTGCGGGCCCAGCCAATGCTGCGGGCCTACATGGCTACATTTGAAATACGTGGGGCAGATAAAAGTACAGTAATGTTGACACCCAGTCGAGGGATCTAGGAAATTTACATGGCGGAGCCATACGGGAAGAAACACACATGCCATCACTCGTGCTGGAAATTCGTCTCAAAGTTCAAACAGGTTCATTTCATTCCATCACACTCCCGTAATCATCACGCCTCGCATCCGCGCTCCACGAAAACCGCCCCCCCCCGCCATCTCAATGGTCACTGCATCACCAACCGCCTCGAAGTGATCCCATCCATCATCAGAATCCTCCGCTCCACTGCCCTCACCGTCGACGATTTCGAATCCCTCCTCGCAAGAAACATCCTCATGGACCCACTCCTCGTCTTCGCTATCTTCATCCCTGCGTAACCCATGCGTCCCTACCTCTCCGTCGCCACAGCCATCCGCTATCAATATCGCCGGTACCTCCTCCTCTAGCTGCACCGGATAGAGTGTGTCGATAGGCTCCGGCTGCAGCAGTGTTTGTGGATGACATTCCCCAGCGGCCATCTCCGATATTGCCGGTTCCTCCTCCTTCTGTGGATGGAGTTTGTCAATTGTTTCTGGCAGTGCTGGTGGATGACATTCCCCTGCTCCCATCTCCAACATCGCGGCTTGTTCCTCCTTAACCTCCTGCTCCGGCTTGATTTGGTCCATTTTCTGCAGCAGAGCTGGTGGACGACGTTCCGCAGCCTTCATCTCCAACTGCTGCTGCTCCGGATTGAGTGCGTCAATTGTCTCTGGCTGCTGCAGTGCTGGTGGATGACATTCCGCAGCTTCCATCTCCAAAATCGCGGCCTGTTCCTCCACCTCCTGCTGCTCCGGATGAAGTGTATCGAGTGGCTCTAGCTGCAACGGTTCTCGCGGCTGACATTCCGCAGCTTCAATCTCCAACTTCTCCAGCTCCGGAAGAGGTTTGTTGATTGTCTGTAGCACTTCCGGTGTATGAAATCCCGCAGCTTCCATCTCCAATAGCGCGGCCTGTATTTCCGCGAGCTCGAGCCTCACCGGTGGGCGCAAATTCTCGGGGCCGAGGAGGCCTTCGGGAAGGAATTGTATCCCCAAGCCTCCGGGCGCCGACCCGGTGTCGCAGTACGCGCACGTGTTCCTGGCGGTCGACTGCTGGCCGAATATATGGTGGAAGAGATAGAATGGGCAGATGTTTGCAGCTGGAGGCATGGTTGTTTGTTTGTTGTGGTCGGGTTTGTGGTGGGAAAAGAAGGGGGAGAAGAGCGGCATGATAAACCCCGGGGGAGGATTAAATTGGGGACGGCAGCAGGAGGAATTCTAGGCCTACCTGCCTGCCTACCGAGGCTTCCGTTACTTTCAAAATTCTCGTCGGGATCCGTGGGAACCTGAGGGGCTGGGTCTACCAGCGACTGAGCAAGAGTTGGGAATACTGACCAAGAGGGTGGAAGACTACTATCCACTGGCAGTGCGAAACCACTTCGCTGTCCCAACAGCAGCGGCCGGATACGCCAAGACTCGAGACATGAGTAAACAGTCATATTGCTTACTGCGCTTCGAGAGCTACTCTGCGACTATTGCATTGCCTGGGCTTTATTCTTCTCGTATCCAATCATTGATTTTATGCGACCTAGGTAGACTATGACAGTATTCACACCCTTTCGATGCCCACTGTTCAACTCAATTTTCGTCAAATGGTCCGGTGTAGCTTCCCCCGCCCTCCGCTCTTCGCTCTGGCCTTTCGCGACTCCCGAGAGAACATGTAGAGCTCACCCAAGAGATGATGCCAGGAAGAGGAATCGTCCGCACCGCACTCCGTCTCTCCCCCTGCCTCTTCATCCAGGCTCTGGTGAGGAATAGCGGGAGGGACTCCGGCTCCTCCTCGACCTCGGCACCCTCCTCTTCATATTCTTGGCACCTTCTCCTCCTCGTCTGGTCTCCTCTCCACCTATCTATCTGGCCGTTCCCTTAGTTCCCACTCGGATACCTGGAGCATGCTGCAACTTACTCTGCGGCCTCAGCAACCTCGGGATCCGCCTCCACAAGGTGCACATCAGTAGTGGCGAGGAAACCAGTATGTCCTGGCTGCATCGCTCGTCTGTGAAGGGGTTTCGGATCCCAAACATTTCTCCTTCCGCACCTCTGCCCAGTGCCGACGAATCTTCTGCCAGCTCTTCCATTCGCGGTACCATTCGAAGAGGTGCTCCTGGGTCTGGTCTTATAGCAATACTTCGTCCACTGGAGGCGTTCGTCGGTGCGGCAGTGCCGACGCACGGCGGGAAGAATCGAGGGCAGGCGCTGGGGGCCATGGCTGGAACCCGTCTGGCTCCCACAAGGTATCCGAATATGCCGGCAGGGGACTCCTACTTCAGCTCATACCGTGACCTCTACTAGCACTCGATGCCGTGCTTCAGCCTCTGGGTAGGCAAGCGACGGGGGACTGGGTCGGAACTGGATTCCACGGCTGAAAAGTCGGGGACGAGTGATCCCATGTCCTACGACGTCGTCACAACCCCTACCTCCAAATCTCCGATATCCTGCGTACTTTGCGTGTGCTCACTGGTCACTGTGGCCATGCCGGAGGCTCGTAGACTCTTAGAGGAAGCCGCCGTCTTCAGTTTAATCGGTACCGATTAGGGCCGGGGACCGTGACGTGAACTCTCGAGTCTCCTCCTCTTCCTCCTCTTCCTCCTCTTCCTCCTCATTCTCTTGGTTCAAGTTGGCTTCTGGGGATGTTCCGTGGTAATATGTGCGGATATCGATGGTAAAGCGTTCCCTCCTGGTGAATTTCGAAAATTTTCAGAGCGTGGTTGTCGAAGCGGTCGATTTCCTTTTCGCTGCGCCTGCGAGTGTTGCTATCGAGGTGGGGTGGACGCGCTCCTCTTTCCACCTCACTACCTCTCCCTCCACCTTCCCCTCCTCTTCCCACACCCTCACCCACTTCCTCTCCACCCACCCCACCCTATCCACTCGCACCCGACCCCAACCCCACCTCCACCACCACCCCCTCCACCCCCAACAACACCACGACCAAAACCACGATGTGGAACATCCACATGTACGTGCTGATCTACATGTTCTTGTTCCTGCCGACGCTGCCGGAGGCGATATGCTACGTCCAGGAAAACCCGGGCACGGCCCTCCAGGTCGCCATCATGCTCCTGTCCGCGCTGTACTTCATCTGGAGCCTCTACTGGCATTATGCTAGGTTCTTTCCTTTGGTTTGAAGGGAAAAGGTAGGTGGCCACAATTGGGTTCGCTGGAATGAGCTGGAGGCGGTGGTGAAGGCGAGGCTGATACTGGTGCAGTGCGAGTAGGTGGAACGGGTGGTGGAACGGAGGATTTGGCAGTGTTGGGATGCACTTGGATGAAATGACGTTAGATAAAATGCAATGAATTGGCCAGCCGGTTCTCGTCCTCTCTCGCCTACTAAAGTGACACGAAGGAACGTCGATGATCCATGATCCATTTCGCAGTGGCCATTCCACCGGCACCACTCGTTCAAATTTACATTCACGAATGAATGATGAATCCTTTGGTCGCTCAAATCTTTCCCGTTGGAAGTCCACACTGCCACTGATCCGTGGGTGCGCGTGGATTCTCCTACTTCGATCCTGTGAGAGATAAACCCCCCCCCCCCTCCTTCTCGCAAGACTCTCACCTCTAGGCACTCGCAAGCTGGGCACTCGCCACCAGGCCTGGGAATCGTCCGTCCCGTCCGTCCGAGGCATAGCTCCGGACAAGACGTAATTTGTCGGGCCCAGAATATGAAGGGCTATAGGGCTCCGGGCAAGCCGGAGGACGACTGGGGCCCCATTCGGGGCCGGATATTACACGTAGTAGCCAGCCGCTTCCGCACTCAATATTTCCGGGCCCCGGGCTTTTTGGACCTGGGACGGAACCCGACTCGTCCAGCCAAATTCTCGCCCCGGACGGGACGGCGCCGCCGGGCCCCAATAGTCTTCTGTCCGGACGGACTATTCCCAGGCCTGCTCGCCACCATCGAGGCAATCGATCTTATCACACAGCCTGTCACGCCCGCCGGCAGTGAAAGATTTTTGGCTGGTGCAAATTTCGCGTCGAGGATCAAGCGTGGGCTTCTACCGAGTCCCGAGCTATGAACGCGCCCTCAAGCCATGATGCGATCGCCGGGACCGGAGGAGTGGCATGGAAAGGTAGGGGCCGGGTTGTCAGTACTCGACATAGGTACATACTGGCGGACTGGCGGAATATATCAGAGTATCACTCGCCGTGCCGTGGTCAGACGTTGCTTACATAGGTGATATCAACTTCAAGGCCAGGGAGGAAAGCTCCACCAGACCTGGAGGACGAGGAGGATGAGGAGTCAAGCATCAAGCATCGCATCAGGGGGAGAGCAAGAGTGCCCAGCAGGGTGCTGTGTCTGCGGCCGGTGCGAGGAAGTAGGAGAAGAGGATATGCGGTGATATCTTCTTGGAGCGGAAATGCGGAAGAACACGGGGGAGAGAGGCGAGTGGGCAGCAGGAGGAGCGAGCATGTAGGCCCATACCGGTCTTTGCTGTCAATCTACTTTTGCCTTTGTCGGCCCGAGGCGGACGGGAAGTGAGGCGCCGCACCGGACTGGTCGGCACCGGACTGGTCGGCACCGGACTGGTCGGCACCGGGGCTTTCACCTCGATTGGGGTGCGGGCAGGAAGACGAGTTCGTTGGTTCGCCATAGTCCAGATAGGCTGCGGACAGGAAAACGAGTTCGTTGGTTCGCCATAGGCAAGTTGCCTATTGAGCAGTTGACCTGCCAAGGTATGGCACAGCTGGTACGAGGTTCTCCTGGCCGCACTGCGCAGTGACCACGCGCGCGGCGCAGTAATGGAACTCATCGATGATCGGGGTGCTGTTTGCCTTTTGAACAACTTCCGACAGCGATGAGCGGGGAATATCTTCAGCGGGCCGCTCATAGCTATTCGGGGAAGATTGCGCACTTCAGCTCGATCGGAATATTTCGCTCCATCATCTCGCGTATGATACAGTCATGGATGGCTATCGCAGACTCGCAGTACTGTAACCACCGCCCGCAAGCGACTGACAACATTGATATATCATCGCATAAGGCCCTACCACTAGTAGTACCTACTACTCTTGACGATAGCGACCACCGCTCGTATGATTTACGAGGTACTCGAACAAAAGAACAAAAGAAGAAAAAACACCGCGCACAACTGACGAGTGAGACCGCATGGGTCATAGCCGGAAGCCGCCATGTATTGCTATGTATTTACCCCACCACGACGACAGTATGACTGCGCTGACGATGTACACCTAGAGTAGATGGATTACACTGCGTGTCCAGGGCTTGTCTCCATTGCTCCCTGCTGCATAAGTCCATGAGCCCGCTCGTTCCCGGCTTCCAAGTTGCAGCCCTTCGCGTGCTCGAGCCTCGAGTCTCGACATCTCGGATTCTTCATGAACGAATACGACAGCCGACACGCGACTCCCGACTCCCGTTTGACTCGCCCTCTCTCGAGCCTCCTGAGCGTGATCCACGATCCGTTCAGGTGGCAGGTACCCAACAGCAACTCAGGTGGTAATCTATTTCAGCGCATCCCGCGACCGGGGAGAGTGGGGCGCAGCCACTGTCGATTCAAGCCCCTGGCCGGTGGAGGTCGCACAGGTCCGTCCACGTCCGGACATGTGCGAGTAGAGTATGTAATCACGGGAATTCCAGTACCGGGGAGGTGATTAAGTCCTCTGAATATCTCCCCTGCGCCTTTAGACAGTCAGTATCGTATCGTAACTGGAGTATGTGGAGTAGAGTGCCTAGAGTAGTTCCCGTCGTTAGATCCTAAGCTTGGATTCATCAATCCCACCGCTTTCCCCACCCCCGGTATCAATACCGTACCGTACTTTACACGTCTGGGTCCATTATCCTTCAAGATCTCCAGTTCCACGCACTCGCAAGTCGAAAGTCGAATCCTCACCCTCTCTCCCGGCAGACAAGTCTCGGAATCTCGGCTGCCCAGTCTCGGAATCTCGGCTGCCAAGTCTCGGAATCTCGGCTGCCAAGTCTCGGAATCTCGGCTGCCATGTCTCGGCCTGTCGCCTGCCGCTAGGGCACTGGCCTCGACCCGGATAAATACCGGTACCGGCCCGAGCATCACCCGTGCCAAGTCAAACCGGCCCTCTCGTATGCACTCTATGTAGCTCCGGACAAGCCCAAACGCCGGTGGAACTCGAGTGGCCAGGTTTCGATCGCAACGGTGGAGGATGGGGGGTTCGACACATTCCCGCGTGCGTCCGCTGCCGCTGCGGCCGTCGCAGGCAGGCAGATAACATTAGGCGATAGGCATCGGCGCCGCCGCGAGATCCGTGGTCGCCGGTGACAGTATGGGGTACATATACACCCGTCTCTCCCGTCTGTCGGCCTCCCTATTTCCATCCTCAGCGCACGTGAAAACCCCGTCCCCTGCATTCCTTCATTTCCCTCTCCGCCGAGATCTTTTCCTTCCAAATTCCTCCTCTTTCTCCCTTCTCTTTCGCGACGGCTGCACACACATCAGCGCTAGTCGCATGCGGCTTAGTCTCCGCCAGCCCAGGTATTATGCAAGGGACCTGGGAGGGAAACGACGGATGAATCTGGTGATGATGAATCGCATGCGGGAGGTGGATTTTTCTCGAGGAAAACGAAAGTGGATGTATATTCCCCTCTCGCTGGGGGTTCTCGAGAGTCGAGAGGAGGGGATCGTGAAGAAAGTCAGTCGTGGAGGTGGCAGTGCTGTTCGGCTGTCGTAAGCGAGCGCGCTGGCTCTCTCTCCACCTCTGGCTCTCGGACGCGACTCGTCTCGTCTCGTGCGCGGCCACGATCGTCTTGTTTCCATCAAGCTTTGACAGGCTAACGTTGTGGAGCTGGCTGGCTGCGGAACTTGGAAGGATGGGCTGGGCTGCGGATAAAAATAGCACGGTCGATACCCAGCAGCGTTTTTTTTTCATGACGGGGCGGACTCAGCGGAGCCTGCGGAGGGCTGATCCGAGGCGACAATCTGCATGCTAGGCAGGGGTGAATGACCCACATCGGGGGGTGGCTTAAGGAAGCTAAATGGCCGCTTTGAGGACAGTGGGTGACTCGATGACAGCTAATTGACCGATGAGGAATCGCCGTAGCAAGGATGACAGCTAATTGACCGATGAGGAATGGCTGGAGCAAGGATCACACCTAATTGCCCGGATGTGGCAGGCGACTGTTTCGGGGCTGATGGCGGGCAGAATTCTGGAATTCCGGATGGGATGGGATGGACGTTCGTTTTTCGTTTTTGGTGGTGTGAAGCAACGCCTTGATCTTGTTGTTCCTGAGCTGAGAACAGCTGCCTTGGCCCCTGCCTGCCTGCTTCTTGCTTGCTTCTTTCCTTCCTTCTTTCTCTCGCTCTTTGAGTTTCCCTCTGTTTTCCCTTTTCAACCCCCCCCCCCCCCCCCCCCCCCCCCCCGACGAGCCCCATTTCGTGCGCATTTTCTTGCAACCGTCGCTGAGTGTTTCATCATCATCATCATCACCATCTTCATCAGCGACGGGAAGGAACGAAGACGCGGACGAGTCTAAGACATACACGAGAAAAGAAAAGAAAAGAAAAGAAAAAGAAGGAAAGTCACGCTCGTTACAGCAAAGTTCAAGGCCCACCACTCAGAACTCTTCAGGCTCTCCCACCACTTCGACACCTACTACTAAGCGGACTCTCACTTCGCCGCCTCCGCCCCCGCCCGCCGTGTCATCCGTTTCGTTTCCATCTCGCTGGCTCGCTGTTCTTCCTTCCTTCCTTTCTTTCCTTCGTCCATCGCTCGACTTGAATGCGTCTGCTCGCGACCTGAATTTTCTGTCATTCACCACCACACTCGTTTGGAGTGCCGCCTTGATGAAACCGCAACCCTCATCCATCTAACCATCTAACCATCTCCCCCCGCAACTGTCGCTCCCTTCACCTTCTCGCCACTTTTACGACTCCAAATGATCGCTGAAGAATAAGCCGACTCATACGAATCAGCAATACTCGACTCTCTCCCCTCGAACCACCACATTACCCGCGACCGTCCGTACCTGCTCCCTCATTCTACCGGATCCGCTGATTGCCGGCATCCCCCAAGCGAAGGAAGGGGTCCTCGACCGAACAACCTTACCGGCCCTCTACTCCCACAACAACTCCCACCGTCCTAAACCAACAACAGAAACAACCACAACAACCACAACACCTCCACACAGCCATGAAGTTCATACCCCCATTACTGGGGGCCCTCACGGTGTTCGCGCCCGCCGTCGCGGCGCTCAACATCCTCCGCTCGACGTCGCTGGCACCATGCATGGATCGCTCGGGCTTCTCAGCCACGCTCTTCAACGTCTCGTTCACGCCCGACGACGGCCAGCTCAAAATCCAGATCAAGGGCGGCTCGACCATCATCGGCGACATGCTGGCGAAGGTGACGGTGCTCGCATACGGATTTCCCGTCATGTCGCAGGAGCTCGATCCGTGCTCGACCGACGGCCTGCGCGCCATGTGTCCGATGACTCTGCTGCCGCTCGACCTCAACTTTCAGCAGACCGTCGAGAAGGCGACTGTCGATCAGATTCCTGGTGAGTCAGCTATTCGCGCACGTCGGGGGGGGCTGGAATGCGATCGGATTGGTTGGGATGCAGTCAGATGGCGGGCTAACGTGGACTAGTGATCGCCTACAAGATTCCCGACCTCGACGGCATAGCGCGGATGGAAGTTGTCGAGCGCGCGAGCGGCAAAGTGGTAGCATGCGTTGAAGCGCCGCTATCGAACGGACAGACGGTCGAGCAAGCGGGCGTCGGCTGGGCTTCCGCCTTGATCTCGGGTCTCGGTCTGCTCTCGTCCGCAGTCGTCTCGGGAATGGGCTACTCGTCCACCGCCGCCCACATCGCCGCCAACGCGCTATCCATCTTCGGCTACTTCCAGGCCCAGGCCATGATCGCCATGATGGCCGTGCCCCTCCCCCCGCTCGCCGCCGCCTGGGTGCAGAACTACGACTGGGCCGTCGGCATCATCAACATCAACTTCATGCAGCGGATCTTTCACTGGTACGTCCAGGCCACCAAGGGCAAGCCGGCGAATCTGTTTAGACAGCAGGAGTCGGTCTCGGTGCAGATCGCGAAGCGCTCGCTCGAGGCATCGAAATACCTCACGAGCCGTGCCGCCGCCTACGGATTCGCCGAGGTCGAGAGCAGAAGTAATATCGTCGCGCGGAGTAACAACGATGCGCTCGCCGAGACGACGGAGGTCGTCCGTGTCACCGGTATAGAACGCATGAGCTACAAGGCCACCATCGAGAGCACAAACTTTTTCTTGACGGGAATGAGCTTCTTTGTCGCGTTCTGCGTGTTGGTCGTGTTGCTCGTCGGAGGCTTCAGACTGCTGTGTGCTACCGGCCTCGTCAAGAATGATCGGTTCCGCGAGTTCAGGTTGAAGTGGCTCGTCGTGCTCAAGGGCATCATGTACCGTGTCGTCCTGATTGGGTTCCCTCAGATGGTATTTTTCTTCTCTTCCACCTACGTGAATGATGCTGACGTTCAAAGGCCCTCCTCAGTCTCTGGGAACTTACCCATCGGGATTCACCCGCTGTCGTCGTGCTGGCCGTCTTCTTCTTCCTCTTCATGGCTGGCACGCTCGGCTGGGCCTGCTACAAGATCCTCACGATCGGCAAACACTCGTCGGTCCTCGATCCCACGCTCGGCCCCGCCTACACGCTCTACTCGGACCCTGCCGCCCTCAACCGCTGGGGCTACCTCTACGTCCAATTCCGCACCGAGCGCTACTACCACATCGTGCCTCTGCTGCTCTACATCATGTCCAAAGCCATCGTCATCGCGTTCGCGCAAGACGCCGGCGTCGCCCAATCACTGATCATCCTAGTCATCGAACTCGTCTACCTCATCGTCGTGTGCTACCTGCGCCCTTTCCTCGACCGGCGCACCAACATCGTCAACATCGGCATCGCATCGATCAACTTCCTGAACAGCATCTTGGTCATGGTCTTCTCGGGCGTAACAAAAGCCCCGGACATGGTCCCCGGGATCATGGGCGTGATCTTCTTCATCATGAACGCGGTGTTCGCACTCGTGCTTTTAGTGCTCCTCCTCGTCGCAGTCGGTTTCGCCCTCTTTTCGAAAAACCCAGAGGCCCGCTACCGCGGCGCAAACGCCCTCCCCCAGGACGAGAAGAAGTCGCCGCGCGACCTCGACGCGGATCCCACACTCCCACCATCCCACGGCGCGCACTCGCACCAGCAGCAGCAGCAGCAGGCACACTCACTCCACGACCTTTCCCTCCGCGGCGACCGTGGCGATCGCGATATCGATGCAGAGTCCGAGCGCGCAGTCGGCATAGACAGGGGCATGAGCATTCGCGAGCAGCGCAGTCCGCAGCCGGTATGGTCGGAGGGGGGGAGGTCGGCCGCTTTTGATGCCCCCACCAACCAGGGCCAGGGTGCGATGGGGCAGGGTACGAGAAGGGGCAGTCCGAGTGTCGTCAGCGCGTTGAGTGAAAGACCGAGTATGCAGAGCTCAAGGGGGAGCAGGAGGACGGGTACCATGACGACTACGGCGACGGGAGGGACGGGGAGAGAGGGGAGGGATGGGAGAGAGGGAAGGGTCGAGAGCGTCTTTGCGCCGCCGAGCGCGGCGATGTATGACGACCGTGAGCGGGGGGCGCAGGGGCAGGGGCACGGGCAGAGGCAGGATTGGAATAGGGGCGCTGGGTTTGAGTGAAGGGGGTGTTGGGATGCCGTTTTTTCTACTTCTGCGCGCTACTACTTACAATGTTCAATGTTCAATGTCCATTCTCTTCGAAGTTTAAGGTTCAGACTTTTCAGGCTTTTTGATGTTTTTCTTCTCTGCTGCGTGTTTTTGGGTCGGCCGGTCGGTCGGTCGGTTCTGTACCTACAGGCTACGGATTGGATCGGGGTTCTGCGTTTTTTTCTTTTTGATTGTTCGGATTGATGCCTGTGGGAGGGAGGGAGGGAGGGGAATGGCAATGGGAATGGATGGGACGGGAATGAGAGGGGAATGGCAATGGATATGGGATTGTACCTACTAGTACCTACATATGAGCGGGTAGACTTCACTGTGGGAATCCAGAAATACGGGGATGCGTGAAGGCTAGGATGTGTGAAGGTGGTGGACACTGGGGTGATGGACGGTTAGGGGTAATATCTGGATCTGCTGTACCTATACATTTCTTTGAAGATTGTGAAAGGTTTTGAAAGGTTGTGAAAGGTTGTGAAAGGTTGTGAAAGGTTGTGAAAAGGGTATGAAAGGGTCCAGACGTCTGACGTTTACCTACAAGCGGATACAAGCGGCCTATGTGGGGCATACGGTGTGGGGATAGGCGGGCCGCCGGGCATGTTGTAGGCCTGCTACGGATGAATGGACGATGATGAGCGGACGAAGATGCGCAAGGAGGTAGGGGAGGGGGGCTGGGGTGGTGGGCGGGGGTGACTGTATTCCGAGCAGATAGAGAACGGCAGATAGACGACAACAAATAGACGACTACAGTGATACTAGTTGAACCGAGCAGCGAATATAGTACATTATACGGAAACTCTCATGTCCTCACACATTGAGGATTCACATCTGGACATGAATATCACTCGCTTTTCGTGCGAGTACATTCGTGTGGATTGTAAATTGTAATATCCAATCGTTATTGCTTAGTTGCTCGCATAGTCAGTCATGACGGTAGAAGGTTCTGGTCTAATACGCCTCTTGCTGTGTCTTCTCTTGAGGCTTGAGACTCTCATGAACGTAGGTGCGCGGTCAGGATTCATCACCATCCAATGATCCACCACAACTAGAACTGAGCAGTTCGGTTGGTAAGTTGTACGAGCGCTCTGTATGAGTAGACGATGATGCCCAAGTAGGGGGAGGGAATGTATTCCTGGTAGATAGACAGATGAAGGACGACAATGAGGATAGGTAATACAACCGTGAGCAATGAATACGGAAACTCTAATATGATATATCCTACGTGAATTGCCGGATGCAAGTGTAGACATAGGTTATCACTCGCCTTTCTCGCACGGAAAAAAGAAAAGAAAAAAAACAGACAAAAAACTTTTGATATCTCGTTCGTTGGGTGGTCTGTCAGGACAGCGGGAGGCACTGGCTACTTTAGTACAACCTCTAACTAGCATAGCTCATGTGCATGTGCATCGCGAGAATTCATGCATAATGCACCCACATGAGATATCACTCACGTTTTCCCGCGAGTACGTGGTTGTAAATTGTAATATCCAGTCGTTCGTAGCTTAGTTGCTCAGCTAGTCATGATGGAGGAAGGCATTGGCCTACTACAGTAACACCTATCTTTTCTCTTCTTTCGAGGCTGAAGAATCTCTCATACAATAGGTACACTCGTGCATGAATCATCACAAGTTAACATAACAAGAACTGGGTGGCTCGGTTTGATAGTCATCAGAGCGCTCTGTATGAGCTAGCGATGACGAGCAATCAAGGGGAGGGACATTGTATTGCCAACAGATACACAGATGGAGGATAGCAATGCGAATAATAGAACAGAGAGCAATGAATACGGAAACTCTCATATCCCACGTGCATTACCGATTCATGAAGGGCAAGGGATATCACTCGGGTTTTCGAGCGATGACTTTGTTGAAATGATAGAGTAAGATATGTGTCGGTGAACAGTTTTGCATTGAAGTGTAAGGCTGTAGCCTGGAGAGAACAGAAAATATGAGAATAGGGGTAAAGGCCCGTGCCTTCCACCATGACTAAACTAGACAGATATTGCAACACTTCCCCTCTTGTTGCCTACTGTCAAGCATCGAACGAGGCAAGGAAAATGTGAGAAGCATCAAAAACAGTGAAAACAATGAAAACATTGAAGACAATGAAAATTCCCGTTAGCCTCATTAAAAACCTATGCAGTAAACCCTGTGGGAGAAACCTGCCTAGGGAAAGAGTACCAACTCGCTGAAAATCCAAAAACACAGTACAGGCTTTGTCAAAAGGTAGCGGCGCTGGGGCCGCTGCCGGGGCCGGGCGAGGGGCCACCTGGCGAGGGGCCGCCGGGCGAGGGACCGGTACCGGGGCCTCGCGAGGTATTGCCTTGTGCATGTAGACCAATACCTTTGGCAAATTGTTGGTATTTTTCTCGCGGGAGGGCTTTCGTCATGATGTCGGCCATGTTCTCAGGTATTGAGATGTATGAGAAGTCAACGGTGCCCTTTTTTGAAGTTCTCGGCTGTTGTGAAACTGGGTACTTATGTGCTTCGTCTGCGGTCCGGAGACTCCTGAATGAATGTTTTTCAGTGCGCCGCTCGAATCGCTGAGTATTAGTACCGGACCGATGCTTCGCCGGTGACTGCTTCGTGGAGCTGCGCCAGGGATCTATCTTCTCGGGTTGCGTCGGAGCATGCCACATATTCGGCTTCTGTGGTCGACAGAGCAACCAATGTCTGCTTCTTGGTTTGCCAGGACACCGGCCCGTTGTATGCTTGGAATACATAGCCGCCTTGGGACTTCCGGTCGGCGCGGTCGCCTGCTCAACCCGAGTCGGTATAGCCAATGAGGGCTGGCGTCGAGGCATTTCCTGGAAAGACAAGGCTTACCGCTGCAGTGCCTTTGAGGTACTGGAGGACCCGTTTCGCAGCCGTCATGTGTGTTGCGTATGGTTTCGCATTGTAGCCACACAGAGCCGATACTGCGAATGCGATATCAGGCTGCGTTGCGATGGCAGCGCATGCGAGGCTCCCGGTGATGCGTTGGTACTGGAGTTGATCCGCCGCGGATTCCACCTCGTCTGTGGCGATGTCAAGTCTGGTCTCGTCGTGCAGTGGTGTCGGTTCCGTGTTTGCGTTTTCCATGCCGAACCGTCTGACAATTGTGTTGATGTACGGCTGCTGGTGGATAGCAATCGATTCATCGGGCCGCCGGTCAATCACAATGCCTAGGAACAGCTTCACCGGCCCGGGGTTTGTCATCTTGTATTGCTGCATCAAAGCGCCCCCGACATCTAACGCCGATGCCGAAACCGAGTGCCACAATGAGGATGTCGTCCACATAGAGCATTATCATGGCCCCAGTATTCCGGATACAGAGGTTTTTGTCGACTTCAGGTGTGACGAATCCGAGCGACAGTAGGAAACCGTTGATAGTATCGTACTAGAGCTTCGGGGCTTGCGTCAGACTGTACAAGGGGTTTTTCAGCCGTAGGAAGCCGGTAGGCGTGGTTGCGACGGTTGTCGACTCGAGCCACTCAACACCATCTGGAAGTTGCATATAGACCTCCGTGTCGATTTCTGGGTTGAGGAACGCGGTGACAACGTCTAGGTGATCGATTTTCCACCCATTCTGTGCTGCGGAACTTAGCAGGTATCGTAGGGTGGTTAGTTCACCAACTGGAGCATAGGTCTCCTCGTAGTCGATACCTTGCACCTGCTCGTAGCCTTCGATAACCAATCTTGCCTTGTATCTGGTAGAGCCATCGGGGTTCCTCTTCGTCTTGTAGACCCACTTGCACCCAACAGGCATTGAACCTCGGATCACCGACTCCTCCACAGGTGTAAAGGTATGGTTCTCTCGTAGAGACGCGTACTCTTGCTGCATTGCGATGTTCCACTGCCTGTGCAGGGGGCTGTTCAATGCCTCTCTATATGACTAGGGATCGCCGTCAACTTGCGCTTCAGCGGCGAGTGCGGTGAGACCTCCCACCCGCCTCTGACTTCTGGTCAACCTTCTCAGAGGTGCCGCTGACTGTGGTGGTGGTGGTGGTGGTGGTGGTTCAGCAGTAGCAGCTACCCCGTCAGGAGTGCGGTTTGCTGAGGCAGTCACTTCCTCGTCAGGAGTCGTTGCCAGCGCAGCCGGCTTTTCGCGTCCCTCCGCAGGAAGTGGCGTTGGCTGCGCTTCTGATGCACTCTGCAACTCTGACGATTGCGGTGGTGGTGATGGTTCTTGCAACTCTTCTGCATATACCGGCTCTTCTTCCGGTAAACCAAGAGCATCGTTCTCGTTGTTCTGACAGGACATATATGCGGTCTGATCTTCATCGAATATGGCATCAGAATGCCTGTGAACTTTTTGGAACTCAGGATGCCAAATCCTCCAGAGTTTGGCGGTGTTGTGTGCGTATCCCACCATCATGCATGGCTTCGAGCGAGCCCCCATCTTGGAATCGACTCGCTGCTCCTTTGGAATGCGCTTGTATGCTATGCATCCAAATATGCGCAGGTGGTTGAGTGTAGGTTTATCGGGGTTACCGTGGGCTTCGGGTTCTTCTGAGTCAGACTCCGCGTCAGAATCTTCACCGGCGACCCCTTTCCCTTTCGCCCTAGCCCTTTCGCTTGCCTGGGATCTCGCCTTGTGAAGACGACGGTGCCGGCGTAGTATCTCGTATGGTGTTTTGCCGTCAAGAGCTCAATTCGGTGTTCGGGCGTGTAGATAGCATGCGGTGTTGATGGCTTCCGTCCAAAACGGCATAGGTGCCTGCGAGTCTAACATCATCGCTCTTACTTTTTCAGTGAGGGTGCCAATCATCCGCTCCGCGACACCGTTCTTATGCTGCGTATACGGCGGCGACGGCTCAAAGCTAATACCTCTCTGCGCGGGAATTCTTCGGAAGAATCGGTTGTTGTACTCGCCGCTTCCATTGTCTGACTGAAATCTCTTCATGTCGTACCACCAGTTGTTGACTTTGGCCTGGAATGCCTGAAACACTGCAGTACAGGACTCCGAGCGCTTGTCAGACAGGAAGTATACTGAGGTGTGACGGCTATAGTCATCGATGTATGCTATGAAGTAGATAGCGCCGTCCAGTGACTTTTTGCTGAAAGGGCCGCACAAGTCTGAGTGTACAAGTTCAAATGGGGTGTTTGTACGTTGTACTGGGATCCGGACGATTTTCCGCTCGTACTTGGCCAGGATACAGATCTTACATCTGCCCTCCTCATACGTGTAGCCTTCGATTACTAACTTCATCGCGACGTTGTTCAGGTGGGCGAGGCGCCGGTGCCACATCCTGGATTCGGCGGGTGAGAGACTCCGTGTGCGGCTCGGTGGTGGCGGCTCAGTTGATGTTATCAATGCGTCTGGGCCGCTTGCTGTCAAAGTATGCGCGCTGACTTGATACAGATTGCCGTTCTTGTGACCTCGCAGTGTCGCCGTGGTTTGCGGGTCCACAATTGCGCATTTGCCGTTGCCGAAGTTAGTGTGGTAACCGTGTTTGTCAAGAACACCCACCGAGAGCAGGGAGTATCTGAAGGTGGGTGTATGTAGGGCATCCAGATGAAAGTTCTGAACTGAAATAGTACCGTGGTGGGTGGCGGTGACGTAGGTATCATCTCCGAGTTTGATGTCGACCGGACACATTAGCTGGTGGTAAGAGATGAAGCCGCTTTCTCTGCCGTTGTACAAGAGGTGGGAGGCTCCAGAGTCGACTATCCAGGTTGACGGGATCGCTTCTGAGGCCAGTGCAAAATGCCCTAGTCGGAGAGCACTCAGCTGGTCCTCCAGCCCCGTCGTTCGGTTTGATAGTCAATCGAGCCTCTCATCATCGGAATTCACACGCATCAAAGCTGTTTCGGTGCTGGCCAATAAAGCCCCTCCAACCTTCTGACATGTGATCATCTCATCGATTCGCTTTTTCAGGGGGCAGTCCCTCCGGAGGTGGCGATTTTCTCCGCATTGGTAGCAGAGTACACTATTGCTGCGCGCGTGCTTCCAGCTTTGGATATGTAAGTTCGAGGGGTTCGGGGGGTTCGGGGAGTTCTGACGTCTTCTGCAATTCTCGGTGGCGTGTTTATCCATCCTGCAGATGGTGCGTCGGTGGGTTTTCGCACCTAGTCCCTTTCCTTTGTTCCTTCCACCATTACCACCTCTTCCGCGGTTTCCGAATCTCTTGCCTTGGGCAATAAGGCCCGCACCTGATGTCTGCGACAGGTTTGGGTCGCCAATCCTGGCCTCGGAGGCATTCTCCAGCTCCATCTCGATCAAGGAATTCGTAATATTGTCGATGCTCACATTCTCGGTTCTCTTTAGGATGGCAATGGTGGTCTTGAATGCGACAGGTGCGGTGAAATACATGTGGTTCTGGAGGGCCTGGGTCGAGATTGCCTCCGTTGTCCCAGCAAGTTGCACCCGAATCGCTTGCAGATGTGCTATGCATGCACCAATGCCTCCTTGGCTTTTGGGCCGAGAATTTCGGAATTGGTTGTAGAGTGCCATCCTGCTGATGTAGAAAATCTAGGAGTTGAGCTTCGTCTTGAGTATTTCCCACATCTCTACCGGGTCCTGGAGGTCGTGGATGTAGATTGCGACAGTGTCGCTGCAGGAGAAAGGAAGGAGAGTAAATGCCAGGGCTCTTCGCGCTTGGTAGCTCTCCAGGGCAGCCCTCGCAACTGCGCTGTTGCTGACTGTGGGCTCGACTTCGGTTCACTTGACGATGTTGAAGGCGCGCATGGACATAAGGATGGCAGTCGCGTCACCTTTCCAGGTTGCATAGTTCGAATCGGTAGGTTTTTTGATCGATCCGTAGTTCGACTTGTAGTAGAGGGTGTGGTTATCGGTGGATGCCATTTTGTATGTGCAACTAGGAATCGCCGTCGAGGGTATGCTGGTGGTTGGGTTTTTGAGGTATGGTAGAGGTAATCGGTCGCGGTTATTACTTGAGGCGCTGGGCCGGGCTAATAACCTGTTGAAATAATAGAGTAAGATATGTGACGGTGAACAGTATTGCAATGAAGTGTAAGGCTGTAGCCTGGAGAGAACAGAAGATATGAGAATAGGGGTAAAAGCCCGTGCCTTCTACCATGACTAAACTTGACAGATATTGCAACAGACTTCAAATTTCTCGTAAAGTTGCTTGCTCAGACATGATAGTGGAGGGTACTGGCCCAATAATACTATTTTTTGTCTTCTATCGAGGCTACAAACTCTCATATGATTAACTCGTTCATGATTCATCATCCAACACAACTGGAACCGTGTGTATTCGCCGTATATAAGTCCGATATAGGACGACAGTGAGTGTAATAAACTGAGCAATGAATATTGAAACTCTCACGTCCATGTGGATCACAAAGAGTCATGGTGCGGGCTTGGAATATCACATAATTTCTCATCCGTTGCTTAGTCGATCGTGACTCATGACGGCGGGAGGCGCGGGTCTCCTGCCACGCTTTTCTACCGTCTTCACTCCAGGCTTATAACTTCCTCAATAGAATACCTATTCATCACATCCCAACATGCATAAATAGAAGTCGTAGCATAAGAACAAAGTAAAACATCATTAAACGGCTAACCAACACTGCTAATTAAGAAGCCCGGCGGAGCAAATATTCTCCCAGCCAATCATTACTTCTGCACCCCCGGCTGCTGGTTTATTGATCTCAAGTTGCCGGCAGCTGGTGTACTGCTTTCAAGTCTTACTAGCTGCCAGCTATACGTTGTTGACTTCACCGTCATTTGTCGCTTCTCGTCCTTCAATGCCAGGATCGCCATTTCCGCAGCTTTGAGCTGCTCATTCCTATCGGCCACCTGCAGCCGCAGCTGCGTCAGACATTCTGATGTCATGCTGCCCCTCAGGGCTTCCACCCCCGCTGGATCCGCCGCTACTGTCAGCATCTCCTTTGATGAGGTACAGGAGGAGAGGGGACATACCCAAGTTAGTGTGAATGGTCTGCCCATGGCATTTCCGGGAATTATCCCACCAGTAAGTGAGGGGCATAGCGCCCGACGGACCCGAACCTGTCGGGCCCTGTTGCGGGTTCAAACCGCCACCACCACCACTATGAAGTTGATTAGCACCACCGTCTATAACGATTGGCAAATAAAAGCTAACATGAAAAATTGATGACGAGAGAGATCCCACACCGACATATCTTCCAAGATATCGAGGCGAGTGTTGAGGTCATCACAGCTAGTGTCCTCCACGCGATTGATCAGTCATCCACTGAGACACGATCTGGACCATCTCCGCCCTGCGATCCTTTTTGTGAAAGCGGACACCATTGTCCCTTGCGACATCCCGGAGTTGGGCGACGGTGATGACGTTTGGATCCTGACAGCCACTGTTGGCGTAGGTGTTGCTTGCAGTGCTGCTGTCACTTGACTGATCGCTATCCTCACTCACAGAGGCAGCTTCCTGATTTCGGGCGATGGTGATCCGGTGTCACGCTGCCTCTCGGGGCTTCCCTCCCCCTCTGCATCCGCCGCTACTGTCAGCATCTCCTTTAATGAGGTATAGGTGGAGAGGGGACATACCCAGGTAGGCAGCGATGGTCTGGTCTGCTCGGCAGTAACGGGGATTATCCCACCAGCCTGTCCAGGGCGCATAGCCCCAGACGAGCCCGAACGTGTCCGGCCCCGTTGCCGATTGAATCCACAACCACCACCACTATGAAGTTGATTAGCACTACCGTCTATGTCGCCATCAACGGAACCACGTGCCCAGTTTGACTTATCATACCCACGTAGAGTTGGCGGGTTGTCCGCCAGCTCGCTTGCTGCCCGCTTCATGTAGCGCGATGTCATGGGGGTAACCTTCTTTGAGTGGGTCGACACGAAGGGGGGAGGCGGAATGTTGGATGGGGTTGTATTTGTTGTTGTAAAAGGTACGGAGAAGGGAACAAGGAAGGATGTTACTCGTCGTGTTTTCCTGTTCGGTGCATTTTCCTGGTCGGGCGTGTTGGAGAGTTAAAGACTCAAAGACTCAAAGACTTAAAGACTCGGACACTCGGAGACTCGACGACTCGAAGGCGGCGCCTACTCACACACACATGATACATGTTCGTACCGACCTTGCTCACACGACAGATGGCTGATTGAGACCGAGAATCTGATAATCCGCGCACGAGAATCCCCGCTCGAGGCAATCGGATCAAGCAATCAAAACAACAAACCTGGGTCAAAGGGGGCAGTGTACAGTGCTGGTTCTATCTCCATCATAACTACAAGTCTACAACCGTGGCCTCCTCCAGTCGGTATGTGCGGCCGGCAGTTTACAGGAAGTGAAGCTATGATGCTATCATCGCCACCGCGGTCAGGCACGGCTTCCGCTGGCAACTATGATCAGTGCATAGTGTCATTAGACGGCTATTTTTGAGCAGGTGTTGAAACACTGGGGTCATCCGGTGAACAGTGTATTATTGAAGTGTAAGGCTGTGGCCGCGTGAGAACAGAAGATATATAGGAATAGGGGTAAAGGCTCGTGCCTTCACCATGGCTAAGTTAGACAGATATTGCAATACTTTCCCTCTTGCTGCCTACTAACTGCAAGCATTGAACGAGGCAAGCAAGATAGGTATGAGAAACATTGAAAGCAGTCGATAATGAAAACGGTGAAACTCCCCGTGGGCCTCATTGAAAACCTATGCAGCAAGCCCCGTGCGAGAAACCTGCCTACGGAAAGAGTACCAACTCGCTGAAAATCCAAAATAGTACAGTAAGACTTTGTCAAAGCGTAGCACCGCCGGGGCCGATGCCGCTGCAGGGGGAGGGGCCACTGCTTGACAAGGGGCACCGGACGAGGGGCCGCTGCCGGATAGCGAGAAAGGTTGCACACGGGCCCTATGCATGTAGACCAATACCTTTAGCGAAATGCTGGTGTTTCTCTCGTGGGAGGGCTTCCGTCATGATATTGGCTAGGTTGTCTGGATTGCGTTTCACTGGCACCCTGTCCGGCTGGCGGTTTGGACATATCCGGATGTCGATTTCGCTCGCCTGCGTATCCGGCAGAGTCTGCGTCTCCGTCTTTGGCAGAGGCTGCGTCTCCGTCTCTGGCAGAGTCTGAGTCTGCATAGCCAACAGGGAGGTTCATGTCGTCTGCGGTAGATACCGAAGGGGCGTAGGTAGCGAGGAGCTTCGACTGGGTCGCTGTTTATGGATACACAGGGTTCGGTTCATTCGGTCTCGCTCGATTTTGATTCTGAGAATGCAGCGCGCTGGACCGAGATCCGTCATCTATGATAATGGATTTGGCGTGAAGGTGGTTCTTAAGTTCCGTAACTTGTTCCGCAGAGGGACCATACTCGCAACGGTGGAGGCCAATAGATCGAGCGGAACTCGTCTGCACCAATGACGAGTCTGGTCTTGTCATATAGTGGCGGCGGTTCCGTATTCGCGTTTTCTATGCCGAACCGTGTGGCAATCGTGTTGATGTACGCCGGCTGGTTGATAGCGATGGATCAATCAGGCCGCCGGTCGTGGCTAGATCGGTTGTGGACTCAAGCCACTCGATTCCGTTTGGAAGTTGCATGGAAACCTCGGTATCAATCGCCATGTTGAAGCACGCAGTGACGACGTCAAGGTGATCGATCTTCCACCCATTATAGTGGCCTGTGCAGAGGGCCGCTCAATGCCTCGTTGTATGACGCAGGTGATCGTCAACGTGTGCCTCAGCTGCGAGGGCGGTGAATTCTTCCACCCACCACTGACTTCTCGTTAACCTTCGTGGAGGTGAAGCTGATGGTGGTGGTGGTAATGGTGGTGGTGGTGGGAGTGGGGGTGGGGGTGGGGGTGGGGGTGGGGGTGGTTCTTGCAGCTCTTCTGCACATACCGGTTCCTCTTCCGGTTTCAGGAAGTCGGTGGCCACTAGCCGCGTTCAACTGCTCCGCTTCCGTAGGCACGCTGACCGTAGACCCTCTGCACGCATCCGATTCTCTCAGCATGTCTTCCATAGGTACGCACATCTCAGGGCCGTCCGTAGGGTACCCACACCCGACATACGGTATGCCTTCCATTGTAGGTACGCCCATCTCCGTGCCGACCATAGGGTATCCGTATGCGACACTCGTCGGCAGTACACAACTCGCCGGGTATCCCATAGGGGGTAGTGACGCCGTTGGCTGCTGTAGGGCTGCATGTATATAAGTAATTCGCCGTGCTGATGGTAGGGTCCCCGATGGGATACTCACCGATGTGAGGGTCACCGATAAGCTACTGGCAAAGAGGCCGCTCGCGCATAGAAGGGCTTCCGATAGAATACTGGCCGAGCTGCTCGTCGATAGCATTGTGGCCGAGGTGCCGCCAGCCAATAATAGGGGTCGCTGGATGAGTAAATCGTCGTCGCTGCACGTTCGCTCCGTTTGCGATACTCTCGTAGTAACTAAGCGGTGGAGTTCGCATTGGGAGGATCCTCGGTTCTAGTAGGATTCCGAGCACGTCTCCGTCGCTGAGGAAAATCGTGATATCGTGACGTCTTGGTGGAAATCATGGCCGTGAGGTGTTGTCCAGTCTGCTGTTCACCGGTGGGATTCTAGCTGAGGGGCCACGGGCCGATTAGGTACTCGCTCGCGTCGGTGAGTGCGGCCGGTAGTGTACGAAACATGAAACCGTGGTAGTATCATCGCCATCGCCAGTTGTGCGCAGTCAGTCACGGTTTCCGCTGGCACTGATGATTCGTGCATAGTATGACACTCTGTGCGTTTTCCTAAGCGGCTTCTTATCACTCGTGTCGAAGATTGCTCCACCGACGCTATATCCTAGACATAGTCATTATAACACCGACGCACAAGCTACCATCAGGAGGTTGACTCACAATGAGCCCAGCCCCAGCCAACAGTACGCCCTCCAGGCACGGAAACACCTCGCCACCAACCGCCGAAGAGAGCCGGGAATCGCCATCGAGGTCAGTTGGTGCCCAGCACACAAAGATGTTCCTGGGAACGCGAAGGCGGACGAATTGGCCAAACTGGCAGCTGGCCAACCGACCGCTCGCGGAGTAGAGGTCACTCGCCACAAGTACCAATCCCAGAGAAGGATGAAGAAGATGCAGCGAAGCGAGGCATTTAAGTGGGCGCTCGGGGCCGCGAAGAGACAGCTGAGCTGAGGCAACTCGAGAAGGAGGAAGAGGAGGATGCCGAAGTCGACGAGGAGGAGGGGGCTGCAGCTGAGGAGCCAAGCGACGTAGAATAGCGGACCACAGACTTGCGGTGGAGGTGGGACGACTCGATGGCGTCGATGGGCGCGGGCGCTGGTGCGGGCGCGGGTGCGGGTGTGAGGGTGCGCGGTGCGGGGGGGCGGATGCAAGGGGCAGGTGAGTGGTGGAGACGCTTGTGGCGGGGAACGATCGCTGCCCTTTCCTAAGTAGTTCTGCCTCTGCTTGGTGCGCTCATATACTGTCGGGAAAGGCCAGGGCGGAGGGCCGGGGAATCCACATCGGGCTGCCTGATGAAAGTTGGGTTGGACAGTGGCGTGGAACCGAAGGGGTGCACGGGTAGATGATATTGCTATGATCCAGATAGGTCGCATGCAATAAATGAATGACGAAAATAAGGAGGGCTGCTCAAAGCTGGGCTGCCAAGAGTAGCCCAGCCCGGGCCGCGGGCTGGGCTACACGCACCGGGCTGAGGGCTGGCTTTGATGGAGCTGGGATGTTGCATGCACTGGTACTGACAGAACGATGACGGATGGAAATTTGATCGCCCAAAAATCTGAGCTCGAGGAAGTGGGATGAAGCAGTCCAGCAAAAAAACAAAAAAACAGGACATTAAGCAGTGCCAGTGTCTATATCCATCACTGCCAGCTATCACCATGACGCCCCACAGTCGGTAGGCACTGTTTTCACTAACGAATCATACCTCGTAATCGATTACATCATCTTTTCCGCTCGGATCATAGCAATAGATCATGTGCTGGTGTCTTCTGATGCAATAGGCAATCTGTGCTGAAGGAATGTGTGCCACGCTCGCTGGCTCACATCAACCTACCTAGATGCCGTACGTACTACGTATGGACTCGGAGTTGTGGGAGTGTGAGTCGAAGTGTGCATGGTCTATCACTCGTGTCACTGGATACTGAAGAGCGGGCCCTTAGTCGACGTTGAGACCTGGGCTCAGGCTCAAGAACTGCCCCAAATCGAAGAGCCGGCAGAAAATTCTGTGGGTACAGGTCCGGGAGCAAACGAGGAGGGGCAAAGATCGATTCAAGATCCGGGACCTCTTCGCAGACGAGCGCTGCAGCAAGGCGATTCTACAATTCCTCACTTTTACTAGTGTGGGCAGACGGATACCTAAGTCCGCTAACGAAGATGCAGAGAGCGAAGCATCCGAGTGGGAGCTCAGGCAGCGGGAAGAGAGAGCGGAGCTAAGGTGACTCGAGGAGGTGAAACATGCTGAGGTTGATGAGCCGGGCTCCGGCCCGCTGATCCTCTCCACACCTTCTTTCATGGCATCCCCGTTGGAAGTGGCAGCAGGCGTACGGGAGTAGGGACAGGGAGCGGAAGAAGTCTTTTCCTAGAATTGTTGTTTCCTTGGTGCGCTCTACCTTCATTGCAGGGACAGGCCAAGTTGGCCGATCTAACTAGAGCCGACACCGTGGAGCTGCCTCCACGGACCGTACCAGCGCCGTGCAGACCAGCAAAACGGATCAAAACAAACGAAACAGTACAATCAAAACAAATCGAACAGTACATTCAAAACAAACGAAAGAGTACAATCAAAACAAACCAAACAGTACAATCGCACCCTGGTCCCAGCTGGCCCTAACATCGTGGCAGCGAGTCCACGATATGGTGGGGTCTGCAGCATATGGCTGCCAATGTTTATCTACACACGACGGAATGGCACACACAGCACAGTAGGATCATATCACAATAAAGACAAAGTAAATCAGGCGGTCAATTTTTTATTATCCCACCATCCCGCAAGCCCCAATTTGTGTTATCTCCCCCACGTAACCCCTAATGAACCTGTGACCTCAAGCTCTTGCCCTGGTACTCAAACCTGCCGCCGGCGCGATCGATGTTCGACTTGATGCAAAACTTCTCGACTTGCTGGAGGGCCCAAGCGACAGAGGAGCAGGCGACCCAACCCTTCGGCTTGCCGCACAGGGAGGCATCGGCGCCATTCCACTTGGCAAGAGTGGTGCACTTGCTGCCGAGAAGGTTGTGCTGCTTGCACTCCTTGCGCTGGGAGACAATGAAGACGACGTTTTGGATTTCCCAGCTGGTGGGCGATGCGGACGAGGTCTCGCAGACCAACTTGCCGAGCTCCCAGGGGACCGCAGCGTCGGTAAGAGTCGAGAACGTGTACATGTTACCCGGACCAGCGGTGACGTTCACTAGGTGCTGGTGGAAGGCGGCTCCGGGGGGAGGAGCGAAGTCGACGCCGTCGATCGGGAGGTACGGGAAATCCATCATCTTTTCGACCGGGTCGGAACGCTTGATGGCGCTGGTTGAGCCGAGGACCGCGAAGGCCATGATGGTAGCGAGAATGCTGATACTGAAACGCATTTTGTCGACGGTCGTTGGGTTGGATTGGGTCGTGGTTGTGTCGTAGGAGGTCGTGGGGATGTAGAAAGGATGGATAGATGGAAGGAGAAGGGAGGAAAGAACGGAGGGGTCTTAACTGAGGCGGGCGGCTAGAAAACAAAGTCACCAAAATCGGATGTGTGATCAGTCGCCCCACAGAGACACAGATGAGTTAGGGCACTGAAGCCCCTGGTCAACATGACTATCACTCGCACCGCTAGCGGTTTTGTGCTGCAGATATCCGTATTCTAAACTCAGAGGTCGCAAGTAATTGATGATTAAAAAAAAGTTTCCTGAACTGAGCCGGCTATATCCAAGTAATCGTCCAATTATGTAATGTTGTGAGACCGAAAAAGGAGGATACGGCCCATGGTAGGACTGCGTCCAGCGGGGAGGAACTTAGGATCGATAATGCCCTCGATACTATCGGCGCATGTCACGCCACTCAGCATGAGCGTTTCGTAATCACAGCTCTGGTCCTGTGCGATCAAGGCTTACATTATACTACAAGCAGGATCTGCACGGCTTGCCGCTGCCTTTCGTACGAATACTATCTCTCGAATTCATCATCGCGATTACTCGCTGCCTCGAAGACCGGTTTCAAGGTCGTCTGCTTCTTCTCTGAGGGTCCGCTCGACCAGACCTATAGGAGGAGGAGGAGGGGCAGGAGGAGGAAAGCATCGGATCGGGGGCAGAACAAGAGTGCCCAGCAGGGTGCCGCGTCTGCGACCGGTGCGAGGAAGTAAGAAACGAGGATATGCAGTCACCAGTGATTTTGTGTTAGTGCGATTCCTTTGTTATTTGTTTGGAAGGCAGTGGCGCCACATCTTGCTGGCTGGTAACGGGATCTCAACACACGGCCAGCCAGAATGGGCAGGAAAGCAGTGCGACGGCTCTTCATAGTCTAGATAGGCTGCATGCGAGACAAACTGAAGATTTCTCTGTCTCTCTCTTTCTTCTAGAGACGTGTCACGTATGAACGAATATTTACCTATTGGTAGGCTGTAGGTGTGGAGTATGTGGTTTGGCTTCACGGCAGCTGTATTGAATCTCTGGAGTCTATTGATTGCAGCTCCATTCTGATTAAGACCGCTGAAACAACCGATGACACGGATGGAGATAGCTTGAGCGAAGGATGGTAGCATGAGCGTCGAGGAATGCAGAAAGCGGGAGTACCGATGCTGCGGAAGACATTCTACCTCTGCCTGAAATGAAGCGCTCTACGACAGGACAGAAGAAGAGGCTGCAAAGTACACAACACAAGTACATTCTATCACAACCTGTGCATGACTACGTCATTCGCACGTTGATTGCAAGTGTGTAGTTCGGGTTAGTCACGGGGATACGTATCAATACGCGGCGAGGGTACCATCACTTTTGAGTTGTGGTGAGGTTTTAATCCTACAACGGCGATGCAAACGGTTAGCGGTAGCAGTCACTGCAGGCGCACTGTGGGTTGTTGTGTGGGCCAACCCCGCACAATAAAACCCCCTCCCTTCCCCGCCATCCCTTCCTTCCCTCCCTTCCTCCTTCCCCATCTTTCTCATCTCTCTCATCTTCCTCATTATCCTCCTTCATCTTCCTCATCATCCTCCTTTATCATCTTTCTAACCTTTCTCTCCTTCTTCCTTCTTCATTTCGCAACTATCCTCTCCTCCCCCTTCGCCATCTCGCTAACCTTCCCCTCCTCCCTCACCCACTCTCCACCCTCGCCTCTCAAAAGTTCAACCATCGCAATGATGCGAACTTTGGGGCACCACGCGAATCCCAATAGGGCGATGATGCTTTTGTCTTTCCATTAGTAAGTTTGTTACCTCTGCGGACGAGTAAGAGGTTATAGGTTCGACAGATTTGGATACTGACACGACGGACGGATTATAGGGGGGGTGCTCCCCGCTGGCGGGCAGGATTTTAGGGGCGCAGGCCGCCCAGCAAGGCGCAGGCACGTAAGTACCTCCACAGTCCAGACCCCCTTCGCGCCTGAGTCATTCGGTTTTTGAAAGTCGTAGCTAACCATGAATAGTGATGTGCCTGCTGACGGCTCCCCGCGACTGTCGAGGAAAGAACATTCGCTTTATTTTGATCCAGAGTCTTTCCTCTACTCACGACTCTATTGCGGTGGCGCAATCGATAGTTGCATGGCGGTTTTCTCTGGCAAGGCCAAGAACGCCATCGCGATTGTGCGCCCTCCGGGGCACTACGCGGAGCTGAATAGAGCGATGGGGTTGTGTCTCCTGAATAACGTCATTGTGGCGGCCAAAGTAGCACAGAAGCAGTACCCGGAAACTTGCAAGAAGGTGTTGATTCTGGGTAAGTGTATTGGCGCTGCGGAGGAGTCAGAGGTTTTGGGTTTGATTGACTTGGATACTGACACGACGGACGGATTCTAGGGGGGTGCTCCCCGCTGGCGGGAGGATTATAGGGGCGCAGGTCGCCCAGCCAGGCGCGGGCACGTATGTACCTCCATTTTCCACATACCCTTCCGCCTGAGTCACTTACGAAAGTCGTAGCTAACGATGATTAGTGATGTGCCTGCCGCCGGCTCCCCGCTGCGGCGGGAAGAATTGAAATGGCACGCAGACAGCCTACTACAACGATCCCAGTGTCTTGTACATGTCGATCCACCGCTACGAGAATGGAAATTTCTATCCGAGCCGGCCAGAAGGACGCATGGATCAGTGCAGTAAGGAGGATGGCTTGGGCAAGTAAGAATTACCCCCGACCGGAAGTGGCGTACTATCATTGTTGCTGCTGGACACTTGGCTAATGTTGAACAGTGTTTTGCCTGCTAGCCATTTCCCAGTTTTAAACTGGAGACGATTTGCTGGCAGCGACTGCTGCCGACTCCCCGCTGGCGGGGAACATTATACGGGCGCAGGTCGCCCAGAAGCAGAAAGGCGTAGGCACGTATATACCTCCATTAGGCATGCCCTCTTCCCTCCTGAGTCATTCGGCTGTCGAAAGTCATAGCTAACGATAAAGTGATTTGCCTGAAGCCTTCTCACGAGTCACCAACAACTACGGTTGGTGCAGTCAGACCAACAGGTCGCCGACACCTTCAGGAATGCCACTAGGCACAGTCCCCGCAGCTGTAGCGAGAAGAGACACAGGGTGGAGGATATCCTGGCAGAGCAGCGCAATATTCTTCGTCCCTACCAGCACACCGGATCCGGAAGGGAAGGAAGAAGAAATGGTCTCCTCGGTTCCAGAACACCAAAACGAGGTAAGCCTGTTCCATAATCCGTCCCCACCGCCTTCGCCATGTTTCATTAAAGAGCGTCTCTGACCTTCAGCAGCCCAGCGATAGTTTGCCCTCGGGGCCAACTGGAGGCCCGGCATGTTCTCTGGGCTCGGCTGTACCCGAGTCGTACAGCTTCGAATTCGAGAGCATTGCAGGGCCTGATGCAGCCGAAGCTGCTCAGTTACACCCCGGAGGAACGTTCCAGCTCAGCCAGCCCGTGCTGACAATGACGAACATCCTGGGCGCTGACTCTATCAGCATCGCCTTTTTCGGCGACTATATCTACGCCGGCCGATCATCACGCACGGCCCGAATGGTTTTGTATGCGGCAAACGGGCTGAAGGACGTCACTATCGGTGAGAAAGACGGAAACATCGAGCTCGTTATAAGCCCTGTCGTAGGCAAGAAGCTACCCGAAGACGACCGGGGCACGCCCCGATGCCCGGCAATACCGGAAAATCAGTCTCGACTGGTACCACCAGAGATGGTGGGTGAGGAGAGGTGGAGGAGAAGGAGCTGGAGGAGCTGGGGGGAAGGTGGAAGTGGAGGAGATGGAGGGGAGGTGGAGGAGATAGAGGAGGGCGGATCTCTGGGGGTTCGGTTTTTGTTAGGAGGATCTCAGGGTGTGTTCTTTTCTGTGTACTTTTCTGTTTACTTTTCCGTTTACGTTTTTGTTTTACTGCCGGATTGTGTCTCATCCTGCGCATTTGGGGCGGGCCCCGGTTTCCCAGCGATTCCGGAAGACCGTCTTAAAACCCCTCTCGCCATCCATGCTGGGTGGGTGGAGGAGTTATCCAGATTTGGGGGCGAACGAGGAGAAGCAAGAGGACGGATCTTTCAGGGCTCGGTTTCTATTAGGATGATCTCAGGGTGCGTTCTTTTCTGTTTACTTTTCTGTTTACTTTTCTGTTTACTTTTCTGTTTACTTTTCTGTTTACTTTTCTGTTTACTTTTCTGTTTACTTTTCTGTTTACTTTTCTGTTTACTTTTCTGTTTACTTTTCTGTTTACTTTTCTGTTTACTTTTCTATTTACTTTTCTGTTTACTTTTCTGTTTGCTGGCGGATTCAGGCTATCGGCCCTCTTTCATATTACAGTGTAAATTCAAATCGAGTTCTCTTCAATTGAGGCAATCCCAGGCCGATGACCAAATGCAGCCATGTATAATATCTTCCTGACAGCTCTATCTAAGTACTTTGAAACTCAAACCATTCTGTTGCACGTACATTCTAATTGATCGAAGAAGCTCGGTGAACGTCCGGGGTCTGGGACCATTAAAATTATGACACAATCATGGGTTTACCTTTAAGAGAATGGAATATAACTATCCGGGATATCTGGATATACGTTTTCCAGGTGTTCACGGCCACTGCATGTAGCCGACTTGATATTCTATCCTATCAACCCAGCAGACTTCTGATCGAGTACTGCCTGCTCAGCTTTTCTATCGCCTTAACCGCCCAGGTCGTCACGCTGTCCGCCTAACTTAGCAGCTTTCAATCCCAGGGCGCGCTTGACAATGGTACATAACGATATTGTATCGCCCACGGCACCGCCGCGCCGGGTGTTGATATTGGTATAGACGACTCGATTGATTCTCGGTGACCTTCGAGAATCGAGAGGGTTTATGCCACCCACCCACCGTTTTCCGCGACGTCCACTCCAGAACCTCCCGCAGAGATACTCTGCTCTCCTACTCGACTGTTTGCTATGTTGCATTCGTTGCTGTTCGTCCAGCACGGAATCTGCTTGCCCGCGAGTCTGGGGCTTTTCGAGAGATTTGGTTGTAATTTGGAAGCGAGTGACTGGCTGCGGACGCAACGTTCTGTGAGTTGGTAGGGATTCGGCCAGGAGGAGGTTGCCGCGTGGCGTTGCGTAGTGAAGAAGCGAGGAGAGACGATGAAGCAAAGTTCGGATGGGAACTTAATCCCGTCGAATACCGTATCTGGTTCACGTCAGTATGTCGGTGTCGCCGAAGCAACCGTGGGGAATACCGGCATGCGATCAATTGGGCACCGTCGAAGCTTGGTTCTTCCTGGTAATATTTCTGGTCGTCTGAGTCGTTGCAACCGGCATCAATTTGCGATAGCATTCGTGGGGTAGATCGTAGGTCCAGGAGACGCAGGCGGAGGTGTGGTGGGGGTGTTGATCGTCTCAGTCGAAATATCGCGGAGCCTCGGAGGGGGAGAGCATAGGCGTGTGGGAAGTGACAGGTGTCGGAGTCCCCGTTCATGGCACAGGTAGCCTCGCTGTTGGTGTTGGTGTACTGGTGGCGGAGAAAGCGCGGTGGCGCCTGCGGCCTGATATCCGACGGTCCACCCGAATACGGTGGTGATGGGCTGCAGGGACGAAATATCTAATACCACGGCGATGGGTAGCGAGGAGCATGGTGGATGGGTGGGTGGGTGGGTGGGTGCAGTGGGTGGGCAGAACTTACCCCCGGGGCCAGTATTGAGGAGCAAGGAAACCAACCCGCCACGATGGATAGAAACCATTTTCTCGCACACCACATTCATTCTCGCACATCGCTGCCGCGGCCCAGCAACTCTACGGCCCACCTAACACCCGCACATCGTCCTCTCGAGCTCCAACAGCACCCCCACATACAATTCTTTTTTGTCACCTTTATACGGATGCGTTTCTCGATAGTCCGCGCCGACGTCCGAGCTCCTAGAGCACACCAACATCCTTGGGCTACCGGTATAAGCGGGTCAGCAATGAGCATTCGTACATACTCTACCTAATTGAATACTACAAGCACAGAGGCTGACATCCGTGCAATACGTGTAGTACCGTCGAGACGCACTCATTCTGGCTCCCAATGCCGTGGAACAGCGACTACATATGGTCTGCGATGGATGTGTCCACAGAGACTACATAGACGTAGAAGTTAGCGAAACTCCCGCGCATCTCCCTGCTTCCTCGAGTCGTCGACGCCACAGCCGGTGCAAGTCCAGCCCTGGTGTTGGTGCCGGAGGATGTAAGGTGACGCCTGCGGCCTGATATCCGACAGCAGTCCACCTGAATATGGTGGTCATGGGCTGTGGAGATTCAGGGACGAAATAACCAATACCATGGCATAGGTAGCGAGGAGCCCGGTGGATGGGTGGGCGGTCGGTGAGCGGAACTCTGAATACCCAGTGTTGAGATTTGACGAGCAAGGAAACCAACCCACCACGCTAGATAGAAACCATCTTCTCACACACCACCTTCCTTCTCGCGCAGTGCTCCCGCGGCGCAGCAACCCTACGGTCTACCCGACACCCACACCGCGTCCTCTTGAGCTCCAACGCCGCCCCCACACACAATTCTTTTTCCTCACCAGTATGCGAACGCATATCCCGATCATCCGCGCCGACGCCTGAGCTCACGAAGAACTCCTACAAGCTACATCCTTGGGCTACAGATTTCATTCGCGAAGCGCCAGAAGCGGGTTAGCATTCGTTCCCATCTAAGTACTCAATCGAATACCACGGTACAGAGGCTGATATCTGTGCAATAAGTAGAGTAGTACCGCCGAGACGCACTCATAATGGCTCCCGCTGCCGCGGAACAGCGACTACGTAGGACGTCTGGTCTGGGATGGATGTGTTCAAAGAGACTGCATAGACGTAAGACTGAGTGACACTCCCGCGCATCTCCCGTCTTCCTTGGGTGCTCTATACCGCAGCCGGTGCAAGTCCAGCCCTGGTATTGGTCGCCGAGGAAGGGCGGTACCGCCTGCGGCCTGCGGCGTAATATCTGACGGTACACCCGAATACGGTGGTGATGAGCTGCAGGGAGTCAGGGACAATATATCCAATACCATGGCATGGGTAGCGAGGAGCATGGTGGGTGGGTGGGTGGGCAGAACGCACTCCTAGTATTGAAATTTGACGAGCAAGGAATCCCACCACGATGAATAGAAACTACTTTTCCCGCATACCACCTTCCTTCTCGCACAGTGCTGCCGCGGCGCAGCAACTCTACCACACACCCATACCTCGTCCATTCGAGCTTCTACACCGCCCCCACGGACCCACCGGCCGATACCCCCTCCCCGCCGCCCACCGGGCCCCTCACTCAATTCGTTTTCGCCACCCAAGAAGCTACGAATGCATCTCCCAATAGTCCGGACATCGTGCCGATTCCTGACCTCGTGAAGAACTCTACATGCTTGGGCTACAGCCTACAGCGTTTGTTCGCAAAGGACCAGACACGGGTCAGCATTCGGACATACCTAGGTTATCGAATACTACCTACCAGTACAGACGCTGACATCCGTGCATTACGTGTAGTAGGTGCCGCCCATACGCACTCATCCCGGCTCCCGATAGAGCAGAAAACTGGGATTTCACCACAGCAATGGCTACGATGGATGTTTTCCAAAATCCAATGAGACTCGACGTCCGATTCAGCGGCACTCCTGCGCATCACGCACCTTTCCCGACGCCATACGTGTGGGATGCCAGAGCAGCCATGGACCATGGCCTATGGCTGCGATGGATGTTTCCAAAGAGGCACGACGTCTAATCTATCGTCGCGACACTCCTGCGCCACTCGCGCCTTCCCCGACTACGCATGCGATTCCATAGCAGCCATGGCTTTGATAGATGTTTCCAAAGAGACACGATGTCTGATCCAGCGACTCTAGCGACACTCCCGCAACACTCCCACCGTCAGGTTTTCTCGACACCACAGCCGGGTCAAGCCCAGCCCCCAGTTGCCAAGCTCACCCCCATGTCCCGACAGGCCGTTCCCAACAATCTTAAGATCGGCCCCATGGCTTGATATTGCACAATGCGCATCGCCGTCTACGGAGCCCAACCCAACCGAAACATGCATACCCCGCAGCCGTGATTAGGCTCTCCCTGGAGCCAAACTATCGGTTTTCATGTCCGTCGGGACTCGGTCGGTACTCGTGCAGTAACTCAGGTTCTGCACTCTGCATTTCCAGGAGCCCAGACCAAGGCAACGGATCATGCGCCGCCCTTCGACATTTTTCCCTGCCTCCGGGTAGCCGGCCAACTTCCAAGTTGCAATTTCCAACCGCGACAAACGCAAGTTACGCAGGTTACGCAAGTTACGCAGGATCCGATCGCGAGCTTACTGCGGATCGTAAGTCGTAAGAAAGAAGTGGATGACGCGGATGCTTCACGCCGCATGCGGAACCATGCGCATACCGCGGTTGTTGCTAGATTAGGAAGGGGGCTGTCGCGCGTGCTCGGTTGGGTTAGCTCCCCCGCTCACGGGATGCTCACCGGACGCTCGGCTCGGAAATGAAGCGAATCGGGTGGCAGCCGCGATACTCTGCATACATAGAGTATAATGATGGATGGATGGAGGACATTGGCTGAAGAATGGATGCTGGAGCCTGCGGACTGGGGACTGGGGACTGGGCAGTCCCCCCACTCCCGGTGCCCGTCCAACCATGGGCCAGTGGGTGCAGGATGAGTATTCTCCACAATGGGTTGCACAGAGTGGCGAAAACAAAAAGAAGAAAAACCGTGAAGAAACGAATCAAATTTCGTGTTCTTTTGCGTGTACTGTTTCCGACACTCGATTGAGCCGCAGTGGGAACCTTAGCCTACAAGCACATGATCTGGCCGTTTTCCGTTCATGCGTTTGCACAGGTTGTCCCGGCCAACTTCCGCACACCGAAAACACCAACTTCATGCGGCCAGCCATCGAGGCCAATCACCATTCCACCAAAAGCCGCAGCACACCTCCCATCTCCACGTCTTATCGGTTCTCTCCCTCGACCTGCCATCCCTTACGTAGCCATTCTGCGATTCTGCTCCGCTGCTGTTCCGTTTCGTCACGGTGCCCTCACTCATCCACCCAAAACGTGCATGGTGCATGACGCACGACGCGCCTTCGTGCTTTGTGCAGTTACAGCGTCGATTCGGAACGAGACCCGGCTAGGATGGATGTAACCCAGCGGTGGGAAGCATTGTAAGAGATTACATAGCTACAGTGCGAGACTCTACTTACTCTACTCTATCTATAGCCCAGCCATCGCCTCTGCCCGCCTCTGTTCACTGTCACCTCACCACCTCACCACCACCTAAACCACCACCTAAACCACCACCACCACCATCCTACCCCCGACACGCACCGATGGCGTCGATATTCTGCCCGCCCGACCCTATCGCCGTCGACCCAGCCTGCTACGCCGACGGCGACAGCTACCCATACGACGAGAACAGCGACTCGGGGACAAGCTCGCTCGACTCCCTCGTCGTCACGCACATCCTTGAAAATGGCCGACGCTACCACGGCTTCCGCGCCGGCCGCTACCTCCTCCCAAACGACAAGCCCGAGCAAGGTCCCTCCTCTCCCGCTCCCCCTCCCCCGTCCCCCCGCTAACCCCACCCCCCCAACAGAGCGCCTCGACCTCCTCCACCACATCCTTCGGCAAGTCTTCACGGACACCTACACAGCTCCACTCAGCACACTCAAACCTCTCCGCCGCATCCTCGACCTCGGCACGGGTACAGGCCGGTGGGCAATCGACACGGCGTACGCCTACCCGTCCGCGACGGTCATGGGCATTGACCTCTCACCGATCCAGCCGAGCTGGGTGCCCTCCAACTGCAGCTTCGAAATCGACGACCTCGAGTCACCGTGGACGGTTGCGCCGGGGTCCGTCGACTACATCCACGCGCGCGGGCTGAGCGGCAGCATTCGCGAGTGGCCCGCGCTGCTGGCGCAGGCGCACGCGGCGCTACGACACGGCGGGTGCGTGGAGGTTACGGAGGTGGTTGCCGAGATGGCGCCGGTGGGTGAGGTCGGCAGGGAGTATGAGCTCCTCCTTGCAGCCGCGCATGAGCGTGCGGGAAGGAGGTTGGGTGTGGCTGAGGAGGTCCCCGGGTGGCTTACAGAGGCGGGGTTTGTTAATGTTGCTGAGAGAAGGGGGAGGATGCCCGTGGGGAAGTGGCCGCTCTTGCCGGCGATGAAGGAGCTGGGGAAATTGTATAAGGAGGTGGTACTGGCGGGGCTGGAGGCCAGGGCGGTCGCGCCGCTGACTAGGTACCTTGGCTGGAGTAAGGAGGAGGTTGAGGTGCTCGTGGGGAATCTTAGAAGGGAGGTCGGCGAGAGGGGCGCGCAGAGGTGCGGCAGGGTCGTGAGCTGGGTTGCGTGGAAGGCGTAGATGGATGCGGGGATCTCGAAGATGTTTGCACTGGTTGGAGGGATGAAGGATGATGGCTGGGACGCCAATGGTAACTGGTAACTGGTTCGCATGTGCTCTACATACTAAGAGGCGGTAGTATTCTACCTGCTGTGATAATCGCAATCGCGTCCGGAGTTCGACGAGTCGCGCGAACACTCCATGTGTTTACCTAAATACTCATCACGATTCACGGTTCAAGGTTCGCGATTCACGGTATTGCTCAGAAGCTCAGAATAGATGGATCATGGATATGACGGAATTGAGGCTAGAGGGAGGACTACTGCGAGGGGGGCCCAGGGGCGGGGGAGCTCAGTTAGCGGGCGATCTATCCCATCATCCCTGTGTTCCAGTCTAGTCTAGTCAGACTCTCCAGTGAATTGTGAATGATCGACGTTTATGCGAAGTGCTGCATAATTTTTAGTCATAGGCTACAGCCTACATGAGGGCTCGGAATCCAAAGCCAGATCGTGCAAATCGCGACGATGTAGACGGTAGAACAGAATCAAAAGGAACGGTTCATGTACTCAATCAAGACTCCCAACATCTTCACATTCATGATTCATGAGGCACGGGGAAGGGACAGTCATGCAAGCCAAGGCTTCCGTTTGCTAAACTAAATTACTGGTCATGCCCGCCACGTACTCGCTGTGTTCCATAGACTACATACTTGCCTTTCGTGTCGAATCTGCAGTCTTTTGTTTACTACTCCGTGGCGTACAGCTGTAAATTCCGGAGGACGGGAGTGCGCGACTTTGGTGATGCGTGAGGTGCGCGCTCGAGTCCCGCGTCGGTCAAAAGTAATTAGAGTATATACTGGTTAATATCATACATTCCAATCAAGTCAAGGTGGTGGAGTGGTTAACACGTTCGCCTGCTATTCTCCTTGGACAGCTCAGCGGATGCCTTCGGGCGCGCAGGTTCGAATCCTGTCCTTGACGCTTTTTTAATTTTTTTTTCCCCCTCACTTTGGTGGCTATTCCACCGACAGGGATTCATCCCTGCGTCTTTAGCGGGTCGTGAGGTGAGAGGAGCTCGCCCTCATGATCCTCGATTTCCCCCCCCCCCCACCCGCCATGGCACCCGCCCTCCCGCGCATAGTCCTGTACCAGCAAACGCACCACCATCCAGGCACCTCCACCCCCGTGCGGCTCACGCACCTACTGACGCAAGTGCCCGCGCACATCCACGCGCACCTCGTCGTAATCGTTGGCGCAGTGCACCTGAACGCCGCAACCCCCACCGTCGCCGCACACATAACGCTTAACGACTCCGCGCCGACGGCGACAAAGTTCCGCGAGCTCCGCGATGACATCGCCGCCTTGCGCCGCGCGGGCGTCACCGTGCTCGTCATGCTGGGCGGCGCGGCGGGGGGGAGTTTTACTGTTCTCGACGGCGGGGCGGTGGAGGAGGAGGGGGAGGGGGGGGCTGTGGAGGGGTACTACTACGCTCTGCTGCACGCGTTTCTAGTCTCGTGGGAGCTGGACGGGATCGATCTCGACGTGGAGGAGGATATGTCGCTTCCGGGGATAATCCGGCTGATCACGCGGCTACGGCGGGATTTCCCGGCGTACATTATCACTTTGGCGCCCGTGGCTACGGCATTGTCCGGCGGACGGCATATCAGCGGCTTTGACTACTGTGCTATGCGCGCAGCGGTGGGCGCGGAGGTGGCGTGGTACAACGCGCAGTTTTATTGCGGTTGGGGGGACGTGAGGGATACGAATGCGGTCGTGCGCATGTGGGATCACGGCTGGGATCCCGTGGATGTGGTGCTGGGCACGGTTACTAATCCCGTTAATGCCGGCGGGTGGGTGGGGACGGAGGAGGTGGGGGGGGCGGTAAAGGCGCTGGGGGAGTACGGTGGGGGCGGCGTGGCGGGCTGGGAGTACTTTAATGCGCTGCCTGGCGGGACGGAGAGGCCGTGGGTGTGGGTGCTGGAGATGGCGGAGGCGTTGGGGTTGAGGCCGGTAATGGGGGAGGTGGAGGATGAGAGAGAGGGAGAGAGACAGAGGGATAGAGAGGTGGAGGAGATGATTAGGCGGGGAAGGTCGTCGGATGGGGCGGACGTGGTGGAGAGAGACAGAGAGGTCGAGGAGAGGCCGGGCAGGTTGGGGAGGTATCGGGACACGTCGTAAAGTATCAGGGTGGAGAAGTGAGGTAGATAACCTCCCCGGTTTGATCACGCCGGCCATTCAGTCAGCCAGCCATTCACTGATAGCGAGTTATTTCACGGCAATAGAAACGAATTTGATGAGCAGCGAAACTTTTATGCACACAATGCACGCAGACCAGATAGTAGTACAGCGCTAACCAAAACTCCCAACCATCTCAGACCGATATGGTACAGAGCCGACGCAAGCCTGCTGCAAACCTCAGACAGTCGCCATCGCTCCCTCGCGCTTGTGCAGCTTGACCATCATGCCCACGTAGTTCATGTTCACGTGGTTGCTGAAGCTGGCGCACGGCTTGTCCGGATTGACCATCTCGATGTCGAAGTTGGTCAGGAGCTAGTGGCTGTCAGCAACCCGTATATTATATTCGGACACGGCGAACGTATCTCGCGCAACACGATCGTAATCTTGAGCTTGGCGACCGACTTTCCAAGGCACATAGCCGGGCCGTACACCCAGATATTATTGAGCATTTCCATCCTGCCGACGCTCTTCCTATCCTCGAGCCACCTCTCCGGGCGGAACGTGTCCGCGTCCATTCCAAAGACGTCCCGATCGCGCATGACGCAGTGAGGGTTCATAGAAACCTCGGTTCCCTTCGGGATAGTGTGTCCGGACGGGAGCATGACAGGCGTAGCCACGATGCGCGGGAAGAAGTTTGGCGCGGGGTGCGAGAACCGCAGCGTCTCGGTGATCACCGCCTCGAGGTTTTCGGTGCCGAGCCCGCCGCCGCCGAGCAGCTTCGAGTGCACGCGCGGGTGCTGGTGAAGGTTGATCAGGAACGCGCACATCGAAGACACGATCGACTCGGATCCTGCGATCAGCATCATAAGCGTCTCTGATAGGATCGTTTCGCGTGCGATCGCGGTGCCGGAGGCGGTTTTCGCGTCGAGGAGGCTGCGGGGGTTAGTACTGGCGGTGGACGAGGAGGGAAGACGCACTGCGCTAGGATATCACGCTTGCCACCGGAAGCTCCCCTCGCCTCCTTCGAGATCCTCTCGTTGACCAGCTCGTTGTGGAAAGCCATCAGGCGACCCAGGCCGTTCTTGTCCCAGGGGGTGGGGAGGATCCAATCCCTCAGAAGCGGGATCTTGACGATGCTCTCGAGGAGGTACGGCATTCTCACGAGGGGGCCGACGATCGGAAGAGACTTGACGACCTGGGACAGCAGGCTATACTTATCCTCACCAGCGACGGAGAAACCAAACGGCTCGCCAAAGACCAGCTCAGAGATGACGTCGTATCCAATCCACTGCGAGGCCTTGCCCCAGTCGACGAGCTCGCCGCTCTCCGCGAACGACGCCAGCAGCTCGATCCACTGCACGACGCGCGCACTGATCAAAGGTCCGTGATGCTTCCCCAGAACGGACCGGGAAACACCGACAACGGGTGGAAGTACCGGTTGTAGATGCACATCGACATGAGGCCGATGATGGCGAGGACTGACACAGCCTCGATGATCATCTTGGAGGCGGCGGGAGGTTAGTTGGCGGGTGCGTCAAGGGAGAGGGTAGAAATGGGGGAGGGGGGAAAGGAGGGTGTTCACAGCCGTAGCTGGATGTTGAGGGGGGAAGAGGTGGTTGGTGTGAAAGAAGGAGAAGGGGGAAGGCGGGTAGGCATTTACCACCTAGACCGGCGGTGAAATTGCGGCTCCGACCAAGTGGAGGAGGAGGTTCTCACGAAATTGTCAAACATGCTAGCGTAGGAAGACATTCCAGCGTTTTCTTTCCAAAGGGTTCAGAGTCATCCGTTTTCACTCGGATCGCTAGTGGTTGGTTTTGTTGGAACTGAGAGACAAACTTGACTTGATTGCTGTGGATTACACGAGAAAGACGAGAGGGAAAACCGCTTATAATGAAACGTGCTCGTGCACTGGACAATGCGATGCAGCCTCCGGCAGAGAAAGCAGCGATACCCGTCACCGGACTGGGCAGGGGGCTTAAAGAGGCATTCTCTGGTGAACCGTGAGAAGCCAGAGACAACGCCGAGAAGCCATGGCCACAACTCTGCATATGAAGTGCAAGTAGCCAGTATTATCACTGCCGCCGCCGCTGCCGCCGTAATCATGCACAATGAGATAAGTCCATCATTCAGTATTACAGTCCCATCATACGAGATTGCAGGTTTACAGTTGCCGTTTCCACCTGGCATGCCCGTTGCGTGCGATGAGTGCGGCATTATTGATCACTCGTTACCGCTAGCGTGAAGCTCCGTTTAGAAACGCTACCCACCCAAACACCTCACACCCGCACGCCCTAGAACATTCACCACCGTATAGCACTTCTATCTCTCCGTCAGACACAGTCGCTTCACTCTCCTTCAGATATCCCCACGCCGTCATAACCGCCGTTCTTCATACCCTATCACCTCTGCCTCTCGAGTCTCCCCCCGACACCCCAGAGCTACACACACCTCGGGTACGGAAATATATTCCGCAAATACAAGCCATCGCTGACTTCGAGCCCTGCAGCACGCAATGCCCTCCCGCCGCTACCTCCTTCTCACCCTGAGCCCGGTTCCGTTCCACCGTCTCGCCCTGTACCTCTGTGGCGACGAGGACAAGGAAGACAAGGACGATAAAGCCGAGTGCCTGATCCCCCCTCCCGACAGGTTGAACACGTACGAGGAAGCGGCCCATGTGAGAGACTGCAAGATGCCTATCTGGGTCGCGGTGTTGTCGCTGCCGGTTGCTGTGTATGGTTGGGTCTTCGGTAAATGGGCGGCGGAGCAGTGGGGGACGTAGGCGCTGTTGGGCCGAATGCTGAGGAACCAGCTGACGGGAGGGGATGATCACTCGCAAACCGTGTTAGAAGTGGGAGGGATGGTAGTGGGATGACACGAACGGGACTTCAGTCGATCAAATGGCAATGGATATTGTATGGCAAGCGATGGTCGATGACAACCTCGCCGATTTACTTTTCTTTCCACGTGTGGCGATTATGGTAGTAGGATGGCAGCGTGTGGTCTCCTAGAGATCTAAGCTCGCTATCGGGAATCGAAGGACAACCACCGCCGGCTGACTCCCCACACTCTCTGACGACTATCTTCTTGAGGGCTTTATATCACTTGCACTTACGGTATGCATCATAAGCAGTGAAGGGACGCAGAGTCGTGCAGAATCCACAAGTGCGATAATGAGAGCGCCAATCTATCAAGCCATCACAATTGATCACTCGTAGTGGAAAAAGCAAAGAAAAGCACAAAAAAAACGCCTTACTTTTGTACGAATACTCTTGATTGATCCGGCTCATCTCGATCAGGAAGTAGTCGATCGACTAGTGATCTCCATAGGCCGGTCCGTCTGTTTTAGACGCAGATGGCACTAGACTGCTTAGTACAGATGTCTAGTACACTATCTCTCTGCAAATTGCCTGGGCTTCGTGAGTAGTGGTTGACGGAGCGAATGGTTTACTAAAATGGGACGAGGAGAGTTGGTGTCACATCATAGAGAAGGTCGAGATGTGAGGTGTCACTACGAGGATGCAAAAGACAGAACAGCGAGACGTTGATGTAGGCCCGGACCTACTACAGCAAGATGTTTCGAACTCATCGAAGTTTCACAATTGTGGCTACTACTCTACACAATAACGACGTGGCTACCGGTCATTATCTCAGTACGTCGATCAAACGAAACGAAGAGATATAGTCATGAGGTCCTTGCGATGCTGCATACCTCCATCACTGGCACCACATCCGTTGCCACCATGCTGGAGGGCGGCAGTCTGAACGATCCGAGCAGCCAGAACACCGGCGAAAGCAACAGTGGAAGAAAAACAAATACCATTAGGCCGGTGCCCACTGGAGCAGTTCCATCTTGGGCGCCGGAAAAGCATGTACCAGCCAGTGTTCTTCTGGAGTAACTTGATCCACACCCACACAGTGGGTTTCTGGCATTCTCAGCCCTGGGCAGGGCATTATTTGCGTCATCCTCCACCCAGGGCGACGCTATTTTGCGATATATCTCAGATATGCTGATAAACTGAGTAAGGTGTTAGCGAGTATTCTTCTTTCCATCTAGGGATCATCTCAGTTCTCACGTTTTCGTGCCCGTATCTTCGTCCACTGTGGGTCGGGCGCTTCGTGTGCATCGTCAAGGTCTAACGAGAGGTGTGAGATGCGTGCGATGTATGAAAGATTCAGTGTGCACTTACGCAAATACGTACTGCAACACACTTACGATAACAAGTAGTTGCAAGTCGTGTTCGGCCACCGGTCGTATGGATGATGACTAAACCGGAGGTTTCAGTTCGAGATTGGCTGTGCCAACCGGCAACCAGTGGTCGGGGGTGTCGACATAAGGGATCTTCCTCTTGGGGGGCATCTTACTTGACTTGGGTGGTTTTTGTTGCGGGGGAGGGGATGTAGGAGATTCTAGGCGATGGTGGTGGAGGTGGGAGACGAGGTGGTGGAGGACGGTGGCACTGCTCCAAGTAGTAACGTTAGCAAAGTAGACAGCTTGCAACAAATCATAGGATGACGTACCGAACACTTCGGAAAAGAGACGAGAAGCACGGTGTTCTGTCGCCAGATGAGTGAGATAGAAGATCGCAAGGTTGCGTTTCGTAAGTGAGAGAACAGAGGAAAGCTGCGAAAACTTAAGTTGTTCGGGCGGTATCGATATTAGGAGGGAGGATGATGAACAAAAAGGGAGGGAGAAAAAGGTGAGTGAGAGGGGACCATGACGTGCTGTGAGGCGACGTGACGGCGGGATGTGTGTTGTGGGTTGTGCGAGGTGGAGACGCAGTCACAGCCCTACTCAACCCACAAAATAGTTCACGCAAGTCGTCTTTGAAAGTTTGGGCTGGGTACAGCCCTACTCTCCCCACAGTCCCTTCCTCTCCCTACAATCTCTTTCCCTCCACACAACTTCTTTCCTTCCCTCTTTCCAACACATTTCGCTGCACTTGGGCGAACACCTCCGATAGCTCACCATGAGCCTCTAGGTATGTACCGAGTACCTTCGTCTCCCCACATTTACTTACCATCTTCCCCCCAACCACCAACAGAAGGAAACCTTCTACATCATCGCCCGATGGCATCCCCCCATCCATATCGCGGCTAGAGTAGGTGGCGTTCTTGAGGAGAATGGTACGTTCAACACATGGGTCCCCGCAGCCGTTATCCAGCTAACCTACAGCAGTGAAATGGGCGCAGGATATCCTCCAGGCCTATGTCATGCAGCTGGTCTACTAGACAAACAAGAGGGCAGATACTGCTTTTATTGGAGGTGTGCCGTATGTGGTATTTTGCCAGCCATGTGGAGAGAAATTTCCTTCTAGGCAGAAATTCCTATCTAAGCGGATGCCACGCTAACTAATCTTATCAGGCACCCATAAGCCCCCGAGGGGTAACTGGGCATTTCACCCTGCGGACTTTCCGGACTACTAATTAGTCTGATGTGTCCGCAGGGAGCCCGGGACTGTGGTTCCTGTTGCACTGGTGTCCGGACTGACGCCGCTCTATAGTCACGGCAGACACGGAAAATATTCCGCGTTTCTCCAGTTGACCCAGATTCAACAGTCGCACGAGAATATCTCGCAGTACGGGACCACGGCCAGCGTTGCCGCGCCCTGCCTACAAAATTACCAGCTGCAGTTGCACCGAGACTACAACGAGTACATCAGCCGATTTAACACACGTCCGGAGGCGATCCACGGAGCGCAGGATGATCGCCGGCTGCCTGACGATCTTTACCACCCGGCTTCGGTGGTACTGGAGCGAGCTCCACGCTGCTGAGTCGGGGTCTGACTCTGCCCATAGGAGCGGTGAAGGCGATGGCCTGATCGGGACGGGGCAGAAGCCCCCTCCCGATGAGTGCCTGAGGCCTCTCCCGCAGACCTTACAACGGGTGGTTAAGAGAGATCGGCTAATCAAGACGGGGCAGAAGCCCCATGCCGATTAGGCCTGCATCCTCTCCCAGCGCAGACGCGGGACGTATGTCGTGGACTCCTTGAATCAAAACTTTTGAACACGACACAGGATCGGCCGAATAACAACATCGATAACTGGATCCGCGACTACAAGTCGATCTACGCTGATGTCTCGAACTTGCGTTGTTGCGTGCAACGCGATTACTCTGACATCACGGGCAAAGCAGCTTCAGCTGTCATCGCTTCCGTACGCCCCCCCGTCGCCGGTGGGAGAATTCAACTCGGTGAGAATGAGCTGAATATCCGCCTAATCACCGGAGACATGATGTGCCTTGAGATGCTCCCGCTAGTTGAAATCACGAACCCCAACGACGCCCCGGGCGAAGAAGATTCAGATTTCGTCCCATACGTCATCTCCGAAGCCGAAGTGAAGTGTTTCAATAGAGCTGGATTGGATGATGTCTAAATTTGTCGGTGATCTGGTTTAATGTTCTCGGGCATCAATAGACCGAGTTGGGACGGACGGATAGGATGGGAAGGACGGATATTGTGGGACGGACGGATATCTTGGGAATTGGTTTTTGCTCCTATGTATCTCTTTAAATACTCTCTCTGTTGTCCGGTCTCTTTTGTTCGGCATCTAGCAATCACATCTCCATCTTTCTCTCATTCGTTCGCTCAGATCCGCTTGACAAAAAATCGACGAAGAACACGCCGTATAATACCACTTAAAGGGTCCGATACTAGAAGATGCAGCGCAAAGAATCTTGCAGAACTGTATGTGTGCGGGGGAGGGGATGTGATGCTTAGGCATGTGTCGTGTTGATCGATTTGAGATACGACCGACGTGGGAGTAATATCGGCGGGCATGCGAAGAGAAATATAAAATGAAACATATTAAATGTGAAAATAAAGATCATAAGACAGTAGCTCTAAAGAGATTGGTTGCTCTTGTCCCTAAATATGTGAAGCCATAACATTCGCTCCCTTCTTGCCATGTGCCGTTTGAGGCTGTTTTACTTGCGGACGACATTCGGCAGACGACACGGTATCATCCAGGACCGTATTCGGTGGCAAGCTTGCTGAAAATCGCTTTTGCCAGGTTCCATGCATTATCTATTCGTTCATATTCCATCCCCATTCCTCCCTCGCTGATGAGAGGAAATTTTGCCGGATAATCCAAAGCCCGAGTGATATCACATGCGTAGATGTGGGTCAAAATCATCAATCGTGCAAGAAACTATGGTACTGAAGTAGCAGCTCCCCAAGATTACCCTCTCTAGAGTGTCGAGGACGAGTGAGAGAATATTTTAGCGAAGTTGTAGTTGACAGGCATCTACGTGAGTGCTCCTAAAAGAGTACGTCCGGCGAAGATCGTATGGGCGCGGAAATCGTCGAAGACTGTGTTCGAAAGGGATGCGGTGTGGACGTAGAGTGTTGCCGAAGTGCGGGATTGTGGTTCACTACTTTTAAGAACCGCTATTCTCCCCATGAGAGATGAAAGCCTACCGGTTTTCCCTCCCGAACGGAACGATGTAGCCTGTAGGAGGGATACATGATACATCATGGCCCTCGTCACAAGAAATCAATGAAATAAACGCCAGTAGAACCGTGTGACTGAAAGTAGAGTTTCTTCAACGGAACAAACGATCCACTGCAGCCACAATGAACAACATTCCCGACCCATCTTGACGCCTCCAACCAAGAGGCTTAGAATCCAAAGCTCACACTCCCATCAAAGACTGTGTTGTAGGTCGCTGTCCTGACGGTAGGCTGCTGCGAAGCAACCGAGTTGCGGATGTGGCGGCAGTTTTGTCAGTTGAACCTCTGACAAATCTTCCGCCACATACGCAACTCAGCTGCCCCGCAGAAGGATACTATCGTGAAGTAATTATCGGCAAGCAGAGCACGGAGAGCAATGCCATCCGTGTATCGGGGCTGACTTGGAAGTTGGTGGCAGGTTCAATGACGTCTGCATGCATTCCTCCGTTTGCGATCGACGGCTCCGACCGTCCTCTCCGTCTGCTCCTGAGAATGGTAAGCCATGTGGTGGTAATCCGTAGTATAGGGAGATGTGTCAGGCGCTGAATCGATCACCTATGTAAGGCTGTGAGCGTGAGGGGTGGCTTACGTTCAAGTCAGCTTTCGGGAATCTCATGTTCGTGAACCGCTCAACTGAGGGAGACAGGAGGTCGACCGAAATCCGTGAAGCCGATGCTCGAGTTGTTATTCACCCGAAGGTGGCATGCTACCTCGGAGAAGCATCAACGGGAATGCTTTTGTTGAAGCGTAGCGTCCGTTCATCTACCATAGTGTCCAGAAATGAGTGAAGGCACCTCAAAGAATACTCCGAGAACCAAGCAACGTCCATGAGGATGGAGTTATGCTTGCCACCGCTTTCGATCGTACCCTGCCGCCGAGCGAAGTGGCAATCCTTACCACTCAAACTGAAAAAACCGTCGCCTTCTTGGTGTTGGTCGAAGAAATCAGTAGGATGTCTCGCTACGCCTCGGAGAATTTGGACTGAAGAATTCTGTGCCGGAAAGTCGAAGTAACTGTGGGAGCCGTCGATGAACCGGTATTTCTCGTCGTTATGAATAAGCTCCTGCATGATGGGCTATTGTCGGCGAAAGTCGTGGTAGCGTCGGTGGTGTGGGATGAAGGGAGTCACGAGTGTCATGACATTTTACGCAAGGGACTCGATGAATGCTCTCTGGAGGGACGGAAGCTATGTACGGTCACGAGACTGCGAGCGCTAACCTGATATGTTCACGTTCCCCACACAATTGGGCACTCGCCGCTAGCGTCCCCGCCAGATTTGTTGTGTGCTCGCCCACTCACTCGCGGGGTTGTCATCTATTTTCTTTCAAAAGTGAACTGGCGTGTTTGTTCTCTCATACTACCTCAAATCTCCAACCACAACCATTCCTTCTTCATACCACTACCTCTTTATACCTCCACATCCTCAACCAAACTCTTCATCGAACAGCACAAAATCAAAATGCGCATCAATCTTACCGTCCTCTCTATCCTCGGCGTCATCGTCACCTCCGTGCTCGCGGCTCCTCTGTCCGGCACCACCGCCGTCTCCGGCGTCAAGGCCATCGAGCATCCCTACAAGCTCTCGATCGATCTCGACGATATGACCGAGTACAAGCCCGCTTTGGAGATCCGCGGCCACGACTCGGACAACCCGACTTCGATGGTTGACGGCTTGGTCAAGTGCGAGACCTCGCCCGCGTCGCCGACGTTCACCGAGATCGACGGCGCGATCGCCAAGCTCCGCAAGAAGGAGCTTGCCACCAGGACCAGCAGTCCGGCTCCTTCTGCTCCAAGATCGTCACCTACAAGGGCGGCGAAGTCTCGCTCTGCGGAAAATACACCAAGACCTTCATCTGTTCGGATGTCGCTGACGCCGTCTAGAGGGTCAAGGATCAGTGTGGCTAGCAGGAGATCTCGAGGGCGGGGGGTATCTTTTTCTTTGAGGGCCAGAAGGGGCTGCATGCTGCGGTTCACTAGACGGGCTGTGTCATTTGATGGCGATGGAGGATGAAGCTGTCAGCTGGGGGGAATAGTACTGTAGCTACTGGTCTGCATCAACTCTAAATTCACTCACTCGTATTTTCCTGTGATTTCCTTGTTATGACTTGCGTCTGATATAGTTAACCCTTCACATCCGATGAAGTCGGTTCGTAGTATCAGCCTTGAATAATATTGACCGCCTTAGGTTGTACCTGAACCAATCGCTCTCTCCCGATGAAGAACCCGATGAAGAAGACCAGGGGTATCCAACAGTGCCGCGTACTCCTAACCGCCGGTACAAAGATATCCCTCGCTCTCCGGAGTCCAGAGACTAGTCTCAAAGGTAAGTGATCACACGGCAAGCGTAGCAACACAATACTGATCCTGTGGATTTGGGTTACAGGCACGAAGATGATGAATCGAGCCTTGAGGCCGGTCGTTTAGGTACACGATAGTTTGAGAACATACGAGCCAACCCATGCATGGACACTGACAACAAGCGACCAGCAGCCACTGATCTGCAGCTATTGCCAGCCATCCAGTAACAACGAACTCGGTCATCACCAGTTACCGTCAGGAAAACCCATACGACCCAAAATACAATTATTATTATCGGCCCATCGCCGAGCACCGCTGTCGCTTTGGCTCGACTACCTAATTTGCGCGCCAACTGACACGACTATATATACACAAGTAACTCGCAGATAAAATAAAAAATCCAGACAAAAACTCCCTTCAACCGCTCAGAACATTATACATGCATCGCCATTAAGCAGTGACCTCCTCCGCCATGTCACCCTCAACCCGCCTGCTTGTCGACATAGGAGCCCGCTTCCTACTTGCGGCTGGGAACCTCGGGGGTGGCGGGGGCTGCAGGAGCCTTAGGGAGGGCAGGAGCCGCGGGTGCAGCAGGCGCCGCAGGAGTCTCGGGGGTGGCAGGGGCCTCCAAGGCAGAAAACTCGGGGGTGGCAGGGGCCTCCAAGGCAGCAAACTCGGGGGTGGCAGGGGCCTCGGGAGCCTCGGCGGCAGGAGACTCGGGGGCGACAGGAGTCTCGGGGACCTCAGCGGCAGGAGTCTCGGGGGTGGCGGGAACCTCGGGGGTGGCGGGAGTCTCGGGGGTGACAGGCACCTCGGGAGCCTCCGGGACGGCGGGAGTGGTAGGAACCCTGTTGCGGAAGGAAGGAGTCTCGGGGACGGCAGGAGCCTCGGGGACGGCAGGAGCCTCAGGGACGGCAGGAGCCTCGGGGACGGCAGGAGCCTCAGGGACGGCAGGAGCCTGAGGGACGGCAGGACTCTCAGGGACAGCAGGAGTCTCGGGGACGGCAGGAGTATCGGGGACGGCAGGGGCCTCAGCGGCAGCAAGCTCGGGGGCCTCCGGGAAGGCGGGAGCCTCGGGGGTGGCGGGAGCCTCGGGGGTGGCGGGAAGGGCAGGAACCTCGCCGGCTCGCTTGTACACAGCTGTAATGATGTTAGGAATAGTTCCTCAAGGATGGGTGCGGGAAGGTGGACATACACAGTTGTTTTCTGTTTCCACGCTCGGCCATCGGGGCGGCAAGCGTCGAGACGGCAAGGCACAGGGCGATGATGGAGTAGAAAGAAGTCCTCATTTTGAAAGATTGTGGTATGAAGTTGTCGGAGACGGGTGAATATTAAAATGGTAGTATAGGAGGAGGATGAGGAGGATGTGTGAAGCGTTGAACAATGATTCAACTCTGAAGCCAGCGAAGGAGAGCCCCTTATATCCCCCCTCATTGATCGGCCAAGCATCATCTTCCCCTAGCCGTAAGGTTCTGCACGGCATGCTCCTCGCCGAGCAATTCATCCATCTCGTCTCGACGAGCGGCTCCCCTTTGCAAGTTAGATTCCCGACGCTCAGGGCACGAAGGCGTAGGCGTTAGTTAGCGTCAGCGTTAGCGGCGGAGTGAAGTTACTTGGCGGCAAAAGCCGGTACCTGCGTATTGCAGTAGTCATCCGTTCGGTACGGTAAAACCGATCGGTTGAGGAAGTGATCGCCGAGCCACGATTAAGCTTAAAAAGAAAACATCCTCAGGAGCAGAAAGCATCGGCGTTGTTGGCTGCGTTGGGTTGGGCGCTGTCACGCTGCCATGGGTCACCCCTGCGCGGGCGGAAATGGGGGTTATCGGTTCATTCAGGGGGTCCCGACTTCGAGAAATCCTTCAGCGGGGCGCGCTTCGTATCATCGCATACCATCGAGAGGGAACATGTTTCCCAAGCAACAGGAGTAATCCCGAATTAAAGGTGAAATGGAACATGTATCAACTCAGTTCAGAGGTAAATCTGTCTCAATTCGGGGAGTGTTTTTTGCGCTTGGCAGACAGATGATTACCCGAACGCGAAATAAAACGAATACAAAAGTATACTCGTTTAATTGTCTTCGTATCAGACGTGAAGATACCAGATAAAGATTCACACAGTCAGATATGGCAATAAACCCATCACCTCTTGGAGTAAACAGAGTAAGAGAGATGTTGCGGCACCAGAATCTTACAAATAACATACGCAAGGGAACCCACGATCGCCATTCACTGATTTCCACTCGGACACGCACTGCAAGGTGCAATCTGTCAGGCGGTAGCTCAGGAGGCGTCAACCAACGAATCGAAGATCGCAATCTACCGGGACCGGCCTGTTGCGCAACCAACGCGGCGCACGTTGAGCAGCCGACACACCCCAATCGCACGCGTCGACATAGCCAATCTCACAGCCCCCACTGCGTCATAGCTCGTGAGTCGTTGGCTCGAGACTTCTAAGTATCATACGGAAATTTGAGCGCGGCTGCGAAACGTACTCGGGTACATATCATAGGGCTGGGGCCTCGAAAGCTTCTTGTATTGTTTCTTCGAGTCAGTCCGGTCCCCGTATGTATCGAGGGACCTGTCGTGGTTGAATAATGTACAGTAGAGTTGCCTGGGTAACTAATTCCCCAACCACCGCCGCTCATGGTAAAACATTCACAGTCCCACCGAATGGCGAAAAGCACCAACACAGGCTGTGAGTGGTGCCCGTGATCCGCTAGCTCATGAATACGGCCAACGGACTAGCACTAGGAATTAGTTACTACTAGTAGACACGCGGCACGATGCCAAGCTCGTCTCGCGAATCCGTGATGGAGGTTGATGTCGAACCGGTTCCGCAGGTGCTGCAGCACCGCCGCAAGCGACTGCCGGATCTTGGAAGTCGTCCCCCGTGGCTGGCTCGGGAGTAAGTTGTAACCACATCCCATCACCTGAGCTCCGCCTGAGCCTTCCGATATAGTATTGGTAAAACCCTGACGGGAATTACCAGAAAGAAGAAAGAAACCCGTATATACATAGAGCTTCCGTATGCGGCGAGTGTATGAAGTGCGTCCCTCCCACTTCTGCTTTTTGGATGTGTAGTCTAGGTAGGGTCGCCAATGGCTGTCGTCGATGGCCGAGATCACCGGGTATGCCCGAGGTGGCTGATGAGGGTGCTGCGGCTGCGGATCTCAGCCTGTCCGCGTTTTTTATCTCATCATCGTAGAAATGAACGGTCACCCCTTCAACATGGGTTTTGACCGAAGTTGTTTCACCAGTCGGCAGAAGGAATCATGACAAAAATGACCAGCCACTCATATGATTACATTACTGCGCTACATCTAGCGTCCCACGACTACCTACCTATTCCGCACTCAAAGTAACAAAAACACGACAACTATGTATAATACATACGACTCGCAGACGAGAAGATAAACAAATACTACTTTCCTTCACTCGACACATACTGGACGGTCATGTATTGCGTATTCATACGCGGACCGGAATACCACCGCCGAGTCCACCCGGGACGGCGCCGGTGAGACCACCCAAAAGACCAGCCGGAACAATGTCGGCAGGACCGCTCAGACCATTGCTGGTAGCACCGTCGGTAGCGCCGCCGGTAAGGCCATCTATCGGAGTGTCTCGCTTGTATACAGCTCTGGTATCCTCGTCGGTATGATCTTCGGTGTCCTCGTCGCTGTGCTCGTCGGTATCGTGGTCAGTGTCCTCGTCGGTATCCTCGTCGGTATCCTCGTCGGTATCCTCGTCGCTATGCTCGTTGGCATCGTGGTCGCTATGCTCATCGGTATCCTCGTCGGTATACCCGCTGCCGGCATCGCGCCGAACAAGGGCGGCGGGAAGACCGCCCAGAAGACCCTCGGTGAGACCGCCAAGAGCGTCCGGACCGTTGCCGATAGCACCGTCGGTAGCGCCGCCGGTAAGGCCATCTACCGGAGTGTCTCGCTTGTATACAGCTGCAATCTATCAGTCAGCCAGGGTTCATCAAAGGTGGGAGATGCAAGGTAGACGAACACAAATACTTCCTGTCACCACGATCCGCAATCGAGGCGGCGAGCGTTGAGGCGGCAAGGCAGAGGGTAATCAGGGAGTAGAGTGAAGCCTTCATGGTGAAGATAGTGTATTAAGTAGTGAGGAGGGGAGGAGTGGGGATTAAGGTAGTGTACTAGTATGTAGGAGAAGAGTGTTCGAGGCGGTGGATGCTGAGATGCTGGGCTCTGAAGCTGGCGTGCGAGGCCACCTTATACCCGCACCGCAGTGCGCACCCACCGGCCGGTCACTGCAGTTTGTTGTTATGATACTCGGCACACGAATACCAACTCCTTGCCGGCCGATTCGTCACGACTCACGACGACGAAAAGCGGCACGTTGCATGATCGCTTTCGGATGCATTGTCGTTAGCTCCGGAGTGAGTTCTGTTAACGATCGCCGGTGTGCGGCTAGAGATGGCATTACTCTGCGTACGTATGCATGTGGATACATGCTGTGGAGGATATCCCGTTGCGGGCCGGTCATGATGATCGGTAAGTAGAATGATCGACGCTGCTGGATTATGCTTAAAAAGAAAGTATGGACAGCGTCGGCTGAGCTAGCTGCATTGGACGTTCAGGTGGGAGCTCCCGTACCGCCCCCGACCCCTTGTGGAAATGGATGGATACCAATTCGTTCGGTCACGGGCTCTGAATTACTCAAAGAGAGGTACACAGCGCTCTGACAAGTCGTTTTCAGCCGCTGTGGGCACATGGAGAATTCAAATTTTGTCAGAGGTGACAGCTCAGGCCGAGCGCCGTTGCTGTCAACCAACGAACCGAAGATCTCAATTAACTGTCAGCCCTGTTATAGAGCAACCCCAATTCCCGAAGAACGCCAATCGAACTCGCCCGGACGACGCTACTACATATGACTCCCGGCCCGCCGCCGGCTAGAGCGCTGACTTTCTAGCTCAATTGTGGGTGAGCCGTGACCTCCTGTGACATATGGTGGGAGGGACACGAATCATCCTCTCCCGCTACTCTACTAGTACGTAGATATCGACCTTCTGCACACACGCACGCACGCCGAAAACAGAAGGCTGGCTGGCGGGCAAGATGCATTTCGGACAGACGGACAAGGCTGCACGACACGTGGGCACGGGAGAAATAGGCAGAGTAGATTAGACTACCTATAGCAGCTAGCTGTTCTCAGGATTGACCTCCGATGTTGTTGGCGGTGCCTTTCTTTTTTTTTTTTTTGCACACTAGCTTTATGCTGCTGCTGCGCTAAGACGAGGGAGAAAATGGTATCAATAGAGTACGCGGCCTTTGGTCAGCTCTTGAGTCGCTAGAAGAAAGAGGAAAGGAGCCGCCGGCACGGGTGAGTCAGGAGTCAGGAGTGACGAGTCCAAGACATTATGCTCACGCAGGAAACACGGCCGGCATTTTATTCGAAGAGGTCTTACGTACGCCGCACTCGAGGAAGTTGTTATTTACCCGCTTCCCAACACCAAACAGCAAACTTCTCGCTTCATCCGGCCGCCAGCAATCCTGAGTGGGTCAAATCTTGGTGGCGGATGTGGATTATGTATTACAACTTGCGACGAGCGTAGAGGTGCTGAGGACTCAGGTGGGATTGGCCATCTCGTATGCAGCATGCTCTACTACCCATATGCGATCTACGACCCTCGTTCTCCTGTCTCAAGTGTCACTGTCGATCCTCATCATGTTGCATTCCAGATTTCGGATCCAACAATTCTGCATCTTCCACCATGGCCACATAATAAATCTCCTTACTCGCGACACCACCGGCATCGATAATACATATCAAGTGTCTATGTAGCATGAGCTCCTGAGCGTCCTGACGTGGCTATGTGTTGCTGCTGTAGATACCGTGATTATCGTGTCTCGTCATGATGATGATTTTCTTTCACGGCGTAGAAAGTGTGCAGACCGGAGGAGCCTGTGATTACGTCTAGCTTGCCCGGAGGACTTCAGCTTGTACATACACATACACGGCAGCCCGGTTGCGGAGGTGACGTGGCAAGTCCGGGCAGCAAAGCCCAAATTTGCAACTCGGCTCAAAAGCATCACTCGACAAAACCGTCAAACAAGAGATCAGCTACAGTATATGTAGTATTTATGGAATCTTACACCATCCCCCGACATGAGTCCTCTGGCCGAACGAAGCTCGGGCAAGCCCCAAAGCCTTCGTGACACTGAAGAAAACAGCTTACGACACATCCCCTCAACCCCGGGCCAGCCGGAAACGTGCAAAACACCACTTCAAGTGTCAACGGTCAACTTCACTGGGAAAACACATCAGTGACGCAAGCCGAGAGCTCGTTTTGCCTCACCACCTTTGAACAGCCAAACGGTCGCCAGCGGGAGATCGACTCGTAATCTCGCCTGAAATTGTAACTAGATATAATACCTACTCTTCGCTCCCTTGACTGGTGATGATGATCGCCATATTGCCAGGATCGTACTGTAGTTGCAGATCATCTGCTGAGGACTCCGCAGGTTTCGTATTGAATTACCAGTCACCAAAGCAGTCGGACTCGCAAGTATTCGGACGGTGCTGCAAGCGCCACCACCCCAATCTATCCGAATACTATAACTACTACGCAGCCGATCGCACCAGCAGCAGAAGCGTGCCTGAATTTCACAACACCCCGTCAAGACGTGAACGCATCTTCTACCAAGACTCGAGGCGTGAGGCCCGAGTGCTTACTCTACACACCAGTACAACCAGGCGCAACGCTTAGGCAACGGCTTGGTGCTCGGATCCCGCGAGAAGCAGGCTAGTGGGGTAATTACTAGATTCGATGGAGAACAGGGGTCTTCAGGGGTGGTGAAGCGGCGACCAATGACCATGGCCGTGGCGTGTGGGGCGGTGGGGGCGGCGGAAGTTGTGCGGCGGGCTTGCAGGCTTGCAGCCGGGGGTAAGCCGGCGCGGAACGACATCCTTCGGGCGTAATTTAACCCGCCACGCCACGGTCTCACTCGAAAAAAAAATCTCACAACGGTTTCCCACTAGCCTCCCCACAGCGCTGCGCCATACCACAGTAAGGTTGCTACGAGAATTAAATAACGTACTCTACATACCCCAACTTGTTTCCTCCTCGACGGCTGAAGAAGGGGAACTTTTCACGTCGCTGGTCGGTGGATTTTCCTATCGCAGCGCAGGCGAGCAAAATACGGGGTGGTAGCTGCGGTGGTGGCGAAGGTGGCGAAGGTGGCGTAGGTGAACGGGGCGAGTGCCGGATTGGATTATGCATTGCGCACGTCTTGTCCTATGAGGCAGTTGTTATATAGAACGGGTTTTATAAAGAATGGTGTCGCGGTGGCTAGATATCATGCCTAAATAATGCGAAGCTACATCCTGCTATTGGCATGTGGCGGTGCGAGTGAGATGTGAGTCATGCATCGTGGTTGGATGGAGTAGTCGACTTCGAAGGACTGGAAGCGGAGAAGGAAAAACAACGGGTTTAACAATGCCTTCTACGATACTACAGCATGATTCTCTTATGACGGCAATTGCTGCGTCCTCACTCCTCTGTGGGAAACGATCGCTTATCGCTGTGATGCTTTTGGTTATCCTCATCAAGTTGCATATATCTGCTGAACATGTATACCCACACTTATCTCATTCCGCCATTACCAAACACACAGAAAATGATTATCTTACCTTCGAAATGTTATTTAGTCCCAGCTTACTGGAGATGAAGAGCTGTAAGCACTCGTTAAGGCAGAAATATGGCAGTCTCGAGGAGAAATGAAATAACGAGTGACTTTGCGTGAAACATACTTTCCATCATTTCGGAAGTGGATGTATATTGCCATACGTATTGGTAGAATTATTTCCAGTAAGCGCCTTTAGTAGTTAAAGCTGTTGGCTGATCAAATACGCGAACCTGACAGCGGAGAAGTGTTTATGCAGATCACGGGTGATACAGCATGATCCTCGAGACCAAATGCGAGATTTTAGCAGCGTCTAGTATTCATTCAATTACCTACCAGCTACTAGACCTCATTTTCTTCGATATTGAAAAGCAAAGAAGTCAAGCCCTGTAGATAGAAATCCTCAAGTTTTTTTCCCCGCATCGGGTGATATCACATGATCTGCGAGTTCAAAAAGTGAGAATAGCAGCGTCGAGCACTCGTTTGACCAGCTACCAGCTACTAGATCTCACATGATCCAGTCTAGGCAGCAAGGAAGTCTGGCTCTGTGGATATAAATCCCTAAGTTTATTCCGCACAGCTCCGATAGTGCTATCTACTGCCATCCATGCCGGCCAATCCGAATAATGGCGGAGCAAAGTGACCCCTTCAGACCGATCACCATCAACTCTTCCCACCTGACTTCGAGGTCGCCGAACTCGTCGGTAGTCACGAGCTCGTACCGCCAAGATTCTCTGCCGACTGGCGGTATGGATGTACACATTGCTTTGTGACGGATAGCTCCACGCAGCTTGGATTGGGTCAGAATCTGTGAACAGTGCAAACAGGTTGGACGGTTATTTTTCAACTGCAGTGAACCGGCTATAGCAAGCTTCGAACTGAAATACGAGGATATCGGATCTCCCGTTGGAACTGGTCAAACTGAATAACACGCAAAAAGGAGGTCAGTGGTCACATGATCTGGACGGCATGCAGAAGAGAACTGAGGGTTTGGGGTAGAAGAAAAGTAATAGTATAGTGGTACTAGTATTTAATTGTACCTCTAGAGTGTATACCAAGTAGCTAATACCGCAAAGAAGCAATGAGGCAAAGAATGTGGAGGGAAAACCTACAGCCATTTACCCGCAAGTGGTCGTCCCATTTGTGCACCGGCCCCAAAGACAGGTGCACAAGCGGTGCAACCATCTGCTTTCCGGCGGTACTGCTGCCCGCCACATATTTCCTCCCTCCCCCACTTCCCCACTTCCGCTCACTTCGGCCTTGAATATGTCCTTGGCGTTTCTCTTGTTCCCAGTGGGTGTGTCGTTCATCATGCGCTCAATGTCTGCAGGGTCAACGCACGCCTCTTTTGCAAACGTAGCGAGATCAACCGCGCCATGTTCGGGTCCGAAGCCGCCTCCTCCACTTCCACCTCTTCAACCTCCCCCTCCACCTCTTCCAGCTCTCACACCTCCCCCTCCTCCCCCTCCTCCACCTCCCCCTCCACGTCCACCTCCACACCTCCTCCACGTCCACCTCATCCTCTTCCCCCCCACCTATTTTTTTCTTTCTTTTTTTCTTCTTCTTTTCTTTCTTTTTTTCTTCTTTTTTTTTGCCTGTACATCTTCTCGACAGAAGCACCAGCATCCACCCACTCGTGGTAAGTGTGAGTGTTGAGTACTAAGTTGATCAATTTAGAAATTAGCCGAAGTCGAAATTCGTCGTGTTCACTGTCAATGTCCTCTTCTAGCTGAGCCCACGAAGCCGGGCTATCGCGCCTGAGGGGCCTGCTGCCATCGTGCCACACCTCGATCAGAGCCCTAGTGATAGCCCAGGTTTCTAAGCTGTCGGCCGGCAGAGTAGTCAGTGCTCGTGCAGACTCATGAAAAATGGTAGGATCAATCCCCATTTTCTTCTCCGCCGGTGTCTTCTCGTCATATCGAAGGACGTTGACCATCGTGTTGATCAGGTTCTTATAGGTTTGATCCGTCCAGTCGCTATTGGGATCGTTGATGAGGCGTGCGTACTTGACTAGCTCCTTCGAGTGCTTCTCGAAGCGTAAGTAAAACTCGGGGATTTGGCTGAGATAATTGGCTCATGCAGTAAGCACAGCACCAAGGGTTGACTTACAATTTCATCTCAGCCCAGCGGATCAGCGTCTTGGACCGGCCTCGCCCACCTCCTCCACATCCCCCTCCACCTGCACCCTCCTCCACATCCATCTCATCCTCTCCCCCCCACCTCCTTCATCTCCCCTCACCCACCATCTCTGGTGAGACCAGTCGAAACTAGGCTTCTGGCAATGCCGGGAAACGTGAAACGCTCCTTGTGGAAACCTCGAAATCTAAGCGCAATCACTGGGAGCGGATGCGAGATTGCCAGAAACTCGAAATTTGGGTCCTCGACATGTTTTATCTTCATGATAGCCGGAGGCATCGGACCACTCACAGTAACGAGCTTGAGAGTCGAATCCCAGCTGGACCTCTTTGGCCTCACTTTTCTTCGGTGCAGCCTTTTTCAGCCCCTTGGCCTCAGCCTCAGCCTTAGCCGCCTGTCTTTTTCGTGACCGATTCTGACTTGGGGATTGCCTTCTCCTTCCCCTTGACAATCTCCTTCGCCTCTCCCTTGTTTCTGGTGGGTGTGTCGTTCATCGTGCCCTCGATGTCTGCAGCGCTCTTAGCGGCCGTATTCGGATCCGAAGCCGCCTCCTCCACTTCCACCTCTTCCACCTCCCCCTCCACCTCCACACATCCTCCAAATCCACCCCATCCCCTTCCCCCTCCACCTCCCCTCACCCACCATCTCTGGTGGTACCAGTCGAAACTGGTCTTCCGGCATTGCCGGGATGGGAGGGCGTTCCATCTCCACCTCCATCAGGCAACTCCGCCAACATATTGGCAGTGTTGCGCCCTCCAGGTCTCAAGGTTGCTTGTTGGTTTCGTAGGTCGCGGCGGTGGGTATTCTCGACCCAGTCCTCTAGTTCCGGATTAGCGATTATTCACCCACTCGTCTGCGGAGGTAGGCCCATAGGCAATTGCCTCACGGATCGAATCGATGAACCAGAATGCAGCGCCCTCGTCGGACTCGCTGATAGGCTCCAGCTACTCGGAGCCTCAGAGGGCTGGAGCGCGGGGCCGGGACCCCGGTTCCATCCAGCTGGCATACTAAGTGTGCACAGCTTGAAGCAACACCGCCAAACTATTGGCAGTGTTGCGCCCTCCAGGCCCCCAAGGTTGCTTGCAGGTTTCGTATGTCGCATTGTCGCGGAGGTGAGTGTTCTGGACCCAGTCCTCTGGTTCCGGATTCGCGATTATTCGCTCACTCGTCCGCGGAGGTAGGCTCATGAGCCATGGCTTCAAGAATTGATTAATGAACCGGAATGCAGCGTCCTCGCCCGACTCGCTGATAGGCTCCAAACTCGCAGCCTCAGATGGTAGGAGCGCCGGGCCGGGGCCCGGGTCCATCCAAGCTGGCACCTAAACTGTGCACAGCTTGAAGCAACACCGCCAACGTATTGGCAGTGTTGCGCCCTCCAGCCCACCAAGGTTTCTTGGTGGATTTCGGCATTCCGAGGAGGTGTGCGTATTTCTTTATGAAAGCCTGCATGGCGTCCGGGCCCAAAGCCGGCAACATCAGAAGGCTGGGGCGCGGGGCCGGGACCCCGGCTCCATCCAAGCTGGCACACAAAGTGTGCACAGCTTGAAGCAACGCCGCCAAATGATTGGCAGTGCTGCGCTCTCCGCCCCACCAGGGTGTTTTGGTGAGCCTCTGGTTGTGATTAGAATTTGGCCTCGAGCTCGGCGAATCCCGGGTATATCGACATAAAGTTGGCGAGAGCCCACTCGCGGATCGGCACCAAGTCGAAGCCGGAAAGGTCCCGGATATCTTTTGGCGTCGATTCAGCAGGGCGGCTTTCGACCGTGATGGTTTGGTTCCGATACGACACGTGGGGAGCGGGCGCCGCAATGGGTAGATGACCGGGTTCGACGGCAGGCACAGATTGATTCGCGTCTCCGACCCTCACTGGCATCGGTATCTCTTCGTTCGTGTCCGGCATCTTTGGAGTCTAGAAGCAAACACGAGCGTCATGAGACAGCCCAGCATCGCCACCAGAGCAGCCTGGGGAGTCAACCATGGGGAGAACCACAAAACAGATTTAACTGCCAACATATCCGCACTTCGTAAGAGGTTTGAACCCGATAACTGGTTGAACTGCCAACTTATTGGCAGTTCGGCATCGGGATGCCGGTATGCAGTGTTTACTGCGCTTTGAAACGATTAGACTCTTGTAGATATATTTCTAGGTGAGATTGCTTACTGCTTTCGTTCGCATATTGCGAACTTCTTCCTCCCCACGGGTGGTCTTCGACCAGTCCTCTAGAGGCGCACAATGTACATTTCGAGCTTGACACGTTCCTCCACCACCCGCTTCCACTTCGATACACGGTCAAGGAGGCACTCGCCGAGGAGCGACGCAGAGAGGTAGTGCTGGCCGGCTGCTGTCGACAACTGTGCGTCATCATCGGCGAAGAGTTGACCAATACTGTCACTGTCGCTGCTTCTCTGGGGCGGCGAGATGGAATCCCTCGCCCCTTCACAGCGCGAACAAGGCCAGTAGGTAAAACAGGACGAACTGTCTTGGACCTCGATCGCATGTGCCGCGGCGAACAGCTTACCAACACTGGTACTGTCGCTGCTTCCCCCCGCGATCAGTTAGCATTTGGCGACAATGAGAGGCGGGGGTCGAAGAATTCTGACACGCCGGAGCATGGCGAAAAGAATACTACGAACCTTGTCGCCGAGTTAGATGTGTCAGTTTTTGTTTCTGAATCTGCGCTCTGTAGGTAGAGCTAATGATAAGTGTTGATAATTCGCCTCGATGTGGTGTTGTTATACTTGTTGTTAAGTATTATTGTTGTTGTGATGTGAAGAGGAGAGGAAGAGAAGGGGAAGAGGAGGGAAGAAAAGGCAGCAACAACTATACGGTGAGGCTCCGCCTGACGTGCAACATAGAAGTTTCTACCGTACTTTTGAGCGGAACGAGCACCGGTCTTTTGAGTGGAACAAACTTGCTACTTTTTAATGACGTAATTCCGTAGTCACGAGCACATCCGAGAACCTTTTTACGTCTACCTCGCAACACACAAACATTACAGGTTGTAGTAAAGATGTACAGAACTGCAATACTGCATGGTATGAGCTAGCGCTTTGAATTTCCCGTGATATCTGTACAAGTTATTCATTGCGAAGCCACATATCGAGAGTCACGCGCACTGCCACGGTTGCGTTCTACCGCCGAAAAACCGTGTGCACCGCCGCAGTAGCGCTACGGACAGGTAGGAGCTTGCAATTGCTTTGGCAGCTATCTACAATCCCATACTATTGGTAGACAGTTCATGACAGTCTCAAACACTAAGATCACAATTAAGTGGAGGTATTGATGGGGAAAAGACTGCCGGAAGAGGCGGGAGCGGCTCCAACGGACCTTGTCACAGTATCGAGGCACATATAGAGAGAATCAAGACAGTTCAAGTGGGTGAACCACTGGGTACAATTACTATCAAAGTAACATCTATCGCTGTCTATTCATTGAAGAACTATGAACCTGTATCATTAAATCGCGTCCCTGTGCCGCGCATTCCTACCTACCCGACAAACATATTCCACACGCCAAGAGCACAGCGAACCCACACGGAAAAGAAAACAAGACTCAGGAGAAAGCAGGTACACATCCTCCGCTTTATCTATTTATTCCATCTGCCGGCTAGTCCGTTACAGTGTTCCGTTCTTTCCAACTTTCTTCGACCGGCCGACGGCGAAATAGGAGCGACGATGACCGCGGAGATCTCTGTACGAACGCTCGAGGTGTAAAGCAAGCTTGCTGCCTTCATCCCCTATTGACACCCTTGAGTATCCCGCTCCGTCCGGTGGCCCCATCGCTCACAGCCGATAAATGCCTCCCCCACGGCTGTTCCACGTGACCTACAGTAGGTAGCTCTTCAACCGGCCCCCCGCGATCGTATGATGTTGTCGGCACTCTCACGCATCTAAGCCTCCACGCTCCTGGTAAGAATTGTCGAATAAGGGGGTCGCCACAGTCAAGAGTAGACAGGCCGTATACGGCAATGAATTGACGTTCATTGTTCTCGGTCCTCTCCAAGCGTCACCCTTCACGGCCGTGCTGGTTATCCGGCAGCATCCGTAGTACATAAAACGGGATTTCCAAGTTCCAACGTCTGAAGCTAGTCATTCTTGGCGAGGAACTGCGGTGGAGCCTTGAGGCGTATCGTATGATCCATATTCGAGCGTATTGTAAGAAAGATAGGGGCACGATTATGGCGCTCGTCACTCGTGTGTCCGACCTCCACGGAAACCCGGTAAAGCGGCAGCGAACGGACCACGAAAAGGACTGTGCCATGGTGAGGAATCAGGATTTTGGAATGAAAAGTCGCGCTCGAATAGCGGTGGAACGGGGCGACGGGGCGCTATTTCGGCAGTTCGGAAGCGATGGTGAGACGATGGACTGTCCGGCTCGACCACTCGTCGTCGGCGGAATGGCGTCTCGAATCTCTTGATTGTGGTGACGTCGCGGGAGTCCGTAAATCTTCGATGAGAGATGACCGGTCACTGCAGTAGATGGTGAGCTTCGTAAATTTCAGAGCGGAGATCCGTCACCGGCAGGATGTTTCTCGAGCACTTTGCCACTTTCACGGTTTCACCTCCTGCGATCATCGCTCGTTTCCAGAGTCGGTAGATAGTTATCCCGCTGTTGGAGCTTGCACGTACATAGAACAACAACTTTGCTTGGGCCTTGGATGACACGCGGCATCTAACGGCCTGAAGTTTAGAGCTGACACGAGGACGGGAAAGGGATGGGCTGTAGTCCGCCAACGATGAAACCAAGTTTGTCCCGCAGTTTGATGTGACGGTTCGAGCTGCCAGCGACAAGAACTCAAGCTGTCCAGATAAATTTCAGGCTGTGGCTTGGTGAAGGTGTGTAGTAGTAGGCGGGTGGCGTAGCTTACGCCGTTGTCGTTCCCGCTCGTCGAGTCGTCGCTGTTGACAATGTCGCTTAGCCTTATTTAGCGAGGATCGGCAGGACGTTGGCCTGTAGGCTGTCAACGGTTTGCCTAACTACATGTAGGTAGTTGATCGATTAATGTCGGTACATGCCGTAATCCTGTGCTTAGAAAGCAGGAAAGGAGATGTTGGTTTTGTACGAAGGAATGGAGTTGTACGTTTTGCTGGCCGATTTTGGTGGTGCAGCTGCGTATTTGGGATCGCGATAGGTGTGGGCGAGCAAAGTTGTTGTACGGCCACCCGAGCATCACGGCGATCGCTCTCCGCACATATTGTATCTGATGTAATCTGATAAGGGTGGTCCAAGGCTAACGCTACGACGGGGCTCTAGCTGGGACCCAATGGGATTAACCCGGAGCAGGAACTGGGCTGTGAGAGATAAGCGGAGCTCCTCCGACGAAAGCTATCATAGTAGAGAAACAAACTTGTTTCACCCAATTTGTTGAGGGCACTACCTGTTCTCACGCACATCACGAGGTCTCCACTTACTCCCGGTAAACCCACCCATCGGGAACCAAGACACGCCAGCATCGAGTCGAGACGGCGCTGCAGCTTCGGGTGCAAGTTACATGCGCAACCTGTTGGCGGTACATGCGAAAATCAATCGGGTATGTAACCTTTAAACAGGTCATGCGACGTTTATTTAGAGAATGCCTTCAAAGTGGAGTGATGTTGCTGCGGCGGTGACGATGTTTTTTGTGGGGGGTGCGTGGGTTACTAAGATACATATGCTATTCTAGATCCACTTCCACATGACCGAACACGCTACTGGTAGCGGGCGACAGCGTCGATGACCAGGACTCCACTACTGCTACCAGTAGTCCGTAACGTGTCTCGATACAGGTTTCCGGAATATGCCGACTCGCCATGCACATATGATGACCGCCGACCATCGCCACCAGCATCCAGCACCCGGCTGGAAGGCACAGCAATGGGTCTCCCGATCCCACCCCGCATTACTCTAGCGAGTATTTCTGCACATCACGCTGTGAGGAGTCGCGATGAAGAGAATCCACCTCTGTACATATGGCTTTCGGTCGCTGGTCGAAGTCGCGAGGAAGAGATTCCATCTCTGTACATATGTAGAGCTATCGGGATGGGGCTACCGGTAGCCCTACTCCCTCGCTGGCAGGAATCCCGACGAAGGGAATCCACCTCTGTACATGTGTGGAGCTTTCGGGATGGGGCTACCGGGACTCCTCCTCCCTCGCTGGCAGCTCGAGTTGCGAACGGGAACTACTATGTACCCAAATAGCCAGAGCCGGATCTGCAACTTCTCATTCGGACTGTGCTAAGAGTCAAGAGCAGTTTACCGACATCGGGTACGGTCCAGTGCCACCGAAAGTCTGCGGCGATGGCTGATCATTGATGGGGTCAGCGAGCACTGCCTCTCGGAACTCTGGCCCTGACGGAAGCCCCAGCGACAAACACAATGCTAGAAACATACTACCTGCCTTGGTGTTCCGCAAATTTGAAAGTAAATAAACCGCGCCGGTGGGACGGAATGATCGCCAAATAGGAAATTTCAAACTGCGTAGCCTCATTTCGAATTCCGGGTCTGCGAAAGTTTCAACCCATCGATACTACTGCTAGCAAGACGGCGATCGAAAGAGATCTGCCTTGTTTCTCGCAAGAAATCTGGGTTTGTAGGTAACGATATGAGTCAGGTCCGGGGGTGAAGGGTAAGGAATCGAGAGAAATCGAGTTCGGCGAACAGGAGGATTCCCGACCGGAGATTCGATTGCCCATCTGTTTCCAAGACGCTGGAAACTAGTGTCAATATTTCTCGGTGGGTAAACACAAGATCTTCCCTAAGGAATTGAA